TATATAAATTCAAGCTTCCCTGTGCCCACCCCCTCCTGAAAATCTTTTTTTAATATGACTGCAGATGATTGAATTAACATTTCATCCCAGTGTCGCGATATAATCTGACAATATACTGTGTCTTAATCAATCCCTTCCTGCAAAACCCTGGCCAGTGCCTGTGCCATCAATTAGATTGCATTCCCCGGCAGCTCCCTCTGCTTTTCACTGTCTTCAGTTCAGTAATGTTTATGTCCTTGTGGACGGCAACGTCCCACAAACAGCAACCAATTTATCCTTGGGGGATTGTTGACCAGGACACTAAGAGAGAGAAACCTCCTTCTCTTTCCGAATAGTGCCATGGGATTTAGGAGTGAAATCAGGAGGTAGTTTTTCACCCAAAGGGTAATGGAAATTTGGAACTCTCTCCCCCAGAAGGCTGTGGATTCTGGCTGCATCCATTCACATTGTGCAGACTGAGGTGGGTAGTCGTTTGTCAGATCAGCGTATCAAGAGATACGGGGAAAGGGCGGGTAATTGCAGTTGAGGTACAGATCAGCCATGATCTAATATAATGGTGGAACAGGCTCGAGGGACTGAATGGTCTACTCTTATTTCTGTGACGTAGACCTGAACAGGCAGGTAGGACACCTCGGTTTAACATCTTGTCTGATGGACGGCACCTCCGACAATGCAGCACACCCCCCAGTACTGCATTGGAGCGTCAGCTTAGACTATGTGATTCCAAGTCCCAATGTGAGGCTTGAACCCACAACCTTCTGACCTCCAGAGGCGAAAGCGCTACCACTGAGCCGAGCTGACAGCTGATTGAATGTTCCGATACCTCAATACGTTCAGTAAGGATTCCCGGATCCAGTTCAGTAATTCGGCCGATTGTTCCCAATTTAAAAACTCTGGGATCAGGATTCCCTGAGGTTCTGCTGAATCTGCAGCTTCCTGCAGATAGATTGGGTGTTTGTGTTGGCGTTTGCTATTAAGCCACATTTCCTCTTTGGAAAGTGATTTTTGCCCATAATGGTTCTGATTAGCAGCTAAAGCTTTCCCGGTGCCCTCCCTACTGGGCGGAATCCTGGCTCTACCTCTCGCTTTTCAATTGTTTTCTTCCGCCATGACCCAGGCCATCGCCGGTCTCCTTGTGCTAAGTGCCCATGGTAGTCTGTTGTAGAACAGGTTTGGTCAAGGTGTATTTTCCCGGGCAAACTCGGTGAGCAGTAAGTTATGCTGATGAACCCGCCAGGGGATGAACATGAATCATGTTCGTAGAATTGTTGGCCAGGGAGAGAGAGGGAGAGAGAGAGAGAAACTCCCATCTCTTTTCCAACAGTTGCCGCTGGATCTTTAATGTCCGCCTGAACCGGGCGCAGACGGGAGCTCGGTTTAACGGAAGAGATTCCTGTCCTTCTCCCTCCCGCTCGCGCTCAGACTCCCGGCTCTGACCCGGAGCCCGTGTACATAAAGATTCTTTATCACCCAGGGCGGAGTCTCAGTCACTTTGAGGCATTGGCTGACAGTGAGAAATCCCAGAATGTAAGAAAGACGCTTCTCTTTGTCTAAAATACAATGTCAGAAACTCTACACTTCATTCCCTGGTCTCCTCACCACCACAACAAGTAAAACAAATTACATTTGTTTAGCGCCTTTCACGTCGGGAGGACATCTTGAAGCATTGATGGTGCACGGAGAGAAATGAGATTGTATTGATCATAAATGAGCATAAATTAATCTGTGTTTTCCTCTTTCTTTCCCCCTCCCTTTACTCTCTCTCTCTCCCCTTATTCTCTCTCTCTCGCTGTGTCCCCTGATCACTCCCAGGTGTACTGGCAGACATCCAACGACACTTTGAGGTCAGCGACAGCAAGTCAGGATTGCTGCCCACGGGTAAGTGACACACACTGCTCGCTGCTCGGGGGGCAAGTGGGGTCTGGGCTGGGATACGGCAATAATAATAATTAATATTTACAATCATAGAATCTAGCGAGAGGACCTGGGTTAGAATCCTGGATAGGTCAGGGCGAAATCTTAGGCAAGTTTCCTTACTCTGCACACACGCCTCTGTTTACCTGGCAGTAAGTAAGAATCCGGTTGTTAGTCTCTTGGGGGGATCTCTTTTCCGGGAGTTATAATCCCTTCAAAATTAAATAACCAACAATAATAATTTGGTTACTCAATCCACGACTATATATGGGACACTGCTGTCTGTGTTCAATTGGCTGCCGTCTTTCGTCCACAAAATATACAGTCAATTCACTTTACAGTATATTCTGTGAAGTGCTTTGAGACGTCTTGAAGACGTTATAACAACAAATTACAACAACAAATTACATTTGTATAGCATCTTTCACGCCAGGAGGACGTCCAAAGGCACTATATCAAATGCAAGGATTATTATTATTATCTTACAGCACAGAAGGAGGCCATTCGGCCCATTGTGTCTGTGCCGGCTCTTTAAAAGAGCTATCCAAATGAATGCCATTCTCCCCCGCTCTTTCCCCGTAGCCCTGGACATTTAATTGTTCCATTTAATCTAACACCTTATCACAACGTTGAGGCATCTCAAAGTGCTTCACAAGATTGCGGAGTGCAGTGACTGTGTGTTTGTGGGTGAGAGCGACAGCCGATTTGCGACCAGCAACAGTGATGTCCTGGCTGGTTTGGGGGGCGCTGGCGGTTTGGAACTCGCGAATGCAAGAGCCTTGGCTCTGAGATTCACTCAAATCTCTTTAATTGCTATAGATTTCTGAGCATGTGGTTTTATCATTGCCATTTAAATAGATCTCAGCGCCAACTAAGGCTCCTGACAATCCCATTTATCATACTCTCCGGGTTCTAGGGCACCTTGAGACACAGTCTGTGCTAGTCATAGTCTTTACAGAGGACCCGAGTCTATAAACACACAATACTCTCACATAATGATCTTAGTCGTCCAATTCTTGGAACTCCATCCTACATCCCCTTCACCTCGCTCCCTTCCCTTCCCTTACCTCATTCAAGGCTCGTCTCAAGACCCTCCTCTTCGCCTGCACCTTCAGCCATCCTCCTACCCCCTTGGCATGTCCTCCCGACGTGTACATGCAGTTTGTTGTTGTTGTTCTTGTTGAGCCTGAAGTGTCTCTGGAGCCAGGTTTTGGGTCACAGCAGAGGCCACTCTCTTCACTCCAGGGTAAAAGCTCGATCAGGCGGCTCTGTTTTAATGAGCAATGCTCCCAGTCAGTCAGTCCCATTTCACAAAGCAATGGTTAAAAATATTGGAAGGTTTTTCTTTGGATTGTACATTGCAGTGCGGGGGAGGGGGCTGGGTTGGGGGGGGGGAAATCAACTCTTGCCCTTCCTAACTTAATACACGGTCCACCCCTTGTCCAAGACACAAGCGGGTTTGCCTGTGGCTCCTAACAGACCACAGACCTTCTGTGCCAAAGGCCATCCTGCAGTATATCGTCTGGTATTATTTTAATAATGATAATAATAATCCTTGCATTTGATCTAGCGCCTTAGCTCATCGTTGAGACGTCTCAAAGCGCTTCCCAGGGTGTGCTGTAAAGTGGATTGACCGTGTAATTTGCGGGTGAAACGCGGCAGCCAATTGCACGCAGCAACGTCCCGCAAACAGTTGTGGATGCGTGAGGAGAGAGCTGCCAACAAGCGCACTGACCGACTGACTGACTGACTGACGACCGACAGCTCTCCCTCTCTCGCATTCACCAAAACAAAGCAATCACAATGAGACATCAACGCTCTCCCGACAGACTGGTGCAACAGCCACTTCCAGATGCTGATCTCAGCCTTTTGTGAAAGCTTACAGTAAAATACACACTGTGAGAGGCCTGACATGACCTGATACTGTATCTCTGTATTAACATTACATCCAGGAGAGAGGGCGGGAAGGAGAGAGAGAGAGAGAGAGAGAGAGAGAGGAAAGGAGAGAGGGAGTGAGGGAGGGAGAGAGGGAGAAATGGAGGGAGGGAGTGACCGAGGCACAATGAGCAGAAAGAGCGTTTGTGAGTTGAAGTGTTGAATGTAGACGGCCTCAGAGGCCATGGATTCGAGTGAATGGAGGTATTGGAGAGGGAGATCGGACACTTTGCGAGGAAGGATGTTGCAAAAATTGGCCTCTGTCACCAAGTTTACAGTAACATATCCTGTGACACGCATTGGGATGTCCTCTCGATGTGAAAGCCTCTGTAATTCGAACGGGAGGATTGTTGTTTGTTTTAATTAAGAAATGAACAAAGAAATGAACTTATTGTTTCAGCAGCGGTAACTTATTGTAAGGATGTAAAGAAATTGGGGGTCTCTAGTTTTCCCCCCTCCCTCCCTCGACCACCTCGTCCCAAACCCTTTAACCCACACTTGCAGAGTCTGACGGACAGGGCTGCTGCCACACACTGGGGTTGGAATGAACCCAATGTGTCTCTTTTTGAGGCGTTGACTGTGTTAAGTGACCAGATCAGGGGACCGGCTCAGTTGCACGTTGTAAATCTGTCTGTCGCAGTCAAATCCATTTATAACAAATAAAACTGTCCAGAAGGGAAGCTTTTTTTCACTTATAATGTGGAGCAACTTCCCTCTCTGACAGACTTTCAACCAGTGATTATTCCCCCCGGAATCCCGGAATACGTTGAGGTGTTGGTGAGGAGTGGAGGCACATCTGTTTCCTAATTTCTGGGAATCCTTCGGAAGGCAAGGATTCCATTACTCACTCAGCATGGAAATTCCCTCGCTTAAATAACAAGGTGCGGAGAAAGAGCAGGGAATGGGGTTAGAGTAGAGAGCTCCAGTGGGGGAGCGAGCACCAGCACTGACACGATGGGGAGAGAGCAGGGAATGGGGTTAGAGTAGAGAGCTCCAGTGGGGGAGTGAGCCCCAGCACAGACACGATGGGGAGAGAGCAGGGAATGGGGTTAGAGTAGAGAGCTCCAGTGGGGGAGCGAGCCCCAGCATAGACACGATGGGGAGAGAGCAGGGAAATAGTGATCCTTGCATTTGATAGAGCGCCATATCACGTTGTTGAGACATCTCACAGCGCTTCACAGAATATATTGTAAAGTGGAGTGACTGTGTATTTTGTGGGTGAAACATGTTGTACTTAGCAGGAAAGTGTATTTTGTGAGTTTGAGGTCCCTTTGAAGCACGGGATCTCCAATGAGGCATCGCTCCATCCCTCCAAGTACTGCGCTGGAGTGTCAGCTTGGGCTATGGTGTCCTCTTCTTGAGGAGGTGGACAGGATGCAGGCCTCACTTTGACTGTCCAACTGCTGTGGTTACTGCCCGGCTAACTCTACGGCTAATCTGGTTAGCTTCCTGTAAACAGGCATGGAATGTGTACGAGGAGTAAACACAGGAAGGAAACACCAGGGAAAGTTACACAAAGCCCTTCCTGTTTTGCGTGGCGTTGCTGTCTCGTTATTGTATGGAAACCGGGATCGAGCCACTCACTGCGGTCACGTAGCCAGACAGCAACCGTACAGACCCTCAGACTCGTTTACCCTCCCGTGGATTGAGTGACCGCATTATTATTATTATTTTTATTTTTATTTATAGATAATAATTTGCGGATAATAGATCACAAATAGCTCACAGCTCCCCCCACTCCTGTGGGCACATTCTGACCCTGTGAGTCTCCTTTCCTCCCCTCTGTGATTTACGCACACACACCTGTGCCCACACTCACACACACACCTGTTCCCGAACACACAAGTATGGAGTTACACATGCACACACAAACCTGTGCACACAGATGCGCACATACACGTGTACACCTTTGCACATATAGGCGCGCACATACATGCCTGTGCACACAGACACACACACACAGGCAATGCTTACATACACCCCTTGCATCTGACGCAGTGCCTATTACACTGACACACCTCAAAGTGCTGCCAAGTCAAGTGTTGTGACTGTATGTGTAGGGCATCAGCTAATTAGCAGCCGTGAAGTCAGTGACCAATTTTATCTGTGTGTGTGGTGGGTGGGGTGGGAGTGTTGGCCAGGTGGATTATTGGCTTTAAGGAATATTGAACGTACCGCCTGAAACAGGCAGACGGGACCTCAACCCAACCTCTCACCTGATGGGCAGCATCTTAGTCAAAGGAACATCAACCTAGAGTGTTAGCTCAGAGCCTGACATAGAGCTTAAACCTGCTGCCCAGGGGCCAGTGTGTGACCACCCAGGGGCCAATGTGGTTTCCCACCGGATGAATATTTTAGTTGGGGCCGATCGTGGGTAGTTGTCTCAAGGCAGTTTCTGAGCTCGGTGGCGAGAGCGAGGTGTAGTGGAATGACAAACAGGCTCACCCTGAGTTAGTGAACGCATCTCCCTCCACTCCCCCCACCGCCGTCCTGTCCCAATCCCTCCTCGAATGTCGGGGTTTAAACGAATGGGGATCACGGAGGAGAGACGTCAACATGAAGGAATGTGAAAGTTGACGTCTTGAAGGAATCAGAAGGAATGAGCCTTTGCTTTCATTAATTTTCTTTTCATGTGGGTTCTTTTATCTGCTTAATTGCTATTAAGTCGCCCTTCCCTCTCGCCCTCCCGCACGCACCCAGCACAAGTATTTTCCCTTTTGTTGTTTAACGAGAGTCTTCCTGCAATAAAGATAATCTGAGAGGTTGAGGGTGATGAAGGCCTTTCAGACTTTTGATCTTTTTTGTCCGGATGAAATTCGCAGACCAACAGCCTTCCCATCGCAGCGCTGTGTGTCAGCCTGGCTCAGTTGGCAGCTTTCTTAGGAACATAGGAACAGGAGGAGGCCATTCAGCCTCTCAATCATTCTATTAGATCATGGGTGATCTGTAGCTCAACTCCAACTCTTGCCTCGGAGACAGAAAGTGGGGCTTGGGGTGGGGTTGGGGGGGTTTCGGTGAAACGTTTACCCAACGCTGTTCATAAAGAGAAAGGAGTTTCTCTCTCTCTCGGAGTGTTGTGGCCGACAATCCCCCCAAATAAAATTGCTCGTTCACTTTATGGCCGTTGTGGGATATTGTTGGCTGACAGTGCGGCATCCCCCCCCACCCAGTGAGTCATCCCCATGTGGGGCTCGAACCCACATCCTTTTGCCCACAAAACATACAGTCAATTCACTTTACAGTATATATCCTGTGAAGCGCTTTGAGACGTCTCGAAGACGCGATCGGGCGCTGTATCAAATGCAAGGATTATTATTATATTGTTGTTAATGTCCTTCTGCCGCGATTCTGTGCCCAGCACCGATCTGGAAAGTGAGAGGAAATAATTTAATTTGTAAGGAATTACCTTCCTGGATCCTGCCAGAGTCTGACGGCCATCACTGAACACGGGCTCAGGCCAGTGACCTGCTGCTGAAGTCTCTCTCTGCTTATTTCCTAGTCTTTATCTTCAGCTTCATGGTTGCCACACCGATCTTTGGTTTTCTGGGCGACCGCTTCAACAGGAAGTTCATCCTGAGCTGTGGGATCTTCTTCTGGTCGGCCGTCACCATCACCAGCTCCTTCATCACCAAACCGGTGAGTGAGTGACCAGGGGTCAGGGGAGTGGGGGGAGCAGACTGGAAAGGGGGCAGGAGGAGGAGAGGGGGGGCGGGGAGAGAAGGAGAGGGGGGCGGGGGGACAGCAGAGGGGCTGAGGGGAGAGGAGAGAGGAGAGGGGGCAAGGGGAGAGGAGAAGGGGGCGGGGGAGAGTGGAGAGGACGGGGGGCCAGGGGGGAGAGGAGAGAGGGGCAGGAGGAGAAGAGGAAGGGTGTTGAGGGGAAATGGGCAGAGAGATGGAGAGGAACGAGGAAACAGACCGAGGGAGAGAGCCCGAGTCACAGATGCCAGAAGTTTTTCATATGCTGGAAATTTCCATTTGTTTGGAATCAAATACAAGAATTATTGTTATTATTATATTAATGTGACATTATAATTATTATACTGTAATTATTATTATTGTGTGTTTTTTTGCCTTTTCCCTAGAACTTCTGGCTGCTCCTCTTCACCCGGGCGCTGGTGGGATTTGGAGAAGCCAGTTACTCCACCATCGCTCCCACCATGATTGCGGACATGTTCACCAAAGACACCCGCACCTGCATGTTGTGCTTCTTCTACCTCGCCATCCCTCTTGGCAGGTACGGTCTGCGTCTCTCACCTGTAGAGGTTTTTTTGAGCTCAGCCCGGGTGTCTGACACATACGGAAACCCATCACCGTTGCTTAAGAGTCTCCAAACCAAACTGAGATTTCCATACGTCCCACTTACACATTGGAAATCCCAGAGATAGATTGTTGGAATGGAATGCTGGAGGGACTCCCCGGAGGGAAGAATCCCGCTTACCTAATTCCAGAGTATTAGACGCAGATTGGCAAGAGCCAAGGCTGGGGGGGGACCCCAGAGTGTGCATTGGGGGTAGTTGCTGGTGTCTAACCAGTTAAAACTACATAGCGCTCGCAGTCCCGGCCTGGAAACACTTATTTTTGAAAGATCTGTTTTTACGTTTGGATCTTTCTGCGACGCTTAAAACACAGATACCAAGTAGGTCACCCAACGCACGTCTTCTCCCCCCTCCCCAACACAATTATAACAAGTTTTTCCTGCATCAATATTTTCCTGTCCTCCCCCACCAAACCCCTCCCCCACATGCTGTCTTCTCTCTCCCTCTGTCTGGGGAGAGGATTTAAATAGGTCTAAATGGAGGTTGATTTCAGTAAAGCAGTCCTGTCGTGTAGTGGTTAGCATGTTTGCCTCACAAGCGAGAGGACTCTGGTTCGATTCCCAGGCAGGGCAAAAGCTCAGGCAAGTTTCCTTACTCCACACGCCTCTGTTTACCCAGCAATAGGTAGGAACCTGGTGGTTAGTCGATTGGCGGATCACTTCCTGGGGCTAATAATCCCATCAAAACTAAATAAAAGGTAATAATAATTTGGTCACTTCAATCCACGACTGTGTGTGGACACTGCTGACTGTGTGTGGGGACACTGCTGTGTGCAATTGGCTGCCGGGTTTCTCCCACAAAATACAGTCACTCATCTTTACAGTCTATTTTGTAAAGCGCTTTGAGACGCCTCAACGACGGGATAAGGAGCTGTATTGAATGCGAGGATTATTATGATTATTGCCGTGGCTAATCTTTGTCGATTGTTTTTCCTGCAGCGGGTTGGGCTACATCCTGGGCTCGAGTGTGACGCAGGCGGCTGGTGACTGGCACTGGGCTCTCCGGGTGAGAACTTCTTTTATTTCTCTCCTGGCGGAGGAGATGTATCTTCCAAAGGAGGTCACCTTCCTTCCGCTTTTAGCATCCCGCATCCTGGCTGCTCATAAGCTGCTTGTGCGACCTACATTGCTGGGATGTGAGCGGTGCAGCAGCGAGGAGCCGGGCTGAAGTGCGTTGGGACATCTCGAAGACGTGATAAGGCGCTACATCGAATGCGAGGATTATTATCGGATTATTATTTAGACCTGAATTGTTTTTCGATGGCGCTGTTCAGTTGCCATCAACTCACAGTCCAGGCTGACGCTTCAACGCCGTGTTTGGTGCAGGGGTGGAGGGGTATGGGGGGTGCGGAGAGGAGGATGGGGAGGGAGAAGAGGAGTTGGGGAGAGAGGGCGCATTGTCTGAGTTGTCGTCACTTCAGATGACATTAAACACCGAGCCCCTTCTGATCCCATCTTTATTCCCGCTTTGTTCCGGGCCCGAACAGGCCAGCAGTGGACCACCATTCCCCGATATTCTGACCCCACCCCCCCAGGCACAGGGCAAACAAGGCTGAGACGGCTCCTTCACAGGAAAGTCCCGCCCGATACTCCCATTTCCCGCTGATTTCCCAGTCTCCGCTCTCCCGCTGTGCTGCGAGGCACGGGATAGATTATCGGCGGGTGAGCCCAAGGCTGCTTTGGTGGAGGGTTTGAACCGGTGATCTCTTGTGAAGCTGTTTACTGACCTCCTCGCAGTCACTGAACACACGATTTGGCCAAACCTTTGGCCAAAACAAATCCTGACAAAGGATATAAATGTTCCTTCCTGTGCAATAGCCTCGATCCCCGTTTGGCTGCTGGATTGTTCGTTACCCCGAGCAAACTCAGGCCCGTTGTGGACCTAGTGAAGGCCTTCATCTGCTGAGAGTCTGGGGATCGAGCGAGTTAGAGAGGGAGGGAGGATGGGAGGGAAAATACTGTCTCTCCGCTTGATGCATTTTATTAGTAGGGAACAAATGAGTACAGGGTCATTTGATTTAATTGTGAAATGCAATTCTTTCTCTCTGTTGTGGGTCAGCCTGGCGCAATGGGTAGCGCTCCCTCTCTCTCTCTCTCTCTTTCGCCTCCGAGTCAGAGGGTTGTGGGTTCAAGCCCACCCCCACCTCGGGGCTTGGAATCACACAGTCTAAGATGACGCTTCCACTGCAGTGCTGGGGGGTTGTTGCATTGTCGGAGGTGCCGAGCAATTTTACCTGGAGGGGGAATGTCGGATAGGACACCGGGAGAGAGAGAAACTCATGTTGTTGTTGTTTTTGAGAGCAACAAATGTTTTCCAGCGGCAGTTGGTGACGTCTCTGCCATTTGGCTGCGGCAAAATATTAACGTTTCTTCTGTGCACACAGGTGACCCCGGCCATGGGCCTCACTGCTGGGACCCTCATCATCCTCCTGGTGCCGGAGCCGAAGCGAGGAGCTGCCGACCAGCACACCGTGAAACTGAGAGCCGGCACCTCGTGGAGCCGAGACATGAAGGCCGTCATCAAAATGTAAGTCCTCCTCAGGACTCGAAAACACGGCATTTCTGTTTCCTATAATAAATAATCCTGGCACTTAATGCAGCGTCTCATCATGTCTTCGAGACGTCTCAAACCGTTTCACAGAATATACCGTAAAGTGAATTGACTGTGTGTTTTGTGAGCGAAACTCGGCAGCCAATTGCGCACAGCAGCGTCCCACAAAGTTTTTTTCGAGGGATTATTACCCCCGGAAAGCAATCCGCCAATCGACTAACAACTCCTACTTACTGCGAGGTACACAGAGGCGTGTGTGTGGAGTGAGGAAACTTGCTCAATGTTTCGCCCTGCCCGGGAATCGAACCCGGGTCCTCTCGCTTGCAAAGCAAACGCTCGAACCAATACGCTACGATAACTTGTCCCATTGAGATAAGGTGGGAAATTTGGCTGGAAAATTCACTGGGATTGATCCTCTCTCTCTCTCTCTCTCTCTCACACAGTCCAAGCTTTGTCTTCCTATCTCTGGCTTCTGCCTCGGTGGCATTTGCGACGGGGGTGCTGGGTATGTGGATCCCGCTGTACCTGTTCCGGGCTGAGGTGGTACAGAAGCACATCGAGCCCTGCACCAGGGAGCCCTGCAGTGGCAGAGACAGGTACAACAACAACAAATGACATCTATATGATTATAGGGTCTATCACACCGGGATTTGCCCCTAAACTGAGGGTTGGGATCAGGAAGGGTGGAGGACAAGGGACGGTGACTGTAGGAGGGTGATTGAAGGTGGTGTCGAACAGGAGGGTCTTGAGACGGGTCTTGAGGAGCAAGAGGGGGGCGAGGCGGGGGGACTGTGGGATGGAGTTCCGAAGGCTGAAGGCCTGATTGCCGATGCTGTGGTGGGCAGGACAGGGTCACGGCCAGAGCCCGCTGAGCGGAGGGAGTTACAGTGGTCAACGGATTGGGACAAAGTTCAGGAAGGGACAATTCGGGAAAGGGGCGGAATGATACTTGGGAAGGAAAGGTTCGCGAGGAGAGCCTCAAAAATGCTTTACCATCTCTCCGCAGTCTGATATTTGGGATCATCACATGTATCACTGGGTTCCTGGGGCTGATCCTGGGCGTGGCGGCCACCAGATGGTACAGGACTAAAACCGCTCGCTCCGACCCCCTGGTCTGTGCCTTCGGGATGCTCAGCTCCTCCATCTTCATCAGCCTCATCTTCGTCTTCGCTCGCTTCAGCATCCTCGGAGCTTATGTAAGTGTGCAGCCATCGAAACACTGCTCCTTCCCCCACCTCCCACTCTGTTTGAAAAGGCTCCTGTGTGATTGGGGGGCGGGGGGGGCGAGAATGATTTATGAGCTCGCCGAGACCTATGTTTCACTTGCCCAAAACCTTTGTAATAATAACCCTTGCATTCGATACAGTGCCTTATCACGTCATTCAGATGTCTCAAAGCGCTGCACAGAATATAGTGTAAAGTGGAGTGACTGTGTATTTTGTGGGCAAAACATAGCAGCCAATTGTGCACAGCAATGTCCCACAAACAGTCGTGGATTAAGTGACAAAATGTGTTTTTTTTTGGAGGGATTATAAACCCCGGAAAGCGATCCGCCAATTGACTAACAGCCAATTTACTGCTGGATAGACAGAGGTGTGTGGAGTCAGGAAACTCGCCGAAGGTTTCACCCCAGATTGAGTGCTGCAGTGTTTTTTTTTTGTTGGCAGTGATGCTCTGCTCCTTGCTGTGAGCTCGCTCGCTCGCTCGCTGGCTGGCTGTCTGCCTGCCTTCCCTCACCAAGTGAAGCATCCCCCCAAACCAGCACAAGCAGCAGGTGGGGAAGGCATTTAATCAACGCACTTAATTGCTGCAGCATTTGGCAGCCCAGCCTGTTGGATAATGTATACCCACTTGGGACCACCTGCCCCAGAAAAAACCTGTGCAGAAGTGAAGTAAGGGTTGATACAGAGAGCGGTGGCGAACACAGTCATCTTCCCTCTCCTCCAGCACCCCTCCCCTCCCCTCCCCTCCTCTCCCCCCCCCCCGCCCCGCGCACACATCCACGACGCCTTCCTCAAAGTTAAATGGTTTCTGATGGAGGGGAGACTCCCTCTGTAACGCACGCAGTTTTGAGATGCGCAGCGTATGTTTAAGTCTCAGCAAACGCAGCAATTACTGTAGTCTGTGGGTTTAATTAGAACTGCCGTGTCTCTGCATTTGGAATCCTCACACATGTGGTAAGTGAGGTGCAGCAGGAAAAAAACACTGAGGTTTCCAATCTGGGCACCAAGCTCCCTGTTTAATTCCTGCTTTTATAAAAGTTCTTAAATTATTTTGAGCGGGACACCGACTCCTCTGGGTTCACAAATTTCTTTAACCCTTTCCCTCCCCCCCCCCCCCCCCCAGCTGGACTTCAAGTCGTTTCAAAGATGTCTCAAACAAAACTAATACTGTAAAGTTTTAGTGACTGTGCATTTTGCAGGGAGCTAAATTTGCGCACCGCCGTGAAGTGAGTGATCGCCCAATTTTATCTGGGGGGGAATTTTTGGCCAGGACACCGGGAGAGAGAAACTCCTCTTTTTCGAATAGAGCCGCGGGATCTTTAACATCCACCCGAACAGGGCAAACGTGAAATGACAGTTCAGCGTCTCCAGCCCATCACAAAATGCCTTTCTTGATACTTTCTTTCTCGGGCTTATGTTTTCGCTTCAACCTTGATACGAAATTCTTAAATTCGCTCTCTTCGCTCCCCCTCCTCAGCCCCTTTAGAATTTGCTGGGTGCAAAACAAGGCCAACATCGTGTCAATTGAAATAAGACAAAGCGTCAGTGAAACCTGTTTGGCTGTGGAGCGATGCTCTAATCGAGAGAAAGGAATGCGTGTGTTCGGCGTGAACTCAAATTAGCTCAAAAGTTTTGGGTGTTCACCCGGTTTACTAAACATCTCCGAATGCCTTCTCGAGTTTAAACAAATACAGGGATTGATTTACAAGAACTTTGATTGAAGCCGCAGTCAGCGAAGGGAATGGGGAAGAGCCTGGGCCGGGCTGGTTAGTCTGCCCTGTTTATAAAAGAAAATTGCCTTTCAGGTCTCAAATAAAGCAAACGATTTTACTGTCCTGTGTGGGAGTTGCACTTTTATGAATGTCCAAGATTTCAAGGGAACCTGGATTGCTTTCAGCCATGTGGCTTTCAGTCCCCACATCTGTTGCCTTCACCGAGTTGCGTTCTGCTCGCTCCACGTTTGCCAGTTGTGCTGAATGAAGAAATGGGTCATTTTTTTTTACATTTGGCCACTTGTCTGTAGAGTGCTGGCCAAATTGGCCTCGCTGGCCAACCTTGATGTCCTCTCAAAGAATTTTATCTGGTCTCAATCGTCTCAGCTGGGGGTTGAGATTCCCCCGGTCCATTTAAATGAAAGCCCATGTCGGCCTCTGAGCAAATTGTGGAGTCCCATAGCGTAGTGGTTAGTGCGCTCACCTCACAAACGAGAGGACCCTGGATGGGGTGAAACGTAGACAAGTTTCCTTACTCCACACCCCACTGTTTACCTAGCAGTAAGTAGAAACCCAGTTGTTAATCTATTGGCGGATCGCTTTCAGTCAGGGGGCAATAATCCCTAAAAAAAATCAATCCACGGCGGTTTGTGGGACGCTGCTGGGCACAATTGGCTCCTGCGTTTTGCCCACAAAATTCAGTCAATCCACTTTACAGCATATTCCAAAGCGCTTTGAGACGTCTTACTGAAGTGATAACGCGCTGTATCAAATGCAAGGATTATTATTATTATAAAAAACATCCCAATTCCCCACGTGCTCGTTGCATTGGGGACCGTCTTGAATCCTCAATTGCTGCCTCCCTCCTCCCGATGTGAAAGGCACTATATAAATATATAAATGTAATTTTGTTGTTGTTGTTGTTTGGCGTACAGGAAAACATTGGGAGTAAATGGGCAACGTTTCAGGACCCGTTCCTTATGTTAAAAAAATGCAGTTAATCTTAACTCCCTCGTCCTTTCATCTTCTTATTAGTTGGCATGTTTTATTCCCGAGAGTTGAAAACTTGCAGAGTTCAAAGATTCGCCCTCGATGCCTTTTTTTTCAAAAGAAACGTGACTTTAATTTCTGATGTACTTGTGTTGGTGGTCGATGTTTGGATGTTGGGGGGGGGGGGGGGGGGGGGGGAGTTGTTGAGGAGACTTTGAGGGTCACAAGCTTGCTAAATGTCCACCAGACTGATGAGGACTGGGCCCACTGCCCCTCCTGAAGTTGCTGGTTACTGTACTGTTAGGTTACATTGTATAGCGAGCTGTCCGTTAGTGGCTGGAACTCGCAGGTTCTAACCAAGGTTTCTCTCTATTCACGCAGATCTGTATATTCATTGGTGAAACGCTTCTCTTTCTGAACTGGGCTATCACAGCGGACATACTGATGGTAGGTAATGGGGCAGCTCTGTGCTGTCGTTCACAGCAAGAAAGTGTAGAATCCCCTCAACTGACGGTTGAGCCAACCTGCTGTGCTCCTTCAGAGACTTTAGTCACATCTTGGTCGGAAGCCAACACTTGCTATAGGAGTAATGGAAGACTAAGAGAGCACAAGAAGCCTAACACTAACTCTTCTTTTAAAGAGTAGCGACCGATTTGTAACCTGGCACAAGAAAGACAAGGCTGTAAAGCGGAACAAAGATTTTAGAAGTTATCTGAAGCCTCAGATAATTTAATGTGCTCTGGAAATGATCGCTCCTTCCTTTACAATGCGGAATCCCATGATGAGCATGGAGTAAAAATGTTCTTTAGGGTCAGTGAACAATGCACGTTATGTTAACTTCCCCCACTCCCCCCTCCTCACCCTGCCTGCAACAGAATACTGCCCGTGATAATCAATCATTGTAAGATTAAGGACTTCTGAAGAGCACTAAGGACCTCTGAAGAGCACGGAGGAAAACCTCACCACTGTCTCTCTCCTTTCAGTATGTTGTCATTCCCACTCGCCGTTCGACTGCGGTGGCTTTGCAGAGCTTCACCTCTCACCTGCTCGGCGATGCGGGCAGCCCCTACTTAATAGGAGTTGTAAGTACCCCTCGCAATTTTGAGTTTCTTAATGACAATTCTCCGTGAATCTGATGGGCGAGCCTGTCACATCGAAATATCTCAACAAGCACGAAGCAAAGAATTGCTGTCAAGTGTATTTGTTGGTGAACGTGGCAGTCAAGTTGCGCAGAGCAATAGCCGCACACACAGCTAAGATAAATAATAATAGTAATCCTTGCATTTGATAGAGCGCCTTATCACGTCATTGAGACATCTCAAAGCGCTTCACAGAATGTACTGTAAAGTGTAGTAACTTTGTGTTTCGTGGGTGAAGAGCGGCAGGCAATTGCGCGCAGCAATTTAAATAATAATGTAAATAAGATAATAATAATGTAAATAATACGTAAGTATTGGAGACCTCACTAGGGCTGTTAGGCTGGAGAGGGATGTTTCTGATGGTGTGGGGTGGAAATGGGTGGGGGGGTGGTTGGCGGTGGATGGAAGAATAAATACACTTGCAGATCCAACCACAGTTGCCAGGAAATGAATCCTGCAAATTCCTAACAGCGGCAATTTCCGAAACGCCATCTGCTTCGGCCCTAATTAAAAGGAATTTCAAGGGCGTTGGGGGTAACATTAACAAACGAATTGAAGGGTTGGGGAGAATGCCACATTACCTTTTTTTTTGCATTCCCGCAGTTTACTCTCGGCCGAGTGTAAAATCTTAATCTGTATTAATAAGTCCATTTATTTTTCAGATTTCCGATGTGATTCAGCACAGTAAACCCGACCTGTACCTCTGGGAGTTCCTGAGTTTGGGCTACGCACTCATGCTCTGCCCCTTCATCATAGTCCTCGGAGGCACCTTTTTCCTGGCTACAGCTCACTACATTGTGTGTGACCGGGAGCGTGCTCAGCAACTGTAAGTGTGAATGTTTCCAGTGTGTTTCAGGTCTTCAGATGGGTGAAGAGGTGGGGGAGGGGGAGGTTTGTAGGGAGACACATGACACCAAATAAAGTACAGACCTGGCTTTTTCTTTGAATGGCCAGTTCGATCCAGTACTGATGGTGCCTGTCCTCCCGGGAATGGATGAGAGATATTGGAAGGCAACGTTCAGCTATTTTATGACCAAATTCCATGAGGAAACCAGGAGGAGCTCGAGAATCATTCGGATGAAGGAGGCCCTTTGGCCCATGTGTCCTCATCCGTCCAACATTCCCATCCTAATGCCTGGCCCCTGACAGCATTGAGCTGTTTCATAACCGAGAAATAATCATTTGGAATTGAGGTATGATCTAATGGAATGGTGGAACAGACTCGAGGGGCTGAATGGCCTACTCCTGTTCCTATATAAATATATATATATATATGGTTCCAGAGTCCTTGGCCTCATCCACCCTTCTTGGTGACTCCACTCTGCTCTCTGGGTAAAGAAATATGTCCTGGTGCCTGTCTCGAAATTTCCCCTTCACACCCCTCGTCCCACTGCCTCTGCATACCAGGAGGGTTGACCACAAAATTGTTTGTTAGGAGTTAACGCCTTGTGAATCAGGAAGTGCATTCTCAACATATTATGGCGGTATCTCTGGGTTGAACTCCATTGACAGAGTAGGTGTTAGCTGTCTTCATGCCATTGCTCAAAGCCAGTTTCAAGATCATTCATAAGCACCTGCTTAAGTGTTATATTAATGACTCACGTAAATTCTTGTGTTATTTCCAAATTGGCAGCCACCTGCAGTTGTTATACATAATGTATGGTACTTTGCGTGTGTGTGTTTGTGTAGAATTATGCACGTTCAGGAATCAGTTTCCCTCATGAGATTCATACATTAAAAAAAAACCTTAGCCGATGAGAATAAACTGGGAACTTAATTTTCCTGCCTACGTTCGCTAAACCGAGGCTTCCAATTAATGCAACCAACCCAAACCATCAAACCTTTTTTTATGGGATTTTCTCTCTCTCTCCGTGTAGCTGATTTCTTCTGATATATATATGTATATATAGTACAGCCTTGACAGCGCTCTGACAGCACAAGTTAGTCAGAGTGTGTGGGGAGTCAGTGTTGGGCGCAGGCAGGCGGGCGTCTGTCTGTCTGTTTGTCCGTCTGTCCCCGGGAACCTTCCTGGCCAGATTACTAAATGGAGTTTGTTCTGTGAACACTGTGATGCCAGTCTTTACTGGGGGGATCTGCAGAAATCTGAGGAATGCAGATACTTCCTAAAAAAACACAATTTGCATTTTTTCTTGCGGGTAAATGGCAGGAAGTGTCGCACAATGAATTAATAGCATTACGGTAAAGTCAGCAGCAAAGTTGCTGGAGATAAAGAAAGCCAAACAATGGCTCGCTAGGAAGTGGATGTTTTTTTTCTATGTGCAGACACCTCGAGGCTCGTGACCTCTGCAAGGTGCTTTCAGGAAAGGACTTTTCTTTCAATTTACAAAGGGCTTGCATTTTTTCCATACCACCTTATCGCATCCCCCCCCCCCCTCCCCACACACACACAAAAACACATTTCGCTGGTAATTACTGTTGAGCATAGCGGTTATTTTTCTTTCTGAGGCAAAACAAAAAGCAGGAGCCGTCAGTGCTCGCGAACTCGATCTCTGGGAATGGTGCAGCTCAGAGCTCCCTCAGTGGCTGAGCAAATTTATCCAGAGTGTAGTTGACAGCAGGTACAGCCTAAGCTGTCTGTGTGGTTTGCTGCTTTCCTGAGGTACCACTCGTGGCTGGATAAGGGAGGGAAAAGATAGCCATCGACTCCTGCTATCCACAGACCCCTTCCTTCCCACCCAATCCAATCCAATCGGTGCCAGTGGATGTCCTGGGAGATGGGGCAGGATCAGGTTCCAGAGCTGAGGTGATAAATGAGCAAAGGCACCGATGGAACCAAACGACAACACACAACAAATTGCAATTTATCTAGCTTTTATGAGTCTCTATAGACTGGAGCAGGCAGGTTGGTGACGTTTTAATAAGCGCAAAGTTTTAATAACTCCAAAAGGGTGGGAGGGGAAGTGAAGTCTTGTATGTCAGAGGGTTCCATACATTCTTTATATGAAAGAATGTTGGTATTGCAGGACAAACTGAAGCATTTAGAAGCAGCTATGCTGACAACACCCATTGCTATGATCTGTAATAATTACTTTGCTCAAGTTAGAAGGTTTTGATCCTTTAATCTGCAGTTGGGTTGAGGCACTTAAATGGCTGTTATAGAGTGCAGTGAAAAATAGAACAGTAAATAATCCTTACATTTGTACTGCGCCTTTCATGGCGGAAGGACATCCCGAATTGCTTCACTGTAATCTGCAGTTAAGTATGTTTTGTGGCTGAATACTCGTATTCAATGACCCGGAGTGCGACTAACCCCCATGGCTCTGTGACAAACGCTCCTTTGCCCACCCTGAGCCCTGGCTGAAACTTTAGTTTCCTCATTATAAAACTTGGGAGACAAACCCCTCTAAAAGCCTTGCCATTTCACCCGTCTCTGATGTCCGCCCAGCCTGTGTCCCCATGATCAACGGTCTCTTGGACTGCTAACACTCTGGGTCACTAAATGTGAATATCCACCCATGAAACAAACGTTTCACTGCGCAGTGCTGATTGACCCCCCCTCAGCTATCCTCAAGCGCTCTGGGACGCTACCCTGCGTGAGGGTGCTATGTAAATGCAAGTTGTTGTAAAATGGGGGAGCCAGTCATCTCTGGCACTGCAAGAATCATATCGGGTACCACTGCCCACTGCACTGAGGCAAGGCCTTGCCTTTTTTGCTATTAGTTTTGACATCGCTATGCACACTTGGTTAAAAAAAGTCTTTGTTCAAATCCCATGACTCATAGCGTTATAAAGAAACGTACGAGTAATCACAGCGTCCTCAAAACAGCCGAAAACGTAACCAAGGTACACAGGCTACATTTCATTGTAATTGTATTAATCATTCTTCAACTGAATTGCTATTGTGTCCTTCGTTACGTAAACAGCTGCAATATCAATGGGAAGTTTCTGTACAAATCAACACGCCTACATGTAATGGCAGGCCAGCAGTTGGGAAAACAATTTGATTATTGGCTCATCCCTAAAAAATATTTTGTAATAAACAACAAATTACATTTGCACAGTACCTTTCACGTCAAGAGGATGTCCCAAGGTGCTGACATTTTTTGGGGGGAGGGGGAGAGGAAAGAGTATCATTTGCAATATTTTCTTCTAACAGATTTAGTAAGAAATGTGTAACTGAACCCTGAAATCCAGTCATTAGACTTTTCTTGTAAGGAAATATCACATGTTAAACCTCATTACTTTATATTGAAGGGGAGGAAGGGAAACATTCACAAGATTAGTTCAGATGAAGAAGCCCTTTCAGCGTTGAATGCAAAGCCTCCAGGCTTCTGCAACGCAGCAGCTGATGTTACAAATTCTGATCGCCCATAAATGCTATTTCATCAACATCTCGCGTAGAAAGGATGAACGTCTCGAATCCCCATAGCAGTTATGAAAGGGAGAAAAGGAAGAGAGGACTAAGAAGATGATCCAAATACAGTCAAAACAATTGTCTTTTAGGAGAGTATTGACGACTGAGTCAGGTCATTTGGCTGAGAACCTGAAGGCTTGGCCACTGATGACAAGGGATTACCGCCCTTCTTGTTGACCTGGCTGGCTGTCTATTGCAGTTCAGCTACCTCTTCGACCTCGCTTATGGTCATCTCCCCCACACACCCTTGCTCGGCCCCCAACCCCACCTCTGTGGAGCGCTCAGAGGCGCTATCCTGAGTGAAGGAGTGCTGTGAGATGCAAATTGCTGCTGTTGTTTTGGTGTCAAGCACTACTGTTCACATCCACTGTCTGACCAGTCCACCTTGTTCTTTTCTCTCTCTCTAGGGTGGAGGAGATGAAGCTGGTAGCCATAAAAGTTTGATAAGGTACGGAGAGGTGAAGGGGAACAAATCACTCACACACTCACGAGTTATTTCGGATCTGGAATGCATTGCCTGAAAGGGAAGCCGATGTGATAACAACTTTTAAGAGAGAAGTAGACAATTATTTGGGGAGGACAATTTTGCAGGGCGATGGGGAGAGAGTGGGGGAGTGGAATGATTTGGGAAGCTCTTTTCAAAGAGCCAGCACAGACACGACTGGCCGAATGGCCTCCTTCTGTGCTGTATAATTCCATGTTTAAGTTGAACGCAAAATACTCTGGCCTGAGATGCCTGCTGAGGAACGATTGAGGGTGGCAGGGAGCTAGTTTTTTTTTCTATCAGCAAGCAGCACTGAGATTTATCACTGAGGTCAGGGACACAGGGAGGAGGACAGTGAGATGGTTCCTCCCAGATATGAAGCTTTCCCCTTCTCAGGTTTTTGTGTTCTGTGGCGCAGTGCTGCTCAGAAGCACAAAACAAACAACTTTAAACTCGATTCAACCCATGCGAGAGAAGGAGTGAGAGAGAGAGAGAGAATAAGTTTCACAAATGGCTCGCAAGTTAAGCGCAGTCGTGACCTGGTTCCTTTTTGTAGGCAGATGCTGCAAGCAATTTGTGCAAAGCATGGCCCGCAAACAGCTGGGACCAAGTGAATTATCAGTTAATAATAATAATCCTTGCATTTGATATAGTGCTTTACATGTCTTCTAGATGTCTCAAAGCTCTTAACAAAATAGACTGTAAAGTGAATTGACTATATATTTGTGTGCAAAATGTGGCAGCCAATTGTGCACAGCAGCGTCCCACAAACAGTCGTGGATTGAGTGACCAATTGGTTTTCTGAGGGTTTATTATCCTCTGGAAAAGCGATCCGCCAATCAACCGGGTTTTACTGCTAGATAAACAGAGGCATGTGGAGTAATTAAACTTCCCCAACATTTTGCCCCGCCCGGGAATTGAACCCAGGTCTCTTGCTTGCGCTAACCACTATGCTACAAGGCTCCACAAGTCCTGGGGTAGGAATGTGGGGGGGGGGGGGGGGGGAGAGAGAAGATCCAGACAGCGAGAGAAACTCCCCTTCTCTTTTCCGATCAGTGTTTCGGGTTCTTCAATGCCCACTTCAGTAAGCAGACGGGAGTTGGATTTAACGGCCCCCTGGCTGGATTCGCATTGTGTTGGCTGCATGGATCTCAAAGGAAAAGTGTGCGTTTGGAAAGTCGAGAGAGGGTCCTCCCATATTCCCGAGTTGCTGTCGCGCTGTGCGAGTATCACGTAAAAGATGAATAAATCTTATTTTCACGACTAATCTCTTGTCCTCCCATTCCCTCCGCAGCTGCCTTGGAAGCTGGTGACAATGCCAAGCTGCAACCAATTTCAGATTGAACCAAAATACAAGGTGGCAGAGGCAGCAGCCTTCAGTCAAGTCACCACACTGGCTGTCGGGCGTGCGAGTGGCAGTCGGAGTGAAGGGTGAAGAGCCTCGGCAGCATCTCTGGAGGAAGTGTAGTGTCTGCGTATTTGGTAGCTAATTCGTACACAGCAATGTACCCTCCCCCCCAAACAACAGTGAAGTGAATGACAAATCTTTTTTAATATTGGAAGGATTGTCAGCCAGGACACTGGGGAGAGCATTTAATGTTGCATCTGAAGGACTGCACCCCTGACAACACAATGCTCCCCCAACGTGGAGTCAGAGCCACAGAGCTCTCCACGTTTCTGAGGCCAGGATCCCTCGCCTCATCTGCTGAAAACCAGAACTTTCACGTCCACAGAACGCTGGTAACCTTGGTCTCCGCACTTTATAACTTAAAAAGGAAAAAGTCTTGTCCAGCTTCTAAAATATTAACGGACACTTTAAAGTTCGAGCATTGAGCTTCCTTCGCCTCCCCCCTCCCTCCCTCCATGGCCTAAGGCACTGTCCAGTGCACCATTGGGGATTTGCAGGTCTGAATACAAGTCTGGCCTGAAGTATCTGATCTTGTCCTGGGCCGGTAGCTAGAGTGTTACTGTTGGCCAGAGGACATGAAGTCCTGGGTTAATATGGGAAGTGAGGGATAAGGGAAGAGAAAATAAATAGTTTCTCTGGTGTCGAGACAGGTGCCAACACCAACATTATCCAAGTGGCATTGGCCTGGTCTCTCCAGCCTTCCAACAACAACTTGGATTTATACAGCACCCTCCACACCGGACGGCTCCACAGCAGATCCGGCCACTTGTATCTTTAGAGTTTACTGAACAAGAATGGAAAAGGCTTTACTGCGCCTCACCTCACCTAGAGAGGGCATGAGGACCACTATTCCTCTCCCTCCCCCACCTCGCATTTTCTCCCCTTCCACCACTACAAAGATCAGAGATCTGAACTACACAAGTCCCGAGCTGAACCAATTTAGAACATATAGTTCCCCATTTAGCCCTGATTAGCTGGCAGACAGGAAAGGCAAAAAACAAATTATTTTGTCTGATTTGTCCACCTCCATTGCATGTCTAACTAACCCGGGCTCAGGGACAGTGGAGAGCCCATTAGAAACGGAATTATACACAAGCTATTTCTATCTGCAGGAAACCTATTCCTGTCCAATTAGTCACAGGATAGGATAGCTCATCAGAACTATTAACGTAAGCCACTTTACAAATTTAATTTCCATTGTGTGTTCCATTGTCGCTGCCGTGCTGTGGGTTTCTTGGAACAACCCCACCCAGAACTTGAAATTTACCTCTTTTGGTGGCAGACAGGACCTTCCTGAGTTCTAGGTCTTGCCCAAAGGACAGTACCTCACGCCAATGCAGCTCGCTTTGCCCAAGTACTGCAGTGTCAGCCTAGACTGTTTGCTGAAACTCCCCAAGGCTTGAGGGGTAAATCCTGAACCCGCAGACCAACTGAGCCAAGCTGTCACCTGGCACTTTGTCTGTTGCCAGGCAATTTCTATTGCATGGCATTCCCTCTGTCCAGCTAACAGCAAGTTGGAAAACGAGCTTTAATTTTAAAAAAAACAAAGCTTATTTTCAGGATACTGTTTAATTTTTGTATAAACTCCAGCACTGGTGTCACACCCAGTGCCCCAGGTTCTTGTCACACAAGAAGTTTTTAAGTCAAAACTGTTATCTGATTTCTCAGATGTTATTTTTATTGCCTTTAAAGCTTTCTAAATATATAAATTATACACAGTGGGGGTCCAACGTGCGGAGATTTAAGAGGAGTCTGTGACATGGATTCCCGAGTGGGAAATAGGGAATTCTGCCAGGATTGGGAAGGACGTCTCCTGATTTCCAGTATCTGCTTATTAGAGTGGAGTTCACACAGATCGTCAGTCAGCAGTCCCTATCCGCCACTCCGGAATTCATAAACAAATACTGTTATGAAGATCCACACATTGGAGCCTGACCTCAGTTCAAGCTAATGTACAGATTTATTGGAACTTAATAAATAAATGTATTCACAATAATGTCGTTGCTCGCACTGCTGTAAAGAATAACAAACTTTAATAATAAACAGTGCCTTATAATGTCACTAAGATGTCTCAAAGCGCTTCACAGAATATACTGTAAAGTGTAATGACCGAGCATTTGCTGTGTGGCTATCTCAGCCCATCCACACTGCGAGCCTGAAGGTCAGACTGTGACTATAAGCAGAGCAGTGATTGGGAACGGACGGCACAGGCAGATTCTATTAAGAGGGAATCAGACAGCTACGAGGTGAAGAAATCAACTGAATCATAGAATCACAGAATTATACAGCACAGAAGGAGGCCATTCAGCCCATCCTCTCTGCGGCGCTCTTTGAAAAGAGCTATCCAATGCAATCCCACTCCCCTGCGCTCTCCCCATAGCCCTGCAAACTTGTCCTCCCCAAATAATTAACTACTTCTCTCTTAAAAGCTGTTATCAAATCGGCTTCTACCAGCATTTCAGGCAATGCATTCCAGATCCAAACAACTCGCTGTGTGAAAAAATTTCTCCTCACCTCCCCTCGGTTTCTTTTAACAACTATTTTAAATCGGTGTCCTCAGGTTACCAACCCACCCACCAGTGGAAAACAATTCTCCTTGTTCTCCCTGTCAAGTCCCCTCATAATTTTGAAAACTTCTATGAAGTCTCCTCTTAACCTTCTCTGCTCCAAGGAGAATAACCCTCGCTTCTTTAGTCTCTCCTGATAACTGAAGTCCCTCATTCCTGGTACCATCCTGGTCAATCTCCTTTGCGCCCTCTCCAATGCCATGACATCCTTCCTAGAGTGCGGTGCCCAGAACTGAACACAGTCTCTCGCTGAGGCCTAACCAGTATTTTATATAAAGGTTCATCATAAGGTTCTCCACATTAAACTTCATCTGCCACGTGTCGGCCCATTTTACCAGTCTATCTATGTCCTCTTGCAGTCTGCTACTATCCTCCTCACTGTTTACTACTTTTCTTAGCTTAGTATCATCTGCAAACTTGGAAACTGTACTTCCTATACCCAAGTCCAGGTCATTTATGTAGATCAAAAGCAGCAGTGGTCCCAACATGACCCCTGGGAGACACCACTGCAACTTCCCTCCAGTCAGAAAAACAACCATTCACCACTACTCTCTGCTTTTTGTCTCCCAGCGAGTTCTGCATCCGCTGCCACTGTCCCTTTAATACCGTGAGCTTCTATTTTGCTTGCAAGTCTCTTGTGTGGCACTTTATCAAACGCCTTTTGAAAATCTCTATAAAACTACATCAACTGCACTACCTTCATCTGACATTCTCCAGATGTGAAAGGCGCTCTACAAATGTAATTTTGAGGTTGTTCATAAAAACACTATCAGGTTTGTTAGACATGATTTGCCTTAAACAAATCCGTGTTGACTGTCCTTTATTAACCCATATTTTTCGAAGTGAAAATTTATTTTGTCCCGGATTATAGTCTCTAGAAGTTTCCCCACTACTGACATTAGGCTGACTGGCCTATAGTTCCCGGGTTTATCCCTCTGCCCCTTTTTGTACAGGGGAGTAACATTTGCAAACCTCTAGTCCTCTGACACCATCCCGGTGGATTGAAAGATTGTGACCAGAGCCTCCGTTATTTCCACCCTTACTTCCCTCAGTAACCTAGGATGCATCCCGTCCGGATCGGGTGACTTATCTATCTTAAGCAGAGTTTAATTCAGATTGGGACCAGGCAGATGGACCATAATGGTCTTTTACAGTCCTGGGTTCCAGATACTGCTAAGGCATTGGTGGCCAATCTCTTCGGTTGACATGTCATATCCCAAACTATATATTATATCTCGAGATATTATTTTCTAACAAAAATCTACCTAATTTGTGCTTCCAAATATATTCCAAATAAATATTTCTTGATTGAATAATTTTTTGTTTTTTGGCATAAATCTATGCTTTTTGTTATTCCTATGATTATTTTGGTGGCGAACCAATAAAGTTGTGTGTTGGGAAGAGGAGCCAATGATAGGGCGAACAATTTATATTTACACAGCGCCGTTCGCATCAGGACGACGTCTCAAAGCGCCTTAAAGAACAAGATCAACATTAAGCACCTGATAATTTGTAATGTTCAGAAGGCTCCCTGTGGCATAGGTCCAAAAGGGGGAAAACAATTACCATTTTAATAACCTATCATTATCCGATTATAGGTGAATCAGGCAAACCTGCCCGACAGGTGCAGCCAGAGCTTGGCACAAACCCCGTGCACCTGATACACCAGACAAGACATAAAGACCAGCCTTTGGAGAGGCCCGCGGCAGAAGCATAAAAAGGTTAAACACGAGGAAGCAGAAAGTATTTAAGTTGAGCACAGAAATTATATAAACTCTCCAAAGAATCCTCCGTCCCTCTCACACACACAGGTTGGATACCAACAAATCTCATTTAATCCACACAATGAGAAAATAGGATACAATTTAATAAAAAGATTTTATTGCCAGGCGGGCGAGGTGAGGGGAGAAGGAGCAAAAGAGAGGAAGGGGGTGCTCGAGCAGCAGGAGGGTACCACTTACCGACGACTCCGACCTTCCAACATACGGCTGGAACTCAGTCTTGGAACAGTAAGGACATGTTTGGAGGGGGTGCAAACCCCCAAGAAAAAATATATATATTATATATATCTATACACCCCCCTAACCCCTACCCGATTCTCTCAGTGGCTCAGTCAGTCAGTCAGACTCACGTGGCCATGTTCTGCGCTCTCTTTGGCTTGGCTTTGGGCTTGTTGCCCACCACTCTGTCAGTCCGAACGGCTTGCAGCGGCCCCTCCGCTCTTCCCTTTTTAGGCGCCGGTTCCTGAGCTGCTCTCTCGGCATCGCCTCCTCCTGTGCTCTTCATCTTCTTCCTTTTCATCTTCTTTTTCCTGGGCTTCGCAGCCCCTCCAGCCCCCGGCTCCAGCCCTTTCTCCTGGGTTTCTTTGCTGTTCTCCTCGGACGCAGCTTGCTGCTTATTCCGGTTTTTCCGTTTCTTGGTTTCTGGGAGAAATCCCTTCTTCTTTTTCTTGGTTCCCACAGCTGACTGCGGAGTTTCCTTCTTCACTCTGACTGCTGGCTCCTTCTTGGGCCGCCTGCCACAAAAAAAGTGTTATATATAATATATATATACACACATATATATATATATAAAAATAATATCAATTGTTGAGGGACAGGTATCCGAAGACAGAGCTCCCCTTGATGAGATAGTTACACGGTGATCCGCTAGGTTCAATTAACAATATTAATTGGTCATTCAATCCACAACTGTTTGCGAGACGCTGTTGTGCGCACTTGGCTGCCACATTTCGCGAAAACAAATATACAGTCAATTCACTTTACAGTATATTCTGTGAAGCGCTTTGAGATGTCTCAACGACATGATCGATTTCAAGATCCTCACACTTGTTTTCAAATCCCTTCATGACCTGGCACGTCCCTACCTCTCTAACCTTACTCCCCAACCCCCGCTCAACTGGCTCTGGCCTCCTGCATGTCACTCTAACTCTCCATTCCACCGTTTGCAGCGACTACTCCCCCCAAAAATCTGGAACTCTCTTCCTCTATCCCTCCGCCTTGTCCCTTCCTTCCCCATCTTCAGGTCGCACCAGAAGAACTTCCTCTTCGACCGTGCCTATGGTCAGCTTCCCCCCCACCCCACCAGCTTGGCATTATGGTCCAGTACTATCAAGCGCTCTGGGACGCTACCCTGCATGAGGGGTGCTATATAAATGTAATGTGTTGCTGTTGTGATCAGGCGCTATATCAATTGTAGGGATTATTATTATCACTCCCACTCTGTGTGCAAGCGTCCGGGAATACTTACTCTCATGCACGCCAGTGGCAGGAAATGAGGGGGGAGTGTGGAATGGGGATTTCAGAGCAGAGAACACGGAGAACTTGGGACAGTGTGTGAGTGGGGAGCAGGAGGAGCTCGTCTGAAGGATTGGGGTGGGGGGGGGAAGGGGGAGGTAGGGAGCAGAGCACTCACTGACTTGACATCTGTAGTCCCTCATAAAAAACGAGCCCTTTGCAGGCTACAGCCGGCAGTGGAGAGAGCTGGCTGCCAGCCCAGCCGGCTCGCACAATCAGCAGGGTGTCTGATTTGAAAGTCAGATGAGGCGTGATGTCAGGACAGTAGCTGGTAGTAACATAACATAGGGACCAGCCACAGAATTTCCCAAGCAGCAACTGGACATTGCAGTAAATAAGTCTATCATTCACCACCTGGCGCGAGAGTAATCGCCCAGTGGTAATGAGGAGGAGTGCAGCCATTTCCAAACCCGCATTAAATGCCCCCTGGCAGAGCTGACTGCAACCATTAGAGCCACCTCAAGGTCATCCCACATTACAAACTGCCCATTAGAAAAGTTGCCCTCCTGACACCGCCCGCCAGAACAGCTCAACTAGACATCTCTCGCATTGCCTGCTCACACACTCTCTACACAATCCGCTTAACTCGGCACTCAAACCAGACAATTATTTTTTTATATATAAACAGGAGCAGCTTGAGAGATAAAAATACTAAATAATAAAATACAACATACGTTGGGTAGTCTTGGGCATGTTGCTAGAACGTCAACAAAATGAATTCAGGAGCGATGATCAGTTTAGACTAAGTAATAAGATTATAGAATGTGCCGAGACGATCAGTAAAACTCCAGTGAATGTCCTCCCCATTGGGGCTCTACAGTACAGTAAGGTACTGTAGAGCCCCAACTGCGTGGTAAAGGAAGCTGACATGTTTGATCATTGGTCTGTACTTGACCTCAGCATGTATTTGGTCTCAGTGTCCCTGCATTACAACGAGAGGTGAGAGATCAGAGAAAGAGGGCAGGGGACACTTGGAGCCTCACTGTCTTCAACGGAAACGATGAATTGGGAGGGACTAGGAACAAATGAGAATGAAAGGCCTCAAGAACAGTTTGGGCGCTGGATGAATTTTTTGTTGTTATTGGTCAGCTGTGTGTCTGACACATGCGCACATCCATCACCGTTGCTTAAGAGTCTCCAAACCAAACTGAGAATTCCCTGCCTCCCACCTACACATGGAAATCCCAGAGACAGATTGTTGGAAGCTGGCTAGAAGTGGAAGAAAGTTAGAGATGGGCAACAACAACAAGGTCCTTACTCAAACCCGAGGAGTTTCATTGTGTTCCAGTACGTGTCGTCCAGCTGTGAAGACTTGTCAAACCCCTCCAGTCCTTTCAGCGACTCTACTACTGGCACCAGCTCGGTCAACGTGGCATTCAGTTTCTGGGGAGAATGAAGAGAGAAACATAATATCATAGAATTTTACAAGAAGAGAAGGCCATTCAGCCTATCATGCCTTTGCCAGCTTGTTGAAAGAGTTTGGGATGTAATTCCACTCTCCCTACCCACACTCCTTCATAAACACACAAAGACCCTTTTTTTTTGTCATGAAGCAGAATCCAACATTAGAGACAATGACCTGGACCAGAGATGTCAAAAACCACAGAAAAATAGTTAAAACTGTGCTGGTCGTGTACACGTGGCTCTGACCTACTGTGGATTGCTGTCTAGTTCCAAGTAGCAGATTTTATAGCCTGTGCAATATATCCTGAAAGTAATGCGCAGGGCCAGGGCTAGAGACAGAGACACAAACACACAGCTCTGGGTTCCTCACCTGCTGTTTCACGATTTTGATCAAGAAACTGGTCAGCTCCAGACATGCAATAACCTTCTCCTGATCCACTTTGACCTTGAATTCAGACACATTCTTCAAAGACTGGAGAAAAGAAGAAAAGGTGAACACCCACCCTCGTTTTTAAGGCATCCTGCTTGGTGAGAAGTCCAGGTATAACAAACACAGACAAGCAAACCAAGGTCAACGAGCAACCATTTACTTTGGATACATTTATGCCTTTCCATAGGCAATTATCAATCCCAACTCAATGTTAATTGTGTACTCTGACACAGAGCATTGTTAAGAACATAAGAATTAGGAGCAGGAATAGGCCATTCGGCCCCTCAAGCCTGTGCCCCAGCATTCGATAAGATCATGGCTGATCTTCAGACCTAACTCTAAATACCTGCCCTATCCGCATATCTCTCTATTTTTTAAAAATCTCTCAGTCTCAGCCTTGAAGATGTTCAAGGACTGATTACCTACAGCCTTCTGGGGTAGAGAATTCCATAAATTCACTACTCTCTGAGTGAAGAAATGTTTCCTAAACTCTGTTCTAAAAGGCTGACCCTTAATTTTCAGACTGTGACCCCCGGTTATAGATTCTCCTACCGGGGAAACAGACCCTCAGTGTCTACTTTATCAGCCCTTTAAGAATCTTATATGTTTCAATAAGATCTCCCCTAATTCTTCTGTACTCTATAGAGAATACAGCCCAAGTTTATTCAGCCTATCCTCACAGGTCAGTCCCTTCATCCCAGGAACTAACCGAGTGAATCTACGCTGCACCCCCTCGAGGGCAAGTATGTCCTTTTTTAAATAAGGAGACCACAACTGCACACAATACTCTCGGTGAGGTCTCACCAGAGACCTATACAGTGGCAAGACTTCCCTACTCTTGTACTCTAAATCTTTTGCAATGAACACTAACTGCCGTTCGCCTTCTTACTTGCTGCTGCATCTGCAAACTAACTTTTTGAGACTGGTGTACAAGGACACCCAAATCCCTCTGAACACTAACACTATCTAATCTCTCCCCCTCTAGAAAATAATCTGTTTTTCTATTTTTTCTACTGAGGTGAATAACTTCACACTTCCCCACATTAAATTCCATCTGCCACCTACTCGCCCACTCCCAACACGGGTGTTGGTCCCATTCTGGACATGATCAGACCTTTAGAGACAATGGCAAATCATAGAGCAGGGATGGCCAGCTTGCGGCCCACATAGAAGAGTCACACGGGCCGCATGTGGCCCACGGGCCGTAAGTTGGCTGCACTGTCACGAAGAGAAGAATAATACTGAATACTGACAGCAATTATAATGTCAAAACGTCACGCTTCCTGGGTATACATGGCAGCCACTACATGCACAACAAAGACATGAGGTGGAGAGGCGATGTATCTATCTAAAACATTTAAGCCCCCTCCTCATCTTGCCCCCACCCCCCACTGATTCCCCATGCCCCACAATGATGGGATTACCTGGGTAACCTGTTTGATTGCCAGCCCGATGATCTCCTCCCACTCGCTGTCTGTCATGGAGTGCCTCAGCTCCCGGGTGAGGAGGGATTTGAGCACGAGGCAGCTGGCCTGACCCTGGGAAGGCAAGAGACAGCAGCAGTTAATGAGCAGCTCAAGCCCTGATTACAACAGCAGGTTTTCATCAGCAGCTCAGATCCCATCCTCCCTCCCCTCCCATTAAAAGCTAAGTATAGCACGGAGTCCAGCCGCCTGTGGCTCCTCATCAGCTGGGGCTGGGCAGATGCGCCAGACTGTACATTAAACAAAGTCCATTTACACTGCGGAAAATCTACAAGTCGTTTGGTAGTAAAGCCTCCATCAAGTGCTGCCCCTTGTTCAATCCCAAACCAGTTACATGACACTGGATGAGGAGGATTTCCTACCCTTTTGAAGGTGTTTTGACTCTTTTTTTCCTTCTACGGGATGTGGTTCTTAAGTTATTCATGTGTAAGTCTGGTTGGCAAGTGTTGATGGGATCCTGACCTCACCTGCTGCCCGTAAACATACAAACCTTCCAGGGTGGTGGGGTGGGGCCTATAATAATAATCCTTGCATTTGATATTGTGCTTTATCACATCGTTCAGACGTCTCAAAGCGCTTCACAGAATATACTGTAGAGTGGAGTGCCTGTATATTTTGTGGGTCAAATATCGCAGCCGATTATGCCCAGCAGTGTCCCACAAACGGCCATGGATTGAGTGATCATTTTTTTAAAAAAAGGGAATATTACACACAGAAAGCGATCTGCCAATTGACTAACAACTGGGTTCCTAATTACTGCTAGGTAAACAGAGGTGTGTGGAGTAAGGAAACTTCCTTAAGGTTTCGCCCCATCTAGGAATGGAACCTGGGTCCTCTTGCTTGTGAGGCGAGCGTGCTAACCACTACACTTTCGCTTTCGCCCATAAATATGCAGTCAATTCACTTTACAGCATATTCTGTGAAGCGCTTTGAGACTTCGAGAAGACGTGAAAAGCGCTATATCAAATGCAAGGATTATTATTATTATATTACACGTCATAATGATGAGGGAACGGGAACCCAGGCTGATTTCCCTCCACCCGACCTCACCCAGGGGACGATGAGTCCAACGGTAGTCTCAAATACCACCTGGCTGAGATCTGCTAACTCAACACAGACCAGAGTTCAAACCAGGACATTGTGGGCAGCAGACACGAGCCTGAGGGAACAGCCTGGAGTGATATCACATTCCCACCCAGCGCAGACGGAGAACATTCCAGCTTTGAGCTCTCACGGACGAACATCAATCCTTCCTTCACTTCCGTCTCCCAGGCAGATTATGAACCGAGTAAACTATCCGACCTGGGTGCCCCTCCCAAGTGGTGAGACTGGAACTAGTGAATGACTCATTATCCTACATCCCATTTACCAAAAAGGTCCACCCACATTTGTGTCACTTTAACAGCACTGTCAATGGAAGATGCCATTCCGTCCATTGCGTCTGTGCTGGGGTTCACTTGCCCACTTGAGCTCTCTGCTCTAATCCCATTTCCCTTGGGCCACCCTCCCAAATATGATATAAAGGCGCTATTTAAATGCAAGTTGTTGTTATTTTTGCCTGCTCTCTCCCCATCATGTCTGTGCTGGTGCGAGCTAGTGACTGCTCACCTCAGAGTCCCCTATCTTGGCATTTGGTTCATTACCTGCTGATGCTGTCGAACTCCATCAGTGATGTACTTAATTGTTGGCCTCAACAGGCTGGAACACATCACCTGCAAACGGAGGGCATGAGAAGCTGACTGATTAATGCAGCTCTGGACACAGGAACAGAAGAAGGCCATTCAACCCATCGAGACACTTTATTAGATCACAGAAGATCAGTTAATCCCATTCCCACCATTTCTCTGTACCGTTATGAAACGTCCTCACAACGTGAAAGGAGCTATATAAATGTAAAATTGTTGTTGTTACCCCATCGGTCCCTTCCTTCCCAAAGTATCTATCTTTTAAATCTCTCAATTGATTCTGCATCTATGATAACCTGGGCCAATGGGTTCCATGTTCTAGTCACCATCCCTCTGTAAGACCCACAGCTACACATTAGAAGCAGTACACACAGTAGTAGGCTAGTCGACCCCTTGAGCCTGGTTCGCCATTTTATAAGATCATGGCTGATCTCTACCTCAAGGCCAATTACTCCCCCTTGCCCCACATCCCTTAATACCCTGACCTCCGTTTTGAAAATGTGAATGGATCCAGCATCCACAGCCTTTCAGAGGAGAGTTCCAGATTTCCACTAACTTTTGTGTGAAAAACTACCTCCTGATTTCACTCCTAAATGGCCTAGCTCTAATTTTAAGAATGTGCCCCCTTGTTCTGGATTCCACTACCACTGGAAATTGTTTATCTGTATAATACAAAATTACATTACAAGGGCCTTTCACGTCGGGAGGACGTCCCAAGGCGCTGAACAGTCAGGGATTAGGACCCAAGCGGGAGTGAGGGGGGGGGACCAGGGAGGTTGGAAATAGGAGGGTGGCTGAAGGCATAACCTACATCAGGCTATATTAGCCTCAAGCTCTGAAGAACCTTCTCTTCTCAACTACACTCGGTAACAAAAGCAGTAACAAGGCACACTTAGACCAGCCCCCCAAGGCACCCGCGGTCCTCTCCCGCCCCACCACACCGTTTGCGGTCACTTACAGGGAAGCGACTGATGAGATCGAGTAACATAGGGCCAGTGACAGAACACTTGCGTCTAGTCATAAACGCCGTCAGCGCCTCCTTAAAGATGACGGTCGTTCGGGCCAGATCCAGGCTCCCGATACCGTCCAACTGAAGTGAAGAGAGATTGAGAGATTTTGGTCTTCAATTGTGGCCAAACATGAAGGAACACAAATCATTTTTCACTTAACAATGAGCTGCCAAATACCAGAACAATCAGAGTTGCTGCCTCCCCTCCCGGCTCCTGTACCACTTAAATGATTGAAAGAAGGAAACGGGTTCTTTCTAAACCACAAAGATGAACAGACTGAAAGCGCTTCACAGTAATTACGGTCACGTGTAACGACTGTCTATTTTAACCAGGAAATTATAGCAGGTGTTCTGTGCCAAGAGCAGGATACGGCAAACAACACCATGAGGTGAGTGACCAATTAGTTTGGCAGCGGTTTGACCGGTGAAACTATTTCGAATAGCGTTGTGTCAAAATCAGGCTCCCAATTTATGCGCTTAGTTCATCACACCCACCAGGAAGAATTTGCTCCTATCTTCAAATCCCCCCAAATCAGAACCGCTATCCACGTGAAACCCTTTCAGGCACACCCACCTGCCCACTTTGGGGGTCTGCACCCCCTTCCTCCTTCTTGCTGTTTTGAGCTGCCGCCATGGGGTCGATGGCGTTTCCTTTCAGCACTCGGAAGATGTAAAGAGCCCCACTGCCAGGTAAACAACACAGCGTTCAATTAGACACTCGCCCTTAGGGCTCACCCTGAGCGGATTTCACTGTTACTTTAAACTGTAGTGACTGTATAATTGTGGGCCAAACGAGGCAGCCAAAACATGGCAGCACAGCAGTGTCCCACCAACAGTTGTGGATTGAATGATCAGGATGTTTTTTGGGGTGGAGAGATTATTATCCCCGGAAAGAGACTTCTCTACAGAATTGTCAAGGGGGTTTCATGGCATTCCCGGGGGGAGAGGGAGTGGGAAGAGATTACTGCCTGACAGACCTGAAGTGGTAGTGTGCCACGGAGGAGTCGGCCTGTTTGCAGGCTCTCGTCACCAGCCGCTCCATCAACTCGTGTAGATCCTCCCTCATCTCCCACCCGCTGTGACAGTAACGCTTGGCTTTACACAGCTGGTTTCTGTGGCAAAAAAGAAACCAGGCAATATAATAACAGGGAGAAAGGGAGGCAAAAAGTGCAGACAGAAAAAAAAGGAGAGAAAATAGGATGAGAGAAGGGAATAAGAATGTCACACACAAACAGAGAGAGATATGCATGGAAATACACACAGAGAGAGAGAGAGAGAGAGACAGTCACAGAGAGAAGGAAATGCAGAGACAGACAAAAATCACAATGCCTCATGAATGAGGCACACAGAAACACACACACACTAACCTAAAGATGAAAGCAGTTTTACGGAGGAAGGTCTGTTCCTGCTCATCATTGTGGGAACGCATGGTTCCTTCTAGAATGGCCAACATGGGCTCCATGATGTCAAAGATTAGTGGATTTTCCGGCTGTTTTGTTATCAACACCTCAATGAGGTCGAGCACCTGAATATAGCCAAAAGAAGCGGCATTAGCAGAGTATGCAGTCTCATCACTGAAAACAGCTCAGTCCGGCCTGGAACACTGCGTTTCGAACTAGAAAGCTCTGCATTCAAATACCAGTTGGATTTTCAATTAAAAGGTAATATGTCCAAAAATATATATCCAGGGAGGGGAATAATTGGAGTTTCCCCTGAACTGACTCAGAAGAGACAAACCCAAGTCGGTGGACAAAGGAACTGTGGACAAAGGAACCAGCGGAAACTATTGTTAAACTCCTCACGCCTAGCCTGACAATTGATTATATCATTGTAGTCCTTTTTAAACCATATTTCCGCCATTATTATCCACAATTTACCAGACCCGCGGAGATCTTTCTCAAATGTTCCCGAGCCGTTAAGATGTGACTTGCTTTTAAAAGAACAACTCTGGCAGGGAATGCGGAGAAGCTCCAGTTACAACAAGTCTTTAGTGTAGCACTCTTGCTTGGCCTGTGAGGTTATGGAAGAATACAACCCAGGTTCAAAGAGAGTGCGGCAACGACAGACTGCACTGGAAATGGAATAGCAGCTGCACATCAAAACCAGCTTTGCTGCTCGGAAACCAACTGCAGCCTTTCCTTACAAAAAAAGTCACAACATTTGGCAGCTATCCTCTGTAAAGCCCTTTGGGACAGTGACGTTTCAGACACATCTTATGACTTGCTCGCCAGGGCAATGGTTTTCTCAATCAGCCCAACAATAGCACTACCAGCTGGCAGCAAACAGTTCCACACCCCTACATATTGTTTTCATAGATTGTGCAGCATGGAAACAGGCCATTGGGCCCAATTAGTCCATGCTTTTTTTTTTAAGACTCCACACGAGTCACACTCATTTCATCCCCCTCCATTCAGTGCCTGGCACAATGGGAAATAAACTGTCCCCTCCCCATCCCCCACACCGTTCAATTGATAGTGAAAGATCTTTCAATCTTTCATTTCCCCCAGATCCCATAATAATCCTACTGCCTACAAGCAGTCAGTGTCCCTATCAAACATCCCAATTCATTGTCCAATTTCAGGCTTGGTGGGACCATGCATTTAGTCTCAACGCCTTCTGTTTGACGTAATGTCCTTCGGGTACCTTTATCTTAAAATCTCTACGGAGGATCTGTTCTTTCCTCATCTTCTCCTTGGCGTCTTTTTTGGCCTGGACGTGCTTCTGGTGCTCTGCGAAGAGCGAGGCAATGTTCTTGTCCATGGTCATCATTGCTTCGTCATCCAGGTCATCGTCGCTGCTCTCCTCTCCGTCGCCGCTCTTCAGATGAGCAGAGAGAGAGGTGAGTTGAGGTTTGACACCAACGACTTGCATTTACATAGCACCCCTCACTCAGGATAGTGTCCCACACCACTTGACGGGGAGAGGGGTGCCCCCCCAGAGCACTCTACTCTAAGTGCACTCTCCTGCTCGGTTTCTCCCCCGGCAGGAGTTGAAATGAACAGCGCACCCCCCACCCCCACACACTTACCACTGTCTTTCCGCCCTGCAAAACTTTCATCAGCTCCATGCGGAAGGCATCATCCACATCTTCCTCCTCATCATTGTCTTCACTCTCATCCTCCTCTTCGTCAGCATCAGCATCCTCCTCTTCCTCCTCAGACGACGAGTCATCTCCGTCGATCAACTCCTCGTTCTGCGGAGAGAGTCGAGCGACAACGTGAAACAGTCGGGAGAGAAGCACTCAGCCTCTTTTAGAAGCAGAGAACACAGAGCAGAGCAAAAGGTGTTATACACAAGGCACTAAAGCATGTTGCCAGGACAAGAACAGAGAGGCGGAACACCCCTCACATGACTGACCTGGTCCCCAGCCAACTGCTTTCTCTTCTTATCCTCACTGTCGTCGGTCACCACCACGGCACTCTCCTCATCGTCTTCATCTTCAGTGAGGACCTGCGTGCAAAAGTCGATGGTTGTAACACAGAAACAGCAGGAGGAGAGGAACTAAGTGGAAGTTGCTGTAGTGACAAGCTGCAGGTTACTCACGGCCAGGATCAGCTGCAGGCCTCGCTTGGTGAGGTGGGGGCAGATACGAGCAAACACCATCTTTGACACATGCCGCATCAAGCGGCTCTGCTGGGACAGGAGGGACAGCAAGATCTCGATCACCATCTCCACCCAATCGGGCTCCTCCTCGTCTATGGGAGAAAAGCACATTTAAATGCCATATTAGTACTGGGGGCAGAGCAGCAACATTAAATGTCTGTCTGTTCAACTCGAAACTATAGTACCTCAATTACCTACTGATTTTAATTATCCCCAGGGAATGGGAGTGTAAATGATTCAGTATTCAAAAAAAATACATTCTAATTGTACATTCTAATTGTACAAGTGTTCAAGGTCTACGAGACTCTATCCGGATAAAGGGCACTATATTAATGCAAGTTGCTGTTGAACACAAACAAATAATTTGACTGTTTGTAGGACACTGTTGTGTGCAATTGGCTGCCACATTTCGTCCACAAAATACACAGTCACTTTACAAGACATCCTGTGAATCGCTATGAGACGTCTCAACGATGTGGTAAGACGCTATGTCAAAAGCGAGGACTATTATTATAATAATTATGGTGTTATGGTGACATCGAGTGGGCATCAGTAGGTACTGCATAGAGTCCAACATTGCTGCGTCCTCATTGCCAGCAGGCGGCAAACAGAACAACCAACCAAAAAAGAAATTAACAGGAGAAAAAGGTATTTGCAAGTGTATGTGCGTGTGTGTCGGAGGGGAAGGAAGGGGTGTGTGTATGTGTGAACAGACACACAATTTTATCAAAGAAGTGATAAAGTGCTATATCAAATGCAAGTATTATTATTATAATAATATTATTATTATTATCGACGTCCCAAAGCGCTTCACAAAATATACTGTAATTGACTGTATATTTGTGGGCGAACGCGGCAGCCAATTGCGCACAGCAATGTCCCACAAACAGTCGTAGATTGAAAATGACCAATTTATTATTGTTTTTGGTTTTGGAGGGATTATTATTAGGCTCTGTGTGGAGTAAGGAAACTTGCCCTAGGTTTCGCCCTCTGCCTGCAATTGAACTCAGGTCTCTCACTTGCAAAGCGAGTGCTCTAACCACCGAGCTACAGGACTCCATTATAACAGTGTGTGTGTGTGTGGATGGAGAGGGAGAGATTCACTGACCTGTGGCCACCTTGGTTTGCTTCTTCTTGTTCTCCAGAGCTTTGCCCAGACAATTGTGCAGGTCTCCCATCAGCTCCAGGCAATCCTCGCTGTTCTGCAGTCCAACAGAGAACACACAGTTAACTCAGCTTGGAGTGTGGAGAGGAGGATAGGCCTATTCAGCCCCCAGATTCCCGGCTTCACTATCAATTCATTTCCACTCCCAAGCCCATCTTCCAGCATACACCCATTCCCATTCCATGTCGCACTGACTTTAGTCTGTATTTCCTTGCGCTGGGTCAGTCCCAAACATCGGCCGAGTCACAGCAAACTGAACCGAGGAGGGCTGTTGTTTATCATAACTCACCTCACTGTTGTGTGGGATGGCGTTGGCCTTAATTAGTTGCAGGCGCCACATTCATTTCTAATTCATCTCAATTTATTTCACAGGGAGAAGCACTGCACTCAAGACGCAACCCAGTGCAAAATGTGAATTGTAGTTTAGTTGTTGAAGACGGTCACCCCCATACCACCCCCCCCACCCCCTGGCTCAGCGTTATATTCCACCACTGTCAAGCGCTCTGAGATGCTTCCCGCATGGAGGGCACGATACACTATATAAATGCAAGTTCCACTCTGTAAGAGTGCAACTGGCTTTTTAGATACATATCTGGAGTGACACAGAGAATAAACAAACAAAATGGGGATAGGAAAGGGAAGCAAGAATCCACTTCCTTGATAACTTCGTCACAATTGCATTGACTCTTATTCATAACAAGCCTGTGTAGTGTAAATGTTAAAAGGATTCAGTGAGATCCTGTGCCTGAAAGTTGAAGTACCTTGAACAGATGAATCCCGACGAGCAGGAAGAGCAGCTGAAAGGCCGATGTCTTCAGGCTGGTGGCCTTTGTGGCTTTTGTCTGCAGATCCTCCACTGCCTGCAGCATTCTGGGAACAAACGAGTGAAGTGTGAGCTCGCCTGGGACATGGGGTAGCCCTCCACTCCCTGGTCCCAGCCCACAAAATGTTGGGATGTTGGCATCAGGGTGTGGCGTTTGTGCCCCATTAACTTTGTGCTGAGGATCAGCTGAGTGACGGTAGTTGTCAGATACAACACCCCATGTACTTTCACAAAGCACGTGTTCGCTCTGCAAGAGTGCAACTTGCTTTTTAGATACATATCCGGAGTACCACAGACAATAAACAAACAAAATGGGGATAGGAAAGGGAAGCAAGAAGCCACTTCCTTGATAACTCAGCCACAATTGCATCAACTCTTATTCATAACAAGTCTAGTCATCCTTCAGGAATTTATGGACATTTGCAGGGACTATTTGGCCTATTAAGCACCCCCTCACCCTCTCCGTTCAGATCTAGCCCACTTCCCCATCACACTGCTCAACCACAGAACGGCACCTGTACCTGTCCCAGGCTGCTCTCTCCGTCTTTGTGAAGGGCTGCACGAATTGGACGCACTTCTTCTGGAAAAGCAGTGCATTGACGTAGCGCACCACGCAGTAGATCCACAGGTTGCCATCCGCGGTCATGCCCTGAATGTGCTTCTCCTTCACACTGCCCGGCACCCCGGTGTCACCCAGCCGCGGCAGGCAGTTCAGACAGTGCAGGAGCCTGGGGATGGAGAGGGAGAGAGAAAAAAACCCACTAAAGTGAACCAAATTGCCTCTATAAGAAATCACCAGTCAGAGCAGCAGCCGAAACCAGGTAGACGAGGTGGAGGTGAATCCCACCTTGCAATATACACTCCCTGTACATTTAAACATCGCTGTAATACATCCCAGACAATATTCCTCCCCCACCCAAACTCCCCCCCTCCCCCAAAGAGATTTTTTCACACAAGTGGTGCTGTAATCAATGCAAATTGTGGAAGTACAATGTTCAATGCCCCCCCCAGAGATTGGGAAGTGAAGGTGAAAGTGCCAATCCTACCCGAAGAAGGAAGTTGCGACCAGGTCCCGTGTGGCCGTGTCCAGGGGGACAGAGAGCGAAGCCTCGGTCTCGGGGATGTCGGGTGTGGATTGTTTTGTCTCGCAGAAAGCATGGAAAAAAATAAACCTGGAATGAAGAGTTAACACTGGTTACCTTAATAATAATCCTTGATACAGCGTCTTGTAATAGGTTTGAGTCTCACAGCGCTTCACAGAATATACTGTAAAGTGAATTGACTGTATGTTTTGCGGGCGAAATGTGGTTTGCCAATTGCGCACAGCAGTCTCCCACAAACAGTCGTGAATTTTTTTGAGGGATTATTAACCCCGGAAAGCGATCCGCCAATCAACTAAAAAACGGGTTCCTAGTTACTGCTAATTAAACAAGAGACATATGGAGTAAGCCAACTTGTCTTAAGGTTTTGCCCTTGTAATAACAGGGCCAGTGGCCGAACAAACCTGTCTGACCATTTCATTGGATCACGGCAGATCTATTTATTCCATTTTCCCACTTTTCCTCTATATTTGTCCTCCCCATCCCCCTGTACCTATTCATCTCCCATTTTAAACCATCCATTGACTCTGCATCTGCAGCCTCTTGGTTCCACATTAGGAGAGTTGAGAATTCGAAGTAACACAGACATCGACTCCATTAACTTTCTCTCCTACCCTAATCAATCAAAGATTCCTCCTGGTCTGAGCCTTCAAAGCTTTGTCTTGAATGATCAGATGTATTCCCCTTCGTTCATTTCTCCCAGTGCCCATACCCCACCGCCATGCGACAGCTCACCCCCTCCACTCTCCTCACCCCCCCAGTACACCCCTCTCCTCACCCCCCCAGAAGCACCCCTCTCCTCACCCCCCCCCAAAAGCCCCCTCTCCTCACACCCCCCAGAAGCCCCCCTCTCCTCACACCCCCCAGAAGCCCTCCTCTCCTCACCCTCCCAGAAGCCCTTCTCTCCTCACCGCCCCAGAAGCCCCCCTCTCCTCACCCTCCCCAGAACCCCCCTCTCCTCACCCCCCCAGAACCCCCCTCTCCTCACGCCCCCCAGAACCCGCTTCTCCTGACCCCCCTCTCCTCACCCCCACAGAACTCCCTCTCATCTCCTCAGTAGAGCCTCCGCAACTTACCTAGCGATGTCCATGACCAGATCTTCCTCTTTCTTTCTTTCCTTCTCCACAATGGACGTCAGCCGGGCGACAATCCACTTGCGCAGCCTCAGCACCGAATGCTGCACTCTGTTGTACGCAAAGACAACGGTCTCATCAACAAGGGGAGCGCCCAGTACAATATTCCCCACCAGCATACCCTCAAACAGCACAGAGGTTAGAATCATAGAATCTTACAGTACAGAGGGAGACCATTTGGCCCATCGTGCCTGCGCTGGCTATTTGAAAGAGCTACCCAATTAGTCCCACTCCCTCGCTCTTTCCCCATAGCCTTGCAAATGATTCCTGTTCAAGTATATATCCAATTACATTCAGGACCTTCATCTACCGAGCCACCAAGAAGCGCAACTTACGGGTCTTTGGCCTCTGGGTTCAGCTTCTGCCGCTTGGTGCTGAAGTCTAAGCAAGTATCGAGGTCAGGGCTGGTGAACATGTTTTTTAACCAGTCCACGTAACGTGACAGAGCCGAGGGCTGCAGGCGAGGGATCACCTTCCAGTAGCTTGAGATGACGGGGTAGCCCTGGTTGGTGAGGCACGAGAAGCCAGTCAGCACAGCAAGCTGCTTCTCAGAGTCCGTCACACTGTCAAAGAAGGAGTCCAAGTTCCTCTCCATCTCTGAGGCGAACTTGAACCGGCCTGGAAGCTGCCATGAGAAAGCATAGGGCACCAATTGAAACATTAGACTTAACTATAATCCTCACACCTGATACAACATCTATAGATTTAAAACACTCAAAGCACTTCACAGTCATTTGCTGTCAAGTACAGCACCTTTTTATGTCGACAAAAGTTGCAGTCAATTTGTGCATACATTCTCCACAAGCAGCCAAGACCAATTATCACGGAGAATTGTTGGCCAGGACACTAGGGGAAACTACCTTCTACTTTCAAATTATATTCTGGGATCTGTAGCCAACTGAACAGGCAGGTGGGACGGTCCATTGGAGCAGCAGCCTGAACTGTGAGCTCAAAGACCCAGTGAGAGATAATGACCCAGAAGCGAGAATGCTGCGTCTTGCATTTATATAGCGCTCGACGTGGGGTAGCGTCCATAAGAACATAAGAAATGCTAAACGATAAAAAGACCAAGGTCCATCTAGTTCGTCTTCCACCTTCCTAGCTGTCACAAGCACATATGTTCCAAACTACCTCTGTACTATATCCCGTAATGTTATTTCCTAAAAGAAAACTATCTGATCTGTGTTTGAAGGAATCAACACGTCCGGCCAATTGATCCGAGCTGATAGCCGGGGCGGATGACCACACTGAAGCAGCAGAGAGAGATTCTCATCGGCTGTCTGGCGGTGCAGCGAGCAACCTGCTACCCATAACCTTTCAGATCACTGCAAACTTACACAGGTCCCAGCCACAGAGAGGGCTGCTCGGCCTATTGACTGCCAGCACGGGGTCGCTGACAGCCTCAGTGTGGGCGGCTGCAAAAGCCACAGATTATTCTTTTATTTTAATAAAAGCTTCTTTTAAAAAGTAAATGAACGGCCCAGAGAGGTCGGCGCTCATCAGGTTTTGTTTTTTTTAAGAAAAAGGTCAACTGACGTGTGTTTTTTTTTAAAAAAACTTAAAAGAACAATGTTAACTATTCTCAACACCAGAGACCCAGCTTCAGCTGAGAGCATTTTTCTCAAACCAGCATCCGTAAGACGCTGGGTCAGGAGCAGACAACACGACGTTACATTTAAACAGCGACTTTCACGTCGGGAGGACGTCCCAAGGCGTTGGACAGTCAGGGATTTGGATCCGAGCTGGGGGTTGGGAACAGGAGGTGTGGAGGGCAGGAAGGGAGGAGGGTGACCAAAGGCATGGTTGAAGAGGAGGGTATTGAGACATGCCTTGAAGGAGGCAAGGGAGGGGTGAGGCGAAGGGAGTGTGTGGGGGAGTTCCAAAGGGTGGGAGTAGAAAGGCTGAAGGCCCAACCCGGCATGGGATGTGGAGCAGGGCACAGCTTGCTGAGTGGAGGGAGCGGATAGAGTTGCTATAGAACTAGCAGGTCAGGGTAGAAAGGAGCAAGGCAGTGGAGGGTTTTGAAAACGAGGATGAGGATTTTGAACTCTAAAAGGCAGTGAAAGGTTGAAATAAAAAGCACAGCTTCTCTAAAAGTCCTTTAAAAGAAGTTAGGGGCTGAGAGAGAGTGAGACAGAGAGAGAAGGGAAAGGATCAGAGAACTGTATGTGAAACAAATTTCTTCATCCTCTTAAAGGTGTGAGTTAGTTCCTTTCTTCCCCCCATCTCTGAAGTGATAATAATAATTGTTTCATTCGATACAGCATTTTATCACATCACTGAGATGCCTCAAAGCATTTCGCAGAATATAGTATAAAGTTAATTGACTGTATTTTGCGGATGAAACTTGGCAGCCAATTGCATACAGCAGTGTCACACAGATAGTTTGACCATTTTTTTTGATGGAATTATTACCCCCTGAAAGCGAGGTAAACCGAGGCGTAGGCATGTGGAGTAAGGAAACTTGCCCAACGTTTCACCCTGCCCGGGAATCGAACCCAGGCCCTCTCACTCGTGAGCTCTGACGAAGGGTCATGGACGTGAAATGTTGACGCACTTTCCTTTCTCCATAGTTGCTGCCTGGCCTGCTGAGTGTTCCCAGCAATCTGTTTTTGTTCCTCTCACTTGTAAGTTGGACAATATGTGTTTAACGACAGTCAGTGCGGCTAGGGGGGAAAAGGCTGGCCTCACCTGAGCTATGAGCACGTGCTCCCCATAGTGTTGCATCACAGGCCCCGTGAGAACGAGCTGGAGTTGGGGGAGAGTCAGCAAAGGTAGTGCGTGGCCAAGCAACCGGAAACACAAGTAGCTGTAGGCAAACAAAAAGGCAAGACAGCAGTTACACTGAGAAGAACTTGCATTCTTATACATTAGCCCATTTATACAGCACCTTTCATGTCAGGAGGCCATCCCAAGGCGCTGGATAGTCAAGGGTTTGTAACTGAGTGGGGGTTGCAGTCAAGAGGGGTGGAGGGCAGGGAGGAGGAAGAGCTGGACTAAACCATCTCAAAAAGCTTCATAAATAATTACTGTCAGCTTTAGGGACTGTAGTTTTATTGGCAGTTATTTTGCATAGCGAGATTATACAGTCACACAGCGTCACTCAAACGACAGTGCCTCTGACAATGAGTGCTGCCGTGGAATTGCAACCAGAGCAATTTACCTAGCCTTTATCTGAGCATTGTGGAAAACTCAGTCTTTTGAAAATCTGTGCTCCTGTGAAGCCTAATTCTTTGGATTTTATCTTAAGAGAGGAACAGGCCAGTCTGGAATCCCTCTCTTGCCCACTCCCGTGTACCTGTTCAGCCCAGAATGGTCCTGGAGTAACCGGGTTTCCACCACGTCCTTCCAGAACAGCTCAAAAGCGTCCTCTTTCAAGGCGACGCGAAGCAAGTCTGCCCCGAGCTCGGGCAGTGCGTTAGCCTTCTTCATGGACTTTGCAGCTATTTTCAACATCTCCGTCAATCTGAACCATTGAAAAAATAAAACCTTTTTCAGCAGAAGCAATGCAGGAAATCGGAAACTAGAGAATACAGTAGACTCTGCATAACCACTTGCTGACTCCCATACGTCCCTGTTTATACACATCGGAAAAGCAAACCACCACCCCACCCTTAAACTACAAGATTTACATTTCCCGCACAGGATTAGCAAAGCAGATGGGGGCAGTGGCTGGCTTTTGTACTGTAATGATGTAGGTCATTCAGGGGCTCTTGAAATGAGCAGAGAGTAAACTTGGAGGTCATCAGTCCAGGCAGGGTTGAAGCATGTGTCCCAGAGATGAATGTTCAGTCACCCAACCTAACGTGGTGTGGTGAGTTGGGTTGGGAGACTGAACATACAACTTTGGGACACATGCTTCAATCCTGCCTGGACTGATGGCCTGGACAGGTCAGAGAACAGGCATTCGTTGAAAACATTCCTCTACATGGCAAAAGGCTTACAAATCACTTACTTGGGAATGTTTTCTCTTGTCACAATGGTAGTGGATCCAAGCAAAGCCTTCAGTTTTGTGGGCTTCAGAGCCTGGGGGAAGCGCTGAATGGCAACCAGCAGCAGGTGAAGCTGCTCCGGTGTGTTAAACGCAGATGACAGGTCAGACTGCAATGCCTCAAACAGGATATTCTTGAACACAGCTTCTGGGGTCTGCGTGGAATAAACACATCACAACCACAAACTCAATAGCATCGGACAATGTTTATAGCACAACAGTAGTGTAATAATAATACTTGCATTGGATATAGCGCCTTATCAAGTCTTCATGACATCTCAAAGCGCTTCACAGAATATCCTGTAAAGTGAACTAACTATATATTTTGTGGGCAAAAAGCGGCACCCAATTGTGCACAGCAGTATCCCACTAACAGTCGTGGATTGAGTGACTAATTTATTGTTCATTATTTTTTGTAAAAAATTTGGAAGGAGTTATTACCCCCCTGCCAATCGACTAACATCCAGGTTCCTACTTACCACTAGGCAAACAGAAGTGTGTGCAAGTAAGGAAGCTTGCCCAACATTTCGCCCAAGTCTCTCACTTGCAGAATTGAACCCAAGTCCTGTAGCTCAGTGCTCTGTCTCATTGTGTTTCTGTCGATGCACGTACCCATCTATCTAAATCCCACTGCCCTGATCTTTCCCAACATATCTTTGCTGGTGCCAATTCCCCTGTTGAAGACATCTACTTGAATCCAGTTTCCTTTTTCTTTCCCCACTGCGTCAATGCTGGTGTTAGTTCCCCCGACTAGAACTCACTACACTAATCCTATTCCCCATCTCCGTTAGCTTTCATTTCAGCACGATTCACAGCACACACAGTGGGGTTAATTTCTCTCTTCCCACTGAATTGTTGGATGTGCACTTACTGATAGTGGAAGAATTAACTGCCTAGAGCAAAATACAGTGGAGGACACGACAAAGTCAGAAGAAAAACAATTTGTAAAGCAAGGTTTTTTTTACCTCAGACAGAATGTCCAATATTGTTTGCCTGGGGAGATCCCGCAGGTGATCTTTAAACTGAGCGAGGCTTTGCAACAACTGCACACACTGCAGGAGAACCTTCGGCTCCTACCAGGAAAGAATTACAATGTTAATTTCTTACAACGGTGAAATAAACTGCAGAGGTCAACGTTTCTTCATGCACACAAAGCACCGGCTTTACGTTTTACTTTGCCAAATGCCCCCTCCCCTCCCCTGCTGGTATACAGCTGTATATCTAACGCAGGCCTTCTTCTACACAGTTCAGCTCAGATACTGTGTCGGGCAGGTTAACCCACACTGGGGATGGGGCAAAAAAATTCACAGCTGTTCCCTGATCCTGTCCTCATCAAATGTCAATTCATAAATGTGCACACATACATATGCAAACACCTCTTTTAGCAATGGGTCTCTGGATAGTGAATTCCGAGAATCTCGGCTAATTTACCTCTCTCATTATCTCTAAATGTTTCCCAGACTGAGATAATATATATAATAATCCTTGCATTTGATATAGCGCTTTTAACGTCTTCTCGACGTCTCAGAGCGCTTCACAGAATATACTGTAAAGTGAATTGACTGCATATTTGTGGGCGAAACGCAGCAGCCAATTGCACCTAGCAGTGTCCCACAAACAGTCGTGGATTGCAAATGACCAAATTATTATTGTTTTTTTTGGCGGAATTATTATTAGGTGTGTGGAGTAAGGAGACTTGCACAAGGTTTCGCCTTCTGCCTGGAATTCAACCCAGGTGTCTCGCTTGCAAGGCGAGTGCTCTAACCACTGAGCTATAGGACTCCACATCCTGAGATTAGCTAACTCAGCAGAGTCTGGAATTTGAACTAACAGCCTTGTGGTCTGCACCAAGCGATCGGTGCCTTTATAATTGGACTTTTGTGTTAGGAAGACTTAAGTTGCATTTCACCCCTTAACTTAAAACGATGCTTTTCCTTTTGGAAAATAATTCACAGAGGATTACAATGGTTACCTTCGGAAGCCGCCCAGACTGGGAAAGGGCCAAGACGCCAAAGAGATTTCCAAACGCGGCATTTCTGATGAGTTTCTGGAACCCCAAAAGAGACATGGCACAAGTTATAATAACCTCCATGCAGTGAATTAGTTTCCACACTGGAGAAGCTTGATGCATTGAATGGAATGATCCCAATCCCCAGCTCGGATGCTAATCCTTGACTGTCCAGCTCCTTGGGATATTGTCCTGACATGAAAGACGCTGTGTAAATGCAATTTGTTATTGATGTTTGTTTCTGTGCACAATTCTGTGTCAGAATCAGACGACCAGGTGTCTGTTAAGTTTAACATTAAGACTGTACTATAGGAATTGGACAACCATCACTTCATATACTGTATTGGGATGACAACAAAAAAAATGATCTCACATAGACATTTTTTAAACCCTACAAATACCAGAGAATTAACTTTTTCAAAATCTACCACCCACCAACCATATTAGCCTAAGAGTCCATTAAAATAGCTTTTGCATGCAGAAAGAAACTCTGTGGCCATTCAGTTTCTGTCGCTGCTTTTCTGGTACTAAGCTGCTCAATTCCTCACCTTCTTGACTTTCTGCACATTGTGTTTGTCTTTAATCTGCTCCAGCACAGTCTGCAGGGGGATCTCCTCGAAGAACTGGAGAAGCTGGTGAAAAGCAAAATCAAAATTGATTTGAGGAACAACAGGAAGCACAGCCAAACACTTCTAAAGGGAGCCATATCTTACTAAAGGCCTGATGCCAGGATAAACAACAACAACAAACAAACAAAATTACATTGGTTTAGCGCCTTTCACGTCAGGAGGATGTCCCAAAGCGCCTGACAGTCAGGGATCCGCACCTGAGCTGGTGGTTGGGATCAGGAAGGGTGGAAGGTGGGGAGAGTAGGATAGGAGGGTGACTGAAGGCACGGTCGAAGAGGAGGGTCTTGAGACTGGTCTTGAAGGAGGCAAGGGAGTGGGCGAAGCGGAGGGATTGTGGGATTGAGTTCCAGAGGGTAAGGGCAAGAGGCTGAAGGATGTTAAGCAGGCCAGAGCCCATTAAACAGAGGGAGCGGATAGCTTGGTAGTGGGTTAGGAGGTCACAGAGGTAGGGAGGCACAAGGCCGTAGAGTGCTTTGTAGGCGAGGACCAGGATCTTTAACTGTGTCCTCTGAGTGATGGGGAGTCAGTGGAGCCGGGCGAGGATGGGGATGATAGGGACGCGGAGCCTAGTGCGGGAAAGGTCACGAGCTGCAGAGTTCTGCATGATCTGCAACTTGTAAAGGGAGGAATTGGGGAGGCATACATACTCATACTTCCCAACACTAAAACTCCCCCTGCTCAACCCTGAAAGTAAATGATGGAACTCAGGTGTTGAGACCACTTGAAGGAGCACAGTGATAAACACAGTGAATCAAATCTTCATGCTGAAATAATCCCTTAGACACTCCTGGAATATGCAATGAATTGCGCTCTTCGATACAAGTTTACAAACAACAGAATCCTGAATATCCTGTAAACAGATCTCGCCCCATCCCTGGCCAAGTGAAACAAATGAAGCTCAAACCATACACAGAACCCGCTGAAAGTGATATTACTCTGCTTCAGTCTTGAACTACAATATGGGAACACAGTTGTAAGGAGACACAGGAACAGAAATTATGGTTCTTTCTGGTTTCTGAGCCTATTTCATTGGTAAGTGTCACATTCCCCTGCAGCGCCTCTCCTCGTATCACCACAATATTAATGTTAGCTCTGGAACACCATGTCCAACTCCATACAGCTTCCCCTCCCAACAAATGCAGAGACCAACCTGTGCCAGTGCCAGGCTGAAGCCAGGTCGGGCAATTTCTCGGGTTGCTGCCAGCCCCTCGATCAGCCGATTGAGAGCGTATTTTAGCTCGTCATCCTATGAATAAAACACACCGGTCATTCAGCCTACAGACAGAATCAGAGCGCTCATCTCCGAAGACCTCAATGTTAATGCAATAAAGACTTGTATTTACGTAGCGCCCTTCACGTGCAGTGGCGTCTCCAAGCGCTGAAAGGTTTATACAGAGCACATAAGTTATACAGAACACGATTGGCTGCTGCATTTCGCCCACAAGATATACTGTCCTGTAGCTCAGTGGTTAGAGCACTCGCTTTGCAAGTGAGAGACCTGAGTTCAATTCCAGGCAGAGGGCAAAACCTTGGGCAAGTTTCCTTACTCCACACAGAGCCTAATAATATTCCCTCCAAAACAAAACAATAATAAATTGGTCATTTTCAATCTACGACTGTTTGTGGGACATTGCTGTGCGCAATTGGCTGCCGCGTTCACCCACAAATATACAGTCAATTCACTTTACAGTGTGTTCTGTGAAGCGCTTTGGGACATCCTCCCGACGTGAAAAGCGCTATATCAAATGCAAGGATTATAATCAATTCACTTTACAATATATTCTATGAAGCGCTTTGAGATGTCTAGAAGAGGTGAAAAGCGCTATATCAAATGTAAGGATTATTATTATTATAAGTAACAAATTATCTAGCCACGGTTCCACAATAATTCTATCTGAACTAATGTTATGCACTTGCCCTCGTCCATATGCCCACCAATAATAATTCTTATACAGGTGCTAAATCAAATACAAGGATTATTGGGACATTGCTGTGCACAATTTGGAACTCTGCTGAGCACAATTGGCTGCTGCATTTTGCCCACATAATACAGTCACTCCACTTTACAGTGTATTCTGTGAAGCGCTTTGAGATATCTCAATGTGATAAGGCGCTGTACAAATGCAAGGATTATTATTAGTAATTTCATGGCTGTTTGTGGGGGCATTGCTGTGCGCAAATTGGCTGCTTCATTCACCTTCAAAACACACAGTCACACTTTACAATATATTTGTGAAGTGCTTTGAGAAGCCTCAGTGAAGTAATAAGGCGCTATATCAAATGCAAGGATTATTATTATTATTATAATACTAATCCTTGCATTTGATATATAGCGCCTTATCACATCTTCGAGACGTCTCAAAGCACTTCACGGAGTGTATATTTGAGGGGGAATGCAGCAGCCAACTGCGCACAGCAGTGTCCCACAAACAGTCGTGGATTGAACGACCAAATCATTATTACTTTTTGAAGGGATTATTACCCCTGGAAAAGTGATCCACCAATTGACTAGCAACCAGGTTCCTTACTTACTGCTCGGTAAACAGAAGTGTGTGGAGTGTATATATGTGTGTGTGTGTGTGTGTGTATATATATATATAATCCTTGCATTTGATATAGCGCCTTATCACGTCTTCGAGACGTCTCAAAACTCTTCACTGAATAGACTGTGAAGTGAATTGACTGTACATTTCGTGGGTGAAACGCGGCACAGCAGCGTCTGTCCCACAAACAGCCGTGGATCGAAGTGGCCAAATAATTTTTGTTTTGTTTTCTTGAGGGATTATTATCAGGTGTGTGTGTGTGTGTGTGTGTGGAGTAAGGAAACTTATTATTATTAGTCCAAGGCTTCGCCCGCTGCCGGGAATCGAGCCCTGGTCTCCCCCGTGCGAGGCGAGGGCTCTGTCTGTAGGACTCCATTGAAGCTCTGGGTTTTCCACGTGGGGCCGAGCAACAGCTACACGCGAACCGCAGAGGTTTAGTTAAAACCCGTAGCCCATGTGCTGCTCTTTAACAATAAACAGCCAGAGAGGAGCCGCGACCCCCCCTCACTCCCAGGGCCGCGAACCCCCCACCTCACTCCCAGGGCCGCCCCCTCCCCCCCCCTCCCTCCCAGGGCCGCCCCCTCCCTCCCAGGGCCGCCCCCCCCCTCACTCCCAGGGCCAGAGCCGCGAACCCCCCTCACTCCCAGGGCCGGAGCCGCGACACCCCCCCCCCCCTCACTCCCAGAGCCGCGACCCCCCCCCCCCTCCCTCCCAGGGCCGGAGCCACGACCCCCCCCCCTCACTCCCAGAGCCGCGACCCCCCCCCCTCACTCCCAGAGCCGCGACCTCCCCCCTCCCTCCCTCCCAGGGCCGCAGCCGCGACCTCCCCCTCCCTCCCAGGGCCGGAGCCGCACGCACCTTTCCCGGGTTCCTGAGGTAGGCGAGCAGCCCCTCCACGGCCCGCAGCCGCACGGCCTGCTCGGGCTTGGCGATGTCCCAGAAGAAATCCAGGAACTCGCGGTTCTGCTTGAGGAGGCTCTTCGTGTCGATGGCCTTGGCCCCGGTGCCCGGGCTCCCGGCCCCGCTCGGCTCCTCGCTTCCCGCCGCCGCCGCCATGCTGCCTCCACTGGGGGCCTCGCCCGGGTCACAGGTCAATCTCTTCAGCCACCCCCGCGCCTGTGTGTAACCCCCATCCTCTCAGCTCCCTTCACTGCCTCACCCTCCCCTCCAGCTGATTTCTAAGTGTGTTTGAGCAGTTTATGCACATGTACAGATAGTATGTATATTGTTGTTGTTATTGTTGTTATTAAATACAAAATAGATACGCAGACTGTCTGTATGAATCATTCTTAGGATAAGACGTTAAACCGCGGTCCCGTCTCCGTCGGCTCGCGTCTGCCCGCGCGGCGCTATTCGGAAAAAGAAGTGAGTTTCTCTCTCTCCCGGTGTCCAGCCCAACGACCCACCGCTCCGCCCCCCGCACACAAATAAAATTGGCCGCCCACCTCATGGCCGCTCTTGTGGGACATTGTGCAAACCGGTTGCCACATTCCACCCACAAAATACACAGCCAATCCACTTTACAGTATTTACTACAAATAGGCACTGTGAATAATAAATAATATTCCTTGCATTTGATATAGTGGCTTATCACATCTTTGAGACGTCTCAAAGTGCTTCACACAATACACTGTAAAGTGAATTGACTGTATATACTTTGTCAACAAAACAAGGCAGCCAATTCCGCACAGCAATTATTACCCCCCCAACCCCCGAAAAGAGATTTGCCAATTGTCTAACAACCAGGTTCCTACTTAGTGCCAGGCATGTGGAGTAGGGAAACTTGGCCAAAGTTTTGCCTTGCCTGGGAATCAAACCCAGGTCCTCACTTGCAAGGCGAGTGCTCTTAACCACTAAGCTACAGGACTCCACTCTACAGTATATCCTGTGAAGCGCTTTGAGACATCTTGACAATGTGATAAGGTGCCATATCAAGTGCAAAGATGATGATAAACTATTCATTTCTAACTGCAATATGAAAACAAACCAAAGTTGGGGGAAAGGATTTCTTCTGAGACTAGAATTCTAGTCAAGCCAACAGATCATATTGATGCTTCCTTTTGTATGTTGCGCCTATTAACATTGCCAGGAGCTTCACAGGGAATTGTTGTCAAGTGTGTGTGATTGTGTACTTGCAGGCAATCGCGCCATCCGCGTTGTGTTCCATGAGCAGCCACCGAAGCCGTGAATCATCAATTCGGAGCATTAGCATCCAGGACACTGGGAGAAAAACTTTTTTTTAACAATAGTATCATAGGATTTTTTTAATGTGCGCTTGATGGGGGTTTGGTATAACGTCTCATTCAAGGATGGCATCTCTATCAATATGACGCTCCCTCCAGCACTTCACAAGGTCTTTTATTGGGTTGGGTTGAGTTGATTGATGGCACTGTTGGTTGGGGTGGAGCAGTGTTGGGTTGAAGGATTGGGGGTTGGTAGTGGCTGCCCTGGTGGTTGGGTTGGGAAGCCCAAGTGAATGATATAAATGAAGCTCAAACCACGGAGAGAACCTGTTGACAGTGATATTTCTCTGCTCCCAGTCTTGGGTACAAAATCATAAAATAATTGTTTTTGTGGGGGAGACGGGCGGACGCGGCGGGCAGCCCCGCGGTCGCTGTGGTGACGGCGTGAGGCCGGGGGTCCTCGGGGAGGCTCGAGCCGGGAGCAGACATGGCGGATTTCGACAGTTACGATGACCGGCAGCAGCAGTACAGCAGCTTCGGGGGCGGCCGTGGGTGGGTAGCGGGTCCCGGCGGCGGGGTGGGGTGGGGCGGGGCAGGGAGGCCAGCCAGGCCAGACCCGGGGCTCGGCGGCGGCGGCGGCGGCTCCTCCGGCCCCGGTACACCGCGGGGCCTTGCGGTCAGCCAGGAGCCTGGGGGTCGGAGTGAGGTGGGGGCCGGTGAGGCAGGCGTTGGAAGCCGGGTAAACCCCTGGGGATCACAGCAACAACGACAACAACGCCAACAACTTGCATTCATACAGCGCCCCTCGCCCACTCCTCCCTCGCTGCCCCACTGCGCGCAAATCGGTTGCTGCTCTTGGCCTATACAGTCACTACACTTTAGGTTGTGTGTGGAGTCCTGCGGCTCAGTGGCTGGAGAGCTCGCCCCGCCAGCGAGAGGGTCTGGGTCTGGGTCCGATTCCCGGCCGGGCGAAACATTGGGTGAGATTCCTTGCTTCCGCACGCCGCTGCTCGCCGAGCAGCAAGTCAGGAACCTGGTCGTGAGTGGATTGGTGGATCGGGGGGTAATAATCCCTTTAAAAAAATGATAAATAATAATAAATTTGGTCACTTCAATCCACGACTGTTTGTGGGACTCCACTGCGCGCAATCGGCTGCCGCGTTTCTCCCACAAATATACAATCAGTTCACTTCACAGTATATCCTGCGAAGCGCTTTGAGACGTCTCGAAGACGCGATGAGGCGCTGTATCAGATGCCAGGGTTGTTGTCATGATCCTGTGAAGTGTTTTGAGACGGCCCGAGATGGTAAGGCGCTGAATTAAATGCAAGACTTGTTGTTGTCATCCCCCAGTTTGCAATTTTGGTCAATCATTCCCATTCTTTCCCCCCCCCCCCCCCCCCCACCCCTGGGTCAGGCAATGCAGGTGCAAGTCGCACCTCGGGAGTCTGATGGTCAGTTACTGCACTGTTGGAGGCACCATGCTTCGGATGAGACATTAAACTGATTCCCTGTCTGTCTGCTCAATACTATTGACAAAGAGAAGAACATTTTTTTCTAGATTTCCTGACCAAAGAGTTCTCCAAATTACCACTTATTTCCCTGGGAAAGATTTTATTGAGACGTCCCTGTTCCAGAGTCCAGGCTTGGTACTGGCTACCTGTGGCGTGTCCAGGCAAGGTGCCATTAAAGTGGCAAAGTAGATTTTTCCATAACATGAAACATCCCAGACTTTGATAAGCACCATTTTTTACCTCACAGTGTGTGTGTGTATATATATATATAAAGAATAGGGTTCTGTCTGTAATGTGAGCTTGTAACAACCTTTCATACTGTTCGAAACAGTGCTCTCCGCTGCCCTGTTTAAAATGTGCTTTCCATGGATATTCGCTGCAAGCACTTAATAAGTCTGGGTTGAGAACTGGATCAGAAAAATACTGTTAATTCAGGGTAAATGCCAGAGGGCTTATTTTGTTTTGTATTGCTTCAAAAAGATCACGTGGTGCAGTTGGCGGTCCTCGGAAACAGAAGGAATTACCCACAGAGCCCCCATACACAGCCTATGTAGGAAACCTACCCTTCAACACAGTCCAAGGCGACATCGATGCAATCTTCAAAGAGCTAAATGTACGGAGTGTCCGACTAGTCCGAGACAAAGAGACAGACAAGTTTAAAGGTATACAGTGAAAAGGGACGTCCTCCCGACATGAAAAGCGCTATATCAAATGCAAGGATTATTATTATTATAAGGGACATGTTGGATTGTATGTTTCACAGCCAAAGGTTGTAAGATCTCTTTCAGTATGTGGGACACAGCTGCCCTTCATGGGTACTTCACCTCGTCAGCCATTATTTGTGCGTGAGTCTTGACAGTGAGTATTGGCAGCCTAACATAACATGTAGGAGCAGGAGTAGGCCATTCGGCCCTTCGAGCCTGCCCCGCCATTCAATCATGGCTGATCTTCTAATCTAACTCCAGCTAATAACCTGACCTGCCTTATCCCCATATCCCTTAATCCCTTTTGCAATAAGAAATCTATCTATCTCAGTCTTGAATATGTTCAAGGACTGAGCGTCAACAGCCCTTTGGGTAGTGAGTTTCATACATTCACCACCCTTTGAGTGAAGAAGTTCTTCCTCAACTCAGTGCGAAAGGGCTGCCTCTGATTTTAAGGTTGTGACCCCTGGTTTTAGTTTCTCCAACCGGGGGAAACAATCTCCCACTATCTACTCTATCATGGTCTTTGATGATCTTATAGTTTTCTATAAGATCTCCTCTAATTCTTCTATATTCTAGAGAATATAGACCCAAATTGGTCAGCCTATCCTCGTAACTCATCCCCTTTGACTCATTCTCTTTGACCGAGCCTTCAGCTCCCCTCTCGACTCTCTTCCCCCTCCTCGCTCACTTCCTTCCCTCCCCTCACCCTGACCATTTCCCCCCTGCTCGGGTCATGAACCAACTGTGCAGCGCCTTGGGACGTCCTCCTGACGTGAAAGGCGCTTTATAAATGGAATCTTGTTGTTGTTGTTGTTGTTCATCCCTGGTACTAACCCAGTAAATCTACGCTGCACCCCCTCCAAGGCAAGTACATCCTTCCTTAAATAAGGAGAGCAAAACTGCACACAGTATTCCAGGTGTGGTCTCACAGGGCCCTATACAGTTGCAGCAAGACTTCCCTACTCTTCTACTCTAATCCTTTCATAATGAATGCTAACATACCGTTCGCCTTCCTAATTGCTGCTGCACCTGCAGACTAACTTTCTGTGATTGGTGTACAAGGACACCCGAGTCCCTCTGGACACTAACACATTCCAATCTCTCCCCTTCTAAAAAATAACCCGCTCTACTGTTTTTGCTCCCGAGGCGGATGACTTTGCACTTCCCTACATTATACTTCATCTGCCACCTACCTGCCCAATCACCTAACCTATCTATGTCTCGCTGTATTTTTTTAATGTTGTCCTCTGTGTTGACACTTCCTCCTAGTTTTGTGTCATCCGCCTGTTTGACTGAAGGTGATTTGCAGGATAGGAGCACAATAATTGTGCAGTAAAATAGAGGGGGAAAAGTGGACAGTTGGCAAGATATTTATTTTGACTAGGAAAAGACATATTGGGAGATGCATCAGGGCAGAGATCAAGAAGGAGATTGAAAAGCAGGGATGAGTTATCATTTTACGAGAGGAGAGAATCGGAAAACTTATAATACTAATCCTTGCATTTGAAATACCACTTTATCACCTCTACGAGACATCTCGAAGCGCTTCACAGAATATATTGTAAAGTGAATTGACTGCGTATTTTGTGGGCGAAACGCGGCAGCCAATTGTGTACAGCAGTGTCCCATAACAGTCATGGATTGAGTGACCAAATTATTTTTTTAAATTTAAAATTTATTTTGAAGGGATTATTGCTGGAAAAGGGATCCTAACAACGACTAACAACGGGGTTCCTACTTACTGCTAGATGAACAGAGGCATGTGGAGTAAGGAAACTTGCCCAGTGTTTTGCCCTGCCCGGGAATCAAACTCAGGTCCTCTCGCTTGCGAGGCGAGATCTCCACCCACTACAGGACTCCACTTGTATTATTTGGGCAGTTTTTAGTGGTTTCGGTCACAGCCTCACCTCGAATCAGAAATGACAGCACAGACATCCATTTGGTCCATTGAGTCTATTCTGGCTTCTCTGCTGGCGCTATCTATTGTAACCCCAACTGCCTGCTCATATCCGTTTCTATGTATTTTACATACATCTGTGTTGGTCAGTTCTGTGTGTGAGATAGAACTTAAATTTTTTTTTGCAGGATTTTGTTATGTAGAATTTGACGATTTGGAATCCCTTAAAGAAGCTTTGACATACGACGGAGCAGTAAGTACCCATATTCCTCAGCAGGAAATAATATTGCAATTATATTTTAACACCCAGTCCCACAATCAAGAAGCTAAAGAACAGCTTTTTAACAGAGCTCACTTTAGATAAAGGTGTAGAGAAATGGATTGTAGAGTAAAATGAAAGAATGTATTCTTAAAAAAATAGCAAGCCTAGAGGATTACAATTAGAGGGTAACAATTAAAACAGTATTATGAAACTAAAAATAAAGAAGCCACGGAAATACATGTGTTTCTTTCTCTCTTCTCACAGCTTCTTGGTGATCGATCTCTGCGGGTTGACATAGCAGAAGGCAGGAAGCAGGAGAAGGGTGGCTTTGGCTTCAGGAGATCAGATGACAGAGGAGGTGAGGTTAACAGGAGTCCCTGTGCAACAATAGGGACCGCTCTTTTCTCCCTAGGTGTAGTTAGCTTCCCTAATGCCTTGGATTCATCATCTATAACCAACATATCCATCTGTACACCTCTTGACATTGTGCAAACCTATGTGAGTAGGGTAAAGAACATCACTGTGCATAATGCCTGACATCACAAAACATATTCATCCAGGCCTGTTTGCACTGAGCCAAGCACATTTAACTATGAGATAAAATGTTGCCTTAGTGATCATTCTATCCAGGTGGTTTTGCTTTGTTACTTTGATGTAATGACACTCCTCTTCACAGGTGACCAATTTATTATCTGAAGGTGACTTATGATGCCAGTGTCAAATTTCCTAAACTGCCGAGAGAGGTACAGTGCCCATTATTACGGAGGTCACATTTAGTATCTCAAATCGGAGTTCTGATTATTTTACGGGGGTAGAACCAATCACAATGCAATGGCAGGTGCGCTTATTTTGTTGGAATGAATAGGGTGATGGGTACATGTGCATGCCACTGTCTGTGATGATTCCTGAACGAGGAAACTTTAGTTCATCAGCAAACATGTAAACTTCATGTAAAAATCAAGATTTACCGTAGTGATTGGGAAAGGGGAGGAATCACATTTAAGAAGAACTCGTGCAGAAAAATGAGCATGACAGAATAGAACAAAAGCACACGCTAACACATATCCGCACAAAAGTAAGTCTTTTGATTTGATTCTTTTGAAAAGTTTTTGAAGAAAGTGAAAAAGTATTGCTTTGTTGGATATGCTTTTGTGCAGAATACAGGGTGAAATGTCTTGTTCCTCCCCAACCGTCGCCTTGTGTACTGTAGCAGCAGCAACATCTATACCTGTTCAGGTAGAGAAGAGCTGGAGCTGGACCATGTGGCGCTGCTGTTGATTTGTTTATCTCCCATCTTCCCATTTAGCATGCCAGAAATAACCTCTTTGCTTCTGTGCTGTGTGGCTAACTTCGCTCATCCTCTTTACTACCTTCACATACTAATTGCCTCTTGTGATTGTTCCCATGATCAGGCAGGTAATCCCTTGTTCTGTTTTGCAAGTCCATGTTCTGCCTGCAATGGTCTGGAGGCCCAGGTTTGCTTTCCTCTTGGGTAGGTAGTAAATGTACCAAATGTAAGGGTTATTAGGTTGTCATTGCAAAGGTCTCCTCGTCTGAATGGTGGGCTGATGGTTGGGCAGAATACAATGTGACATTGAGATAAGTGGAAGTTTAGGAACTTTACAGATATCGTGGAGGAAAGCAGCGGGCAGAACTGATGGTCTGCAAAAGTCTCTTATTTTCAACATTCAGCCCAGTGAAGATTTGTAGCTATTGAGCTAGCAGCCACTGCTGACTTTATTAAGGTGGAAGTATTTAAAACCTACTCTTCATTCTGACTTTCAGAATGTGTGTCTTCCTTTGTTTCGCTCTCTGTTGTTGTGAAGGTAAGAGACAATGACAGTGGTTGCAGTGCTCTTCCACTGGCAAATTTGTAAATGGAACTTCCCTTCAGTGTAAGTCATATGGAGATGCCAGCTTTCCAACAGTTGTACCAGTGCCCCCTTACTCTTCCCCTTCTGCTTTAGATCATTCAGCTCTTTGCTCATCATTGCCACACAGCTATTCATGTATGAAACCTTTATCTTCAAGGAAATCCCTGGAACCTGCCTGCAAAACCTAAACAGATTGGCTGTTGTGTGCTTCACCTCAGCCACCAGATACTCCAGCCCACGCTCACTGAGCCAAGTCTGTTTTCCTCCCAGGGAGTTCAGAGTGTGGTGAGCAGCTGATGTTATCTTTTTAACATGTGTTTGTAGAGGTCACAGCCCTTAGACAAGCTGTTTATAACTCAGAGTGGCTGACTTAAACAAATCTAATGTCATTTGTGCCCGGATTTGATTGTTGAGCACAGGAATGTTTCAACACTAATTGCTGAGAATTGGAATAGTAAAAGGATGGATCACACGTGTGCCCAATGAAAGAAAAAGGAATCACATTTACACGTACCCCTTCAAGAAGGAAAGTAGATGAGAAATACAGGATGAGGGTAAAAGAATCTGATGAGCAAAAATAAGGAAACAAGTTACTGCAACTGCTATTCTCTGCAAATTGCTTCATCAACTGAAAGTGATGAAATCCAGCATGGCCTAGCAAGAGAAGCAACAGAACACATTCCGGATGCCGGGAGCAGAGCAGAGCAGTATTAGGACAAGCCTGAGAGCAGTTTACTGGATGGGGGAGAACCTACAGATATTTGAGAGCAAAGGAGCAAGGGAGAGAGGGCATAGCAAATACACATAAACACACACACACAAATAGTTCCTTTTACGCAAGGTGTATCACATTTTCAAAATAAAGGCTAATAAATAAAATGGTGTCTGTGATTTTTGCTGCTGCTTTGTGATGGCATCGCCCACTTGTGTTGTACCACACTTATGGGGAGAAATAGAACTGGGGAAAGACTTTAGTATTAAGATTTGTCTGTCCCTTTTTTATTCAGTTTGGTTCCTGGCCGTTGCTCCAGCAGTTGAGGGCTGGAAATCTGAGTAGAATTTATGGTAAAATTTACAGGTGGTTCTTTGTTTTTCTGCTGGAACATTTGTCAGGGATATTCATCCTCCCCCTTTAATAGGAGAATGACATCAATGTGCATATTGCCTCATTGCTGAAACCAATGCAACAACCACATTTTGATAAAGCAATCAAATGCGATCCTGCAAGAATTGAAGCAGCAGTCTTGTTTATTAAACTATAATCGATCTCACAAAACAGCGTACAGAATTAAAAGTCGCTCTGTGCATTGGTCAGAATATCATTTTCACATTGTTTGAAGGTCCTTGAAGGTTACATGATTTCTGAGATTACTGTGAGCTGTGAGCAAGCTGGCAATTCATGCCTACAGTTAAAAGGCACAATTGTAAAGTCAATAATAGGAACAGGAGTTGGCCATTCAGCCCCTCGAGCCTGTTCCACCATTCTGTTAGATCATAACTGATATGTACCTCAATTCCCATAATTACTGGATAATAGGAAGCAACTGGATAGTTCTAAACTGATGGATCCAATTGCCATCTGTGACCTGAAGGATCTGTTGCAGGAAGCATTGTTTATCTGCCTCACTGAATGTATTGCAGTTTATGAGCTACTCAAAAGATATGCAGCATAGAAATCTGTTCCAATAAGGACCAGGGGTTTACAGAAATGTAACTGGGCAAATCATCAGAAATGATCTCAAACCAGCCAGGGTGAGGTTTGGATAGAAACATTAAGGAAAATGCACATCAGAAAAAAAAAGATATTCTACCACCCCAGTACAAGTAAGGGAAGCAGACTGGTAGCATAAGCAGCTGATGCTGTGCAGAGTAACTCCTTTGGAAATAAACAGGACACTGTCTACTCAGAGCTCTAGTGGAAGATTATAGAGATAAGTGTAAACATTGAGGATCAGCAACTGTATGGACCACTGTGGATTCATCCCTGGATGTCCTCTGTACAGTGTAAGCAATCCGACAGAATGATGTTAGATTGGGAATGTAGTAAACCGCGAGGAAGATGGCAGCAGACTGCAGGAGGACATAGCCAGACTGGTGAAATGGGCAGACACATGGCAGATGAAGTTTAATGCAGAGAAGTATGAGGTGATGCATTTTGGGAGAAAGAATGAGGGAGGCAATATACAATAAACAGTACATTTTTAAAGGGCGTACAAGACGTACATCCAGAATGATTCAGTTATGCAGGAGGAAACTTCTTGTTAAATATATAAACACTTTGCTTTATGCTTCTCTCTGGGAAAATAATCATTGGGTCTCTCCAGGCCTCGCCTAATTTGGATTGTGCCTTTTACAGGCTTCAGAGATGATGACTTCAGTGACCGCTCACTGGGTGGGTTTGGAGGAAACAGAGCCAGAGGTAGTCGCTCTGGAGAGAGGCGAGGAGGGATGGGAGGAGGAGGAAGTCGCTATAGAGATGTACCCCCTCATGGGTCTTCCATGGAGTTCAGAGAGCCAACAGAAGGTACTGTGCTGTGTATTGGTTTGCCTCAATGGAACTCCTTTACATTCCTTAATACCATCGTCAAGAGTACTGGCCATCGTGGCTTTTGATTTAACTTTTCATAATTCACCAAAACCTGAGAAACATTAATGAATCCTTCAAAACCATAAAACTTTACGTGTCACGTACCATTCATCAAAGCAAACCTGAGACCCCAAACAATCTACAGTGAACACTTGGCTCTAATTTGCAGAGTAAATACTTGCTGTGCTGTCAGTATTCTGTTTCGTGGCATATCTATAGTTCCCTTATAAGAAACTTGCCTCTGTACGTTTATTGTGAGCTAGATAAGGAATCTTGTGGTTCTGGATTTATACCCGGTATATTGTGAAATTGTTTTTCTTTTGTCTGCACAGAGGAAAGAGCACAGAGACCCAGGCTCCAACTTAAACCTCGCACAGTGGCTGCCCCCCTTAACCAGGTCGCCAATCCGAACTCAGCCATATTTGGTGGAGGTAAGCCCCGAGAGGAAAAAACTGGACAAGATGAACAATAACGAGCTAAGAAAATGATGGAAGTTCCTTTTGTAGAAATTACACCCCTGCAGTTTCCATTCCTACCACTTAACTTCCCCCCAAAATCTCTATACAGCTTGAATACACGTTGGCTGTTAGCAAGTGGTTTTTAGTACATCCGACTGCTTTGTACCCTCGTCCCTGCTCTGTGCTGCATTTTTGCCGTGGACAGTTTGGCAGTCAACACGAAACCTCAACGGATTATCGAATCTATTGCAGTTCCCGAATAACGCTGTCAGAAACACGGGCTCATCTGATTCGGCCTCCAAACTCTTTCTTGTTCACATCGCTCTTACTAAAGGTCCAGCCTGCACACTATATTCTGTGCCACGGTGTATTGGAAGATTTAAAGGCATGACACATCCACATCAGAGGGATATTTGTTTTAAACTGCACTGAAGACTGAGCTGAGGGGGTCAGGCAGCTAAACGTGTTCTTGGGAAGAAAAGAAGCCATGGCAGGTGCTGAGCACTCAGTGTCAGTGACCGATCGATGATGGACACACAACTGACCTTTCAACATGTCAAGCTTTTGTTATTTAATATTCAAAGTTGCAGTCTTGGCAGGGGGAGATAGAGAGGGAAAAAATAGCCGTTTTATCTAACTGTGTGACCTGCTGTTACTCTGTAATTAAGAACCATTTGTCTGACACTGCGCATCCCGAATGATCTCTACCACACGTATTTATCTTCAGCTTCACTCTTCAGAACGTGGGAACTTACAAGTCTTGTTGAACATGGAAAACTGTTGCATTTTTTAAAAACCACATCCCGGATAACTGACGTCTCACACTAAGTCAGCAAAATGTGATTTTAAGTGTAAAGATTCTCAACACATTTTGCTTCGTAATATAAAATGCATTTACGGATTCGGTATTTTATGAATGATCTTTTAAGTAAAAAGAAAATCTTTTCGGTGAGCATGTCTTCCCATGGAGGTTTAATCTCCATGATGTATGTATGTAGAGTGTTTTATTTTCCTTTTGCCATTAAATGTACTTTGTGGTTCCAGAATGAGTCTGTGAGTTTCTCACCATGATGTTTCATGCCTAGTTCCTCGACTAGAGTTAGCATCAGGAACGGTGTTTGAAGGAGGTTAGGAGCTCTCAAAGAAACAGAGCAAGTGGAAAGGCAGACATCTTCTTGGTTCATGTTTAAACACCATGTAGGTTTTGGCTTACGTCTCCCAGCCCGCTCAGCTGGCTCCAGCCTCTTGTTTGTCTCTCGTCCCCTCTGTTCCAGTATCGCTCCGAAACTCTGGATCTCTCCCTCAATCCCTCCGCCTTGCTCCCTCCCTCCCCACTTTCAAATCCCGCCTAAAGACCTTCCTTTTTGATCGTGCTTACGGTCACCTCCCCCCTCCCTCTCCCACTGGCTCGGGGTCAGACTCCATGCTACCCAGTGTGAAGGGCGCTATATGAATGCAAGTTGTTGTTGGGAGGGAACGCACAAATATATAAATGAACAAATAAATCAGATAAGTCGTCATAATTCAGACTGATGGGGAAATTGGAGCCTTCACAGAAAAGAAAAGTTTGCCATTCTGTGAACAGTTTTATGAGTTTTGGTGCTGGCGCATACACTAGTGAAGCAGGAATTGGCTGTCATTAAAATGATAGACCGTGTGTCAGCTTTAGATTGGGGTGGGGGAGGGCGTTTCATCATTTACACAGATGAGCACACATTCAAGAGGAGAAAAAGAGTACATCTCTCAGAAGTGTGAGCAATCCACCGTTCTGTCAGTTTGGGGTGATCAGCTTTTGGTTTCATGGTTGTGGAAACACTGTTAGTTAGATTGCCAGAGCCCAGCTGCAGGTGCCACCGAATGCTAACACACGTGCGAGGATTCCTACAGCAATGCAAAGCCTCTGATGCTGTGATTTCTAAGAGTGTGTTTTCACAGGTGGATGCAAGATAAGCATCAGTTTGTAATCTAACAACTCAATCTACGCTGAACTCAAGCAAACAGCCCCCAGTGCTCGGGCTCCGTGTCTTTGTTTGTGTGTGTGATTTGTCTATTTCAGTAAGTGTGTGTGCTTAGTCTAGTGTTTGTATCTAGTCTGTGGGTGTGTGTACTTAGTTTATTTCTGTGTGTGTATCTTGACTGTGTGTGTGTAGGGAGGTGGGTGGGGTGGGGGCCGTGGATATGTGGATGCATTTTGTCTGTTCCTGTGTGTCTAGTCCGTTTCAGCACCCCGGGATGTCCTCCTGACATGAAAGGCACTATACAAATGTAATCTTGTTGTTGTTGTTTCCCTGTGTGGGTGTATTGTCTGTTTCTGTGTGGATATCCCAAACCCTCTAATAAAATTGTGATTTGTGCATAGCAAGCAACTTTAAGTTTCACCATGAGCTCAGGAGGAGCATTTGTCCTTTCACTGTGAGAAAGCAGCACTGATCAATAATCCCTGTTCCTCAATGTTTGATTCACTTACCCAGAGTGATATCATAAGGTGTGTGTGTGTATGAAGGGGTGGGTGGGGGCAGGCAGCAGAAAATAACAACAAAATTATATTAATAATAATCCTTGCATTTGATATAGCGCATTACCAAGTCGTTGAAATGTCTCAAAACGCTTCACAGGATTATACAGTACTTTAAAGTGTGAATTTTGTGGCCGAAAACATATAAGATCGCAAATAAAATGCGTCAAAAGGTACGGAAAAGAGTCACTGCACCAGACACCGACAACGACGACAACTTGCACTTATATAGGGCTCTTCACGCAGACGGTGTCTCACGTTTCGGAGCACCGAAGGCCTGGACCAGGCAGACCTGGAGGTAGATGCGGTTACTGTCACTGAAGTCCTGCAGTGCAGTGGCTGTCTTTCAGCGGCGGATATGAATCATCACCGTTGCGGGAAGCATCTTTCTACTGTGACCACACGTTGCTGCATAAAGACAGACCGGTTCCTGGGCAGTAATGGCAGCCTTTGCATATTATATTCATACAGATCTGACCACTTTGTCCTTTTGCATTATTAATAGAGAGAGAGAATCTCACTCCAGTAACAAAATTAAGTCACTTCTATCTATCTGTCTCACTCCTTTCCCTCCCCCCGCCCCCACTTCCCATTATCAAAGCCTCCTGCATCAGTATTTTATTGCTAAAACTCCTCCCACCATCAACTCCCCCCTAAGTAATTTGCAAATACTGTTTAAATTCTGGGATGCTGTAATAATGTAAATTGGTTCCCGCCGTGCTTTCAGTTTTAGAAAGTTTCAGGATTCCATTTATTCCCAGGTCAGAAAGGAGACCACCCCCCTTCCCCCCACCCTCAGGTCTTCTCACTTGCAAGGCGAGTGCTGACAATATTAACAATAATATTAACAATCAATACCTTTGCATTTCTTACAGCGCCTTATTACACTGCTGAGATATTTCAACGTGCTTCACAGGATAAGATGTGGATAAAGTGGAATAACTTGTGTGTATTTTGTGGGCTTTCACTTAACAAACAGAAACTGAAAATCATTTTCTCTTTAGGGACAGGATTCAAAACATACATACTAATCTATCTGCGTATAAAAATGTCACCTTATGTTCTGTGTTGGAATTCACTCTGAACAAAGCCTGGCAACTCAACAGCAAAAGACCCTTGAGTGAAGAGTCCGCCCACACTCCTCACCCGTACAAATACACCCCCATTTAGTTGTGAGTTACCGAGTGCATCATGCGAAAACACTGACGAAAAGCTTGTTTACTTGGGCTGTGGTAAACGTGGAAAATATTGACATTAGTTAATAACCAATTGTTATTCTATGTGCAACTTTGGCAGGATTTTCCATTAGACAATAAAGTGAAGCAATTTCAAATTCCGTCTGCTGCAAAGGTTACTTACAATGTTATATTTAGAAAAGCGCCTTTCAGAGAACAAACTCCTTTTCCACTCATATCTACAGACATTGAAATTACAGCCGGGGGGTGGGGGGGTCATTTGGCTCAGTTCTATGATGGTGTCAGCTCTAACTCCCTGCTCTCTCTCTCTCTGTCCTCTTCAAATATGCATCCAATTCACTAATAATTTGCTCCTACATTGTAAAATGTTAGAGCTGCTATTTACGATGGAGACGGTGTGGGTTTTGTAATGGACTTTGCAAACACGGGTTTCCATTCCCAACCTTTCAGAGCACACACGAACCTTGCATTTATTTTCCTCTGTCTGGCATCACACTGACATGTTGTTCTGTCCTGGCATTTGAGAGGAAGCTTTCGAAAGGTCTTTTGTGGGGGATGTGGGGAAACAAAAACAACTTGCATTTACACAGCGTCCCAGAGCGCTTGACAGTGGCGGAGCACGATGTCGAGCCGGGGGGAGGGGGGAGGTGACCATAGGCACGGTCAAATAGGAAGGTCTTCAGGCACGACCTGAAGATGGGGAAGGAAGGGGCAAGGCGGAGGGAGAGAGGAAGAGAGTTCCTGAGTTGGAATGAGTTCGAAAAAGGAGATTTCTTTTTTTAAAAGGGCAAAACCGAGCAGTGGCACAGACCAGATTTCTATATGTCGTTTTGATGCCAGCTTGATTCCAGAGACCACCCTCCCCACCAACCTCACCAAGGCAGAAAGCAACGCATTTTAAGTGCAATGTTATCCTAAACTCCAAAGGATCCAGCAAATTTTCGCCCCTGGATTAAATGTCGAAAGCTAAAGTTTGCAGGTTTAAGAGTCCCACACGAACAGACGAGTTATCTACCACACCCTTGTATAAAGTATTTCTGTACATATGCTTAAGAAGCAGCAGATGAACATCATTAGAGTGGGAGCAGAGAGGAAACCCAGTGTTCTCAGTTTCTGCCTGGTGAGTGACAGCCCATCAGAGTAAGAGCATGCAGAGCGGATGTGGTACTGGGTTTCTGTTAAAGAGCGGAAACAAAGCACAAATATTTTCACGTTCAGTCTTTCCCTGACACCAGAGCCACGATGAGGAGGAGAGGAAGAGACTCCTGAGGTAGTAGGTGAGTGAGAACCTCATTGTATCTAAGATTATAGTATTTTAGAGACTAACCCAGACCAACAACAACAATTTGCATATATATATATATATATATATAGCGTCTTGGAGCGTAATACAGACTAATGTACAAATAAACACAGATGAACATAAGACTAATTGTTCTTTCATTTTATATCATCATCGAGATGTCTCAAAGTGTTTCACGTGATTTTACTGTAAAGTCTAGTGACTGTAGACACACAATTTGCACACGTCCCACACACAGCCTTGAAAGTGAATAATCCTTGTATTTTGATATAGTGCTTTTGGTGTCTTCTAGACGTCTCAAAGCACTTCACAGAATATACTGAATATTCATATAATATATGAATTAACTGTATATTTGTGGGCAAAACACGGCAGCCAGTTGTGCACAGCAGTGTCCCACAAACAGCCGCTGGTTGAGTGACCAAATTATTATTACTTTTTGTGAAGGATTATTATGCTCGGAAAAGCGATCCGCCAAACGACTAACAACCGGGTTCCTACTTACTGCTATGTGAACAGAGGCGTGTGCAATAAGGAAACTTGCCCGACATTTCGCCCTGCCGCGAATAGAACCCAGGTCTCTCATTTATGAGGTGAGTGCTCTAACCACTGAGCTACAGGACTCCAGTGAATGACCACTATCTGACAAACTAATATCCACAGACACAACTAATGATCCCAAACTGAGATTGACATGAAAGTTGAAACACAACTCCCCCTTCTCTTTAAATGATAATCAAACATGTTAAAAATGGCTCCCTAACATAGGGCTGTTCATGAGGCTCAGAATCGAGCTTCTGTTGTGACTTATGATGGTCTCAAACTGTCAGACGATCTCAGTTTCTCTTCTGCTATCATTTTGATGTAACAAGGCCCCCACAGGATCCAGGGATTTGAATCATTAATAGTGAAAGTCCTGTGTTCCAATTGCTCTGTCAAATATAAAGATTATCGTTAAGCGGCTTTAAAAAATGGATAATTGAAGCGCTGAAATCCTGGGAGAGTTCATGGACAATGTTCTTGACATAATTTGTTTTCAGCCTGGCTCAGTCGGTAGCACTCTAACCTCTGAGTCAAAAGTTTGTGGGATCAAGCCCCACATTGGGGACTTTGAACTCACATAGTCTAGATGGACACTCCAGCGCAGTGAGGTGAGCCCTGCAATGTCGAAGGCGCAGTGCTTCAGATGGCACGTTAACCCGAGGTCCCATTTTGGTGGAAGTTATTGTCCTGGCTAACAATCCCCCGATAAAACCAGTTATTCACTTTGTGGCTGTTTGATGGTTTGTTCGACCGTCACCTCCTCCCTCCCACCGGTTCGGCGTCAGACTCCAAGACACTGCCCCGCGTGAACGGCACAATATAATTGCAAGTTGTTGTTGTTGTTGTTTGCTGCCGCTTTTGTCTACAAAACTCATAGCCACTGCACTTTACAATGAATCCTGTGAAGCACTTTGAGACACTCTCCTGCCTTCAAAATCGCTGTATCAAATGTAAGGGACTATTACTATCTTAATTCAGGAAACTGACACAACACGTGTCGGGGACAGAGAAAGGACACAGACGGAATCAGAGAATTTTACAGCGAAAGAGGAGCCTGTTTGGCGTGTCTATCCTGCACTATCTCCCTCTTTCTCTCCCTCTCTCTCTCTCCCTCTCTCGTCTCTCCCTCTCCCCTCGTTTGAATCCCATTCACCGGCCTCTTTACCTTCACTTCCTTTTGCTCGCGTTACAAAAAACAGTTATTACAATTGGAACAACAACAACAACAAGTAGCATTTATATAATGACCTTTATGCTGGATAGCGTCTTGGAGTGCTTGAACGTGGCGGAGTTTGATGCCGAGCCGGGGAGAAAGGCGAGGTGACCGTAGATACGGTCAAGCAAGTTCTAAAAAAAATTAATCCTTGCATTTGATATAGCGCCTTATCACGTCGTTGAGAGGTCTCAAAGCACTTTACAGAATATATTGTAGAGTGTAGTGACTGTGTACTTTGTGGGCAAACGTTCTTTCTACGTTGAGGGCAGTCTGCTTTCCTCCTGTAATGGAGCCACTTTGAGTAGGACTGTAGAAAGTCCAGGAATAATAGTACTACTACTAATAATCCTCGCATTTGATATAGCGCCTTATCACATCTCTGATAAGATTGTGTGTCATCGCGTCTTCGAGACGTTTCAAAGCGCTTCACAGAATATATTGTAAAGTGGATTGACTGTTTATTTTGTGAGCCAAATGCTGCAGCCAACTGCGCTCAATTTTTTTTTTGACCCAGTATCTCGAAAACAGTCACGGATTGAGTGACCACATTTTTGTTTTGGTGGGATTATTACCCCCGCAAAGCAATCCACCAATTGACCACCAACCAAGTTCCTACTTACCGTTAGGTAAACAGTGGCGTGTCGAGTAAGCAAACTTGCCTACGGTTTCGTCCTGTCCAGGAATCAAACCTGGGTTCTCTCGTTGCAAGGCAAGCATGCTAACCACTACACTATGGGACTCCACAAGAATCAATTGTCCCAGAGTCACTCCCTGTTCGATGCCAAGGGACTGAACTCAGTCCAGGGACAGCAGTGTGACTTAGAATTGTTGTTAGTGACCCAGGACAAACATATCAGCCAGGATTTCCCTCTCCTGATTGATGCCAATGATGGAAAGTGACCAGACTGCAGAGCTCGCTGTTCCGAGAAGTGTGTGTGGGAGGTGGGGGAGGTGCAGAGAGGCCAAGGAAGAAGACAGCAAGTCAAGCTAATGAAGATACAAGGCCCCCTCTGAAACAAAATGGTGGCTACAGACACAATCAGTGGTGGGTGGAACACGTTGATCACATGAAAGCTTCAGGTGACAAAGTCCCTTCAGTCCCATTTGATCTCATCCTTCCAGAATATTCGCCCAATGTTTTCCTCTGAGACAGGTATTTATGTAGGTGAAGAGCCCCATCTTACCTATTTGCACCTTACAGCCACTCTAACACTGGGGAGCAGCCGAGCAGGTGCTTTCCAAAGCCTCTAAGGGCCCCCAAAGGCTTCTTTTATGTTGTGGTCAACAAATGTGTACCGAGTGCTCTGAGCAAAAGCTGACCAGAGTGTCTTTACACGAGTCGCAGCTTCCCTCTGAGCATTCAAAGGTTTATTCTGGTGCACGGGGCTGAGGCTCAAACTCATTGGGCCAAGAGTACAGGCCAGAGCTCAGCTGCGTTCAGCCTGAATCAGGACGAATGAGAGGCATCACGTAGCTATCAGAGAGGTTGAGAGCTCACGCTCCAACGGTAACCTTAACCTTTGGAGGCGTCTCTTTTATAAAGATTTCTTTGATGTGTTCTCTGATAATACAGCGGTGTGTTATTTTAATAATGATAAAATAACTCTCTCTCCTTTCATTTGAATCCCATTCACCGGCCTCTTTACCTTCACTTCCTTTTGCTCGCGTTACAAAAAACAGTTATTACAATTGGAACAACAACAACAAGTAGCATTTATATAATGACCTTTATGCTGTATAGCGTCTTGGAGTGCTTGAACGTGGCGGAGTTTGATGCCGAGCCGGGGAGAAAGGCGAGGTGACCGTAGATACGGTCAAGCAAGTTCTAAAAAAAATTAATCCTTGCATTTGATATAGCGCCTTATCACGTCGTTGAGACGTCTCAAAGCACTTTACAGAATATATTGTAGAGTGAAATGATGGTGTACTTTGTGGGCAAAGGTTCTTTCTATGTTGGGGGCAGTCTTCTGTCTTCCTCCTGTAATGGAGCCACTTTGAGTAGGACTGTAGAAAGTCCAGGAATAATAGTACTACTAATAATAATCCTTGCATTTGATATAGCGCCTTATCACATCTCTGATAAGATTGTGTGTCATCGCGTCTTCGAGACGTCTCAAAGCGCTTCACAGAATATATTGTAAAGTGGATTGACTGTTTATTTTGTGAGCCAAATGCTGCAGCCAATTGCGCACAGCAGTGTCTCAAAAACGGTCACGGATTGAGTGACCACATTTTTGTTTTGGTGGGATTATTACCCCCGGAAAGCAATCCACCAATCGACTAACAACCGGGTTCCTATTTACCGTTAGCTAAACAGTGGCGTGTAGAGTAAGTAAACTTGCCTACGGTTTCCTTGCATTTGATATTGCGCTTTATCAGGTCTTCAAGACATCTCAAAGCGCTTAAACCATCAGTAGTACATTAAGGTAGATATAACACTTACATTTGATATAGGGTCTTTTACATCGGGAAGATGTCTTAAAGAGCTTCACAGGATGTACGTGATAGTGTAGCGATTGTGTATCGTGTAGGCGAATGCAGCAGGTAATTTGCGCACAGCGACGTCTCACAAACAACTGCGAAGGGAGTGAATAAATTTGCCTGAGTGGAATTGTTGGCCAGGACAATGAGAGAGAGAAACTCGCTTCTCTTTTCAAATGGGATCTTTAACGTCCACCTGAAAAGGGCACAGACAGTTTGTCTCGTCCAAAAGATGGCATCTCCAACAATAGATAACGAGTCTCAAAATCCCTGGACGTGAAGCTTGAACCCACAACCTTCTGACTCAGAGAGGCGAGGCGGCTGCCAACAGAGCCAGGGTGACACATATTACTTACAACTTGATCTTTTATCAGTAAAATGAAGTCTCTTTGTGTGATGATTTTTGAACCCTCGCCTGAAGCGATGTGTCACCACAATAAAAAAGAGACCTGCAGAAGTCAATGGAACGTTCTTCTGATAAGGGTGAAGAGCGGATTTTATTTTAGTTTGTGAGAAATACTTTCTCTCTCGTACCCTAGAGTTTACCCTTACATGTGGAGTCTTGTAGTACAGTGGTTAGAGCGCTCGCCTCACAAGCGAGAGGATCCGGGTTCAATTGCCAGGGCAGGGCTAAACTTTAGGCAAGTTTCCTTACTCCACACGCCTCTGTTTACTGGCAGTTTGTAGGAACCTGGTTATCAGTCAATTGGTGGATCGCTTTATGGGGGTAATAATCCGTTCAAAAAAAAGAAATTAGGTCACTCAATCCATGACTGTTTGTTTGTGCACAATTGTCTGCCACGTTTTGCCCACAAAATATACAGTCAATTCACTTTACGTGAAGTGCTTTGAAATGTCTCCATGACGCATTAAGGCGCTCTATCAAATGCAGGGTTTATTCTTCTTGTTAATAAGGATTATTATTATTATTACCCATGACTTTCACATCAGGAGGACATCTCAAAGCACCTCACACACCCTGTGTATGACTGTGTTGTATTATATATTTGCAGCTTTCCATTTCCAGATCTGGTCATGTATCAGGGACAGTTGTGGTGGGGAATTCTCTCCGTGCTCCCCCTAGGGATCCTCGTGACGCTCTGTGCAAGGTGCAGACGAACCAGGGGTCGCAGTAAGTACCGGCTTCATTGTGTTGCATGTTGGCTAGCACTTGCCAGGGCAGCTCAATCAGTAGCTCTCTCTCACCTCTGCGCCTGGAGGTTGTGGGTTAAATACCCACTGAAGCTCAGGTCATGAACTCACTGTCGAGCGCAGTGGTGGCCAACCTTTTTGGTCGTCCAACAAAATACATTTTCTTGATTGAATATTTCTTGATTTATGCATCAATCGATTAATATTCAATGAAAAAACCTGGAAAAACAACATTGATTGAAAGCGGAGATTACTTACCGAGATTACTGCCAGCCTGCAAGCCTTGGGTTGGCAACCACTGGTCTCATGCAGTGCTGGGTGGTTGAGACGTTAAACCGAGGTCCCGTCTGTGCCTGTTCGGGTGGACCCTAAAGATCCTGCATCGACAACAACTTACATTTTTATAGCAGCGCCCCTCAGGCAGGATAGCGTCCCAGAGCGCATTGACAGTGCCGGAGCCAGGAGCGGAGGCAGTGGGTAGTGGGTTGGGGAATAAACAGTGTCCCCATTTCCATCAGTATCGAAAATGAGAAGGGGATTCCTCTCTTGGTGTTAATCATTCATTGCAGTTTGTGGTGCCACGCTTGCCTACAGAAAGAGTCGCTACACGTATCACTAATTATTGTCAAGCTCTTGAGAGATGTTTGGATGTGATAAGGTGCTATAAAAATGCAAGTTCTTTCCTTTGTCAAAATTCACTGTGTGTGCGTTTGTGTATTCACGCAAAAATAGTTATGAGAAGGCAGCCTCCCCGACCTACTGCAAACTCTGTTGCTTAATGTAAGAGATGCTATTGCTTTGGTGGGCGAGTGGGTTTTAAAACGGTAACATATCCGCTGGGCCAGACAGGAAGACCTGAGCGGTTTGCTAGTTATCTAAACTTTGAGGCTCATCCACTTTGCAAGTGAGAGGACATGGGTTCGATTCCCAGTCGGGGCGAAACCTCAGGCAACTTTCCGGTTGTTAGTCAATTGGCGGATCACTTTCTGGGGTAATAATCCCTCCCGCCGCTCAAATAAATTTGGTCATTGCTTGTGGGATACTGCTGTACGCAATTGTCTGCCGCGTTTCGCCCACAGAATATACAGTCAAACTACTTTACAGTATATTCTGTGAAGGGTTTTGAGACGTCTCAATGACATGATAGGGAGCCCTATCAAATGCAAGGAATAATATTATTATATTCTAAAGCTACCAGTGTCACTGTGCCTGATGGCTCGGGAAGCTGCTACATCCACTGAATGTGGTATGTGCAAGTGTTGGAGTTCCTCTGAAGCGTGGGTTTGTGTAAGCCGATCAGAGGGGCTTTTATCTGAGCCCTCAGCAGTGTTCTAAGGCTGTGGTGGTGCAAGCTCTACCGGAAGCCAGGAAGGTTCTGCACTAAATGTGGTGGTTTAGCATTAAGCCGGTTAGCCTGACCTGCTAACACACTGGGCCCTGGATGCAGTTTTTTTTTATTAAAGTGAAAGAACGTTCAACGCTAAAGATAAAATTCCCTACAAACTGTCAGAGGTGGTGGCTGCGTCTGTCGCTGTGCGGTTTGTTCTGTCTGGAACCTCGGGTGTTTGAGATCAACCACAGGAACCCCGAGCGACAGCAACGCAATGCAATCCTTCCAATTGTTGCGGCTCCTTATCCCGTTAGGATAGGACATCTCCCGGCGTTTCACAAGATTTTACTGTAAAGTGCAGTGAATGTGCATTATTCAGAGAGTATTTTGTTGTAATTTATTAATAATAATCCTTGCATTTGATATAGCGCCTGATCACGTCAGAGACATCTCAAAGCGCTTCAGAGAATATACTCTAAAGTAAATTGACTGTGTATTTTGTGGGAGGAATAGTGCCATGGGATCTCTAACATCTATCTGAACAGGCACACACTTGCACGCTGTTTGGCTCATTGCCACTTTACCAGAGTCTACAGTGCAGCAGCGAAGGGGAAACCACGACTTGTGTGTGTGATATGCTTGCAAATTATTTTTGAAAATGAAATCCGATCAAGCTTCAGTCTTTAAAGGTGTCAAATGTAACATCCACAGCTGTGATCCGAGAGGAGACTAGGAGGAAAGGGCGCAGCGTTCACGGGTAAGCAGAACCCCCAACTTTTCAGACTATCAAGAATAGCTCAAAGACGTCCTCCGGATCGGTAAGGCTGGGTGAAGCCAGGACGCTGAACTCATTTAAGAAAGCTCAGTGGCAATTGGGAAAACCGTAAAGCGGGGATATTTCTTTGGAGGGGGGGGGGGAGAGAGAGAGACCAAATTGGCTAAAGAACTTTCTTCACTGCTGTGCCAAACAATTCGCTTTTCACACAGCGAGTTGTTGGGATCTGGAATGCATTGCCTGGAATGGTGGTGGAAGCTGATTCGATAATAACTTTTAAGAGAGAAATAGATAATTATTTGGGGAGGACAAGTTTGTAGGGCTATGGGGAGAGAGCGGGGGAGTGGGATTCATTTGGATAGCTCTTTTCAAAGAGCCGGCACGGACACAATGGGCCGAATGGCCTCCTTCTATGATTCTGTGAAGGGGTTTGCAGGCAACATTTCACAGGAATTTGCTACACATTCGAAGACTGAAATCATACAGGAAGACTGAGATTTTTACCATTCTGTCTGCTCTTTTTAGGAATGAAGATAAGAAACAATTTGAAGTGGTCAGATCATACACAGGTAAATCATCAAAGCCATTGAGATTGAGTCAGCAGTGTTTCTTACAACAAAGCTGCATTGTGGGGTGGGTTTATGATAGATTCGATGGGAATTGGATGTCTAGAGTTAAGAAAGTACTTTCGGTCAAATTTGTTTTTGTGTTGGTTGAAGCTCATACAAGGCTGAGAATATGTATCAGGTTTTTGACTGTGGAAAGAGATATCTCAAGAGGGGACAATTCAAAGGTGTATGAAAAGGGATTGAGAAAGTAAACAACAACAACAAATTACATTTATACAGTGCTTTCATGTCGGAAGGACGTCCCAAGGCCCCGGACAGTTAAGGATTTTGAGACAGGCCTTGAAGGGATTGAGAAAGTAAAGCCAGAACATTGGGTTCAGATGTACACTGAGGCAGTGGGGACAGACTGCACAGGTCCAGTGCTGTGAAGGGCAATGTGTAGGACAGACAACAGGAAGTATTTTTTAATACAGAGGAAATCAATCATTGGAACCAGACGTGATCAGGCACTACATCAAATGCAAGAATTATTATTATTGTTGTACAACAACTGAATAATCCTGTTTGCATTGGTTTCATTTGTGTTTAATGTGGCTAAAATGTTGCCTGTTGCTTTGCTCAGTGACAAGACAGGATCACGGACCGAGGCCGCCAGCACCACTGCCAGAGTAAGCAACGCTTCCCAAACTCGGGTCCCGCAATCAACGCTCGAGAGAAAAAAAAACGGACATCAGTTGATCTTAACTAAAATAGAGACAGAAATCCTTGGTAGATGCATGTTGGAGGGTCTGTGTTGGTCTGGAACCTTTCTCCATTCCCACTACTAGTAGTTTTTTTTGCTGCTGGCTCATAAGAACATAACAAATGCTGGACAAAAAAAAGACCAAAGTCTATCTAGTTCGCCTTCCACCTTCCTGGCTTCTAAGTCGCATGAGCATATGTCCAGAACGACCTATGTACCATATCCTATAATGTTATTTTGGGAGGCTCATAGTCTGGAATTGGTCTGTGATGAACCTCTGGGAGATTGTACAAGGCCCTTGCTATACTTAAGATTGGCTCCAGTCTCCCTCTGGCACTCACTGGCCTCAGGCAACTGTCTGCTTCATCTCAGAGGAATTTAGGAGCAGGGAAAAAAGCTGCTCATCTCATCAAGCCCGTTCCGTCAATCATTCCGCCTAACTGCCTACTGTAGCCTCCCAGTGCCTGGACAGACCTATCTCCCCTGCTCTACATGGACCAACAGACGTTAAAACATCCCCCCCATCCCCCCATAAAAGTTATGTATCCACCTATCTGACCCTGATCAAACTTCAACAGTCCTTGTTTCATTTCCTGTGTTACTGTGTCAGATCGTGTTTGTGGGATGTGATAAATGAGTCCAATTCAGCTGTGGTTTCCTCTCGGCCCCTGTATCACTCCCTCTTGGCTGGGCACGGCTTCACCCCAGGTCTTCTCTTCTCTCTGTTTGTTTAGTATCAGACCCCAAGTGTCCACTACTCAATCACATCAGAGCCGTAGCAGTGAGTGTGAACGCAAGGCAGGGGAGGGGTGGGGGAGTGGGAGGGGTGGCGAGGGAGAGTATCACAGGCAGACCCCAACCTGTCCTCACCCAATATCAATGATGCAGAATCTGTGTACGTTTCTCAGTCATTAAATAAAGTATCTTTTCATCTCTTTCAGGACTACGACTATCTCAACTATTTCGGAATTCACCGTTCATCCCGGTTTGTACAAAATAGCTTCAAAATCCCTCAATGAAGGGCTGGCTGTAGGTTGATGATTTGGGTTCAGTAGTAGCACTCTGGCCTCTGAGACACAAGGTTGTGGGTTCAAGCCCCCACGTCAGGACCTGGAATCACACAGTCTAAGCTGAAGCTCCAATGCAGAGTTGAGAGGTTGTTGCATTGTCGGAGGTGCCGTCCTGTGGATTAGACGTTAGACAAGGTTCCGCCTGCCTGTTCCGGTGATCGGTGATGATCCCATGGCACTATTTGAAAAGAGAAGAGAGTTTCTCTCTCCCACTGTCCTGGCCAATAATCCCCCAAATACAACTGGTCACTCACTTCATGGCTGTTTGTGAGACCTTGCTGTATGCAAATTGGCTGTCGTTTTGCACACAAAATACTGTCAATCCACTTTAGTATATCTTGTGAAGTGCTTTGAGACGCCTTAATGATGTGATAAGGTGCTATATCAAATTCAAGGATTATTTTTATTTATAAATTTATCAATTTTTGTAACAAAAAGGCTTTGTGTTAAGACATTGAGACCCTCTTGTCAGATCCTGTTGCTTGTCTTGGATTTAATTTACAATTAGAGCTCAGTAAAGCAAAATGTCTGGAAGTGTAAGTGTTATAAAAATAGTTGCATTTGATATAGCGCCTTCGAGACGTCTCAAAGTGCTTCACAGAATATATTATAAAGTGAATTGACTGTATACTTTGTGGGTGAAATACAGCAGCCAATTGCGCACAGCAGCGTCCCACAGATGTGAATTGAGTGACCAATTTTTGAATTATTTATTTAATTTTTAAAAGGGATTATTACTATCATTAAGTGTTCCTGCTCACTGGCATTAACCAAATTCCCTTTATCACCAGGAGTAGATATTTCACCAAACTACGAGAACATACTAATTGGTAAGTGAAATAACTCTTTAAACTTGCGATCTACCTGAACTGGAGTCCAGAGCAGGTCTATATCAACAAGCATTATGCACAGCAAAAGTATAGTCTTTGATGAGAGAAGACTCCATGGGACATAGAATCATCATAGAATCATAGATTACAGCACAGAAGGAGGCCATTCAGCCCATCGTGTCTGTGGCGCTCTTTGAAAAGAGCTATCCAATGCAATCCCACTCCCCCGCTCTCCCCCCATAGCCATACAAACCTGTCCTTCCCAAATAATTATCTACTTCTCTCTTAAGAGCTATTATCAAATCGGCTTCCACTGCTCTTTCAGGAAATGCATTGCAGATCCGAACAACTCGCTGTGTAAAAAAATTTCTCCTCACTTGCCCTCGGTTTCTTTTAACAACTATTTTAAAACGGTGTCCTCGGGTTACCGACCCACCCGCCAGTGGAAATAGTTTCTCCTTGTTCACCCTATCGAATCCCCTCATAATTTTGAAACTTATATTGAAGTCACCTCTTAACCTTCTCTACTCCAAGGAGAATAATCCTCGCTTCTCTACCTCTCCTGATAACTGAAGTCCCTCATTCCTAGTACCATCCTAGTAATTCTCCTCTCCAATGCCTTGACATCCTTCCTAAAGTGCGGTGCCCAGAACTGAACACAGTCTCTCACTGAGGCCTAACCAGTGTTTTATATAAAGGTTCATCATAACTTCCTGACTTTTGTATTCAATGCCCCTATTTATAAAGCTTACTGTATGCTTTTTTGACAGCTTTATCTACCTGTCCTGCCATCTTCAAATAATTACTTGTATGACCCCCAGGTCTCTCTGCCCCTTCACCCCCTTTAAGATTGTACCATCAGCTTATATTGCCTCTCCTCATTCTTCCTCACAAAATGCATCACTTCGCATTTCTTCACATTAAACTTCATCTGCCACGTGTCGGCCCATTTTACCAGTCTTTGGCCATTTGCAGTCTGCTACTATCCTCCTCACTGTTTACTACTTTTCCTAGCTTAGAATCATGGAGGGGAGAAAACCATGGTTTAGGAGTTGGGATATGTTCTATTGCTTTAACCTGATGATCTTTGAGGATTGTAGAGCCTCTGTACATATCAATATGTGCGTGTGACTTTAAATAGAAAATTCACACCATCCAGATGTAGAGATTGAGCTGGGACCTGGACTGTGGTCTGCTTGGCAGGAAACAGGCCTCATTTCAACTAAGAAATCGCTCACCGTTAATGAAAAATCCCCTCTTTTACAGGAAATGAACTCGATCTGGAAGAGACCTATGTGTAAGTTACTCTTGAGTTTCTCTGCGAGGGAGAGAGGAGACAGCGGCGGAGATTCTCGTGGAGTATAAACACTGGCACGGATTAGTTGGGCCGAATGGATTGTTTCTCTGTTGTATAGTTTATGTAAATCTCCTCTTACAAAATATGTTTAAGGGATTGTTTCAGGTATGAGAGCACAGTAATGTCCAAGCAAATCAGATACAGACTACAATACCATAGGGGAAGGGAGGAGTCCAAAGAAGGATAGGTTCAGAAAAATGGACAATAAAGTTAGTATTTTGGATATTTACTTGGGCAGAACCTTTCTTCCATTATTAACTCTCAGCAGCAGCACAGAAATACAGTGCTAGCAAGAGGTCAGTTTAAGGCCAAGGTGAACACAGTTGACTATCTCATATCTAATATAAAAATGCTCACTGGGAACAAGCCAATTAATTTGTAATGAGAGTGACATGGGATGGTCAGTGGTAGTGACAGAAGGACTTAGTCTATACCGTCACAATAAGTATTCTTGGATTCACTTCTCACTCTGCTAATCTAACGTTTGTGTTTTATTCCTCACAGGAATCCCATCGCCTCAGATTATGGTTTCCCTCAGAAATGTTTTCATCCTTCAGATGGTGAGTAGTGTCCCTGTGTGACCTTGCCACTCCCTACCTAGGTGGCTGTCCTCTGCCTCCCTCTCCTGCTCACCCTCTCCCTTCTGTGCATTCCTTGCCCCAACATTGGCAGCCGAATGAGTCATTGTGCCTCCACCACTGGAACTCCCTCCTTCAACTCCTCCAACATGCACCCGCCAACCCCCACAAATTATTCTTTAAAGTCTCCTGAAAACCTACCTCTTTGACTACATTTGTGACCATACTTTGAGATGTGACCCTAGGTGAAATGCATTCTGTAAATGCAAGTTCTTGCATCATTGACCTCAAAAGAATGCTCTCAGCTGACAGTGTAGCTACCTTTTAGCAGCATGAACTATTATTCCGTTCCCTCTTTATCAAGATTTTGAGATCTGACTTGGGGGATGGGGACTGTTTAGGAAGCAGACATCCTTCTCCAGCATTGTGGGTTTGGTGCTATACTTAAGAAACTGAGCCCCAGGACATCACTGACTCCATGAAAGGAACGAGCAGTAGGGTATGTGTCAGAAAAGAACAGACCCTCAGGATTCGAAACTTGAAAGTGAAAAATCAAGACACTGTGTGATGAAATTGGGAAACAATTGGGCATCAACAAAATCAGCTGTGAAAATGGGGATCGGTTGACCTCTGGGGGGCGGGGGGGAGATGGTCAAAAGGCCGTCTTTTCTCAAAACTCTCGTAGAGCATTCTTGCCGTTCTTATGCATTTAATATTATTGCAGTAAATGTACAGCCCGTAAAGGGATAACAACTGTTGCTACAAACTCGTATTTAACGGGAATGATTGGTAACTTGCCTATTTCTTTGATTTTTTTTGTGTGCAGAGGATGCAAATGATTATGAAAACCTGTCAGAGAGCCGGACATCATGTAAGTGTGAGCACGGAATGTGGAGTTCCGTAGCTTTGTGGGTTAGAGCATTTACCCTGTTCTTAGTTGATTAGCGGATCATCGTTCTGGGGGTAGTAATCCCTTCAAAAGATAATCTTAATTTGGTCACTGAATCCACGACTGTTTGTGGGACACTGCTGTGCACAATTGGCTGCCACATTTCGCCCATCAAATATATTCAGTTTACTTCACAGTATATTTTGTGAAGCGCTTTGAGACATCTCAAAGTGATAAGGCGCGATATCAAATACAAGGGGATTATTAATATCGTTATAATGCACTGACAGACTTTTCTCTTGAATTTGTAGTGGCAAACTACGGAAATGCCGTTTACATCGAGCGATGGAAACATCCCCCGGATGACAAAGGTAAATGCTCTTTGGGTTAATTTCTTTTTGCCATCATAAAGTAGATCACGGGGTGTCAAGCACTCCGGGACTCTACTCTGTGTGAAGGGCGCTTTATAAATGCAAGTGGCGGTTGTTTTGGGCTTCATAAATTGCTGAAGTCTCAAATGAACCAGGTGGTATCTCAAGCACTAAGGTTCTTCCTTTTACCCAGACTTGTGCAACACAAAACCTCAGTCACAGATTCATGGCAGCTCTTTAGCCAAGGCGGATGGTGACGAGGATGATGATGATGACGACGAGCCTGACTACGTCAACACTGTTCCTTGCTAGCACAGCTATAGGTAAGAAAGCCAATTTGTTTCAGCCAGACTAGAACCAACATGCATTGCTGCCAACCTGTAGCCTTAAATTTAACACTACAGTAAACCTGTTCTTACAAATCTTTCTGAGAGACTTGGGCTGAGTGTGCTGGGAGGAAGTGCATGACTTTGGGGAACTGAGAAAAATCATACACAAGAGAGGGAAAGGGAATGAGATAATCTCAAGTAAATAGAAGACATTGATTTTAACAAGATTTCTGTAGGTTATTGGTTAGAGCACTCGTCTCACATTCCCAGGCAGGGCAAAACTTTAGGCACGTTTCCTTACTCCACACGCTTCTGTTTACCTAGCAGTAAGTAGGAACCCGGTTGTAAAATCGATTGGTGGATCACTTTCCAAAGGGGTAAGAATTACTTAAAATAAATCAAAATAATTTGGTCACTCAATCCACGACTGTTTATATACAATACATTCTGTGAAGTGCTTTGAGACGTTTCAACAACATAAGGCACTATATCAAGTGCAAGGATTATTATTATTATCATCTTGTTGGACCATTTGTTGGCAAATGCAGCAGCTGCTCACATTCACTAACTGTATCCAATGTGTGCAATTACTTTTTCTATTCCTGACTGTACCCACATGGCTGGGTCTATTACAAGCAATAGATTACTAACTCATTCATGCTTTCCAATAAGTGGAACCATTCCCCTTTGAAGTACTGAACCACCCAAACATGTAAATTCAGGGTTCACCTTATCCGATGCAGTTACAATCAAGAGACCCAGTAATATATTAATGTCACTGGTTAAACCTTTCCCCAAAACCCTTTCCACCCCAATACCCTTTTCCAATAGTGTCATTCTTCAGACAAATTTTAGATGGTTGGATGGACATTTGTGCTCCAAACCTTTACGCTTCACACTCATGAGAATGTGTTTTAGCTGTTGAATGATTTTGGGGGGGGGGGGGGGGGGGGGAAGAGAAAAGAGAGATAGAGAAGCATCATTTGTGATGAATCAGCATGGAGATGAGGGTTGGGAACCGGTACATCATCAAATAGTGAGTTTGCCCGTCTTGAACAGGAAAGCACTGGCATTAAACCTTTACTCTCTTTTAAATAATTACAGAAATTTCAATGGAATCTGAAACAGACTTCACTCAGCCACACACTGTGAAGGAAGAGTAAATGCTCCGGGAGACTGCGGACTATCAACAAAAGATAATCTGCTAGCTTTTGGAGAATCTCTTCATTTTTCTCCCAGCACAAGGCATTTTACACGTAGCTTCGATGGTCAATTTGTTGGTTTGAGTAAGTGAACCTGCAAAGCTCCCCCCTCCAACCGGCCAGGACAAGGGAGCTATTGCAAGGGAGACATTGTTCAGCTATTGCACCACAATGAAAGATTCATGATGCATCTTGGCAACTTCAACACACTCATTGAGCTTTGAAAACTCCATGTTCAGATAAATTGTTCAAACAATGACCAGCAGAAACACACAATTAGTGCCAACCCCACAGCTATACTAGCCCCTAATGATTCAGCTTCAACCGGGTCAATGTATTTGGTACAGGTGGAGTCCTGTAGCTCAGTGGTTAGAGCACTCGCTTTGCAAGTGAGAGACCTGAGTTCAATTCCAGGCAGAGGGCGAAACCTTGGGCAAGTTTCCTTACTCCACACAGAGCCTAATAATAATCCCTCCAAAACCAAAAACAATAATAAATTGGTCATTTTCAATCTACGACTGTTTGTGGGACATTGCTGTGCGCAATTGGCTGCCGCATTCGCCCACAAATATAGTCAATTCACTTTACAGTGTATTCTGTGAAGCTCTTTGAGACGTCCTCCCAATGTGAAAAAGCGCTATATCAAATGCAAGGATTATTATTATTATTTAGGGTACGGCATGACTCTTGTCCTCAAGAGCATCTCCACTAGGATTCCCCCNTCACCACCCAAAGAAAATTGTGTGAAAGTTAACTCTTGAACTTAACCAAAAACTTAAAATGAAAATTTGCATGATATTTAAAAAAGCTGAACCAATTTCAGCTTCAAAAAGTTTGAGAAACTTCTATCCGTCCACTGAAAGGATATTAGTGTTTGAAACTACCAAATCCACTGGTAGGAGCAATCCAGGGATCCTTTTCTCACCATTCTTAAGGAACATAGTAACAGGAGTAGGCCATCGAGTCCCTTAAACCTATTCTGCCATTCTATAAGATCATGGCTGATCCGTACCTCAACTTCAATTACCCGGCCTTGCCCCACATCCCTTGATACCTTTACCTAACAAACATCTATCCACCTCAGTCTATTTTATTAATTTATGCTGACAATTATGTTTCTGAAACAATCTTGTCATTTAGCACCTTCAGAAGCTATAATAAATTAGAAACCTCACAGCTGAGCTTCATTCCTTAACCATAAATATGGTCAAAGCAGATTTGTCACAGCATAGAACCACAGCACTGCATTAGATTCTGTTCCACGTGATTTTCTGGACACATTCTCCAAAGGGCTCATTTCCAAATGAAACTAACAGAGCTACCGGAGTGTAAACATAATCCTACCACCTGATATAGTGACCTCTGCTTCCTCTGTGCTTATAGTTCTCCAGAATCCAATATGCAGGTGTCTGCGTTTATTCTGTACACCTTCAATAATCTTCAGAGAAATCCCAACTAATTTCCTTCCTAAATATTCTCCTCCCTATCTGGTGGATGTGCCTTCCACAAACTAGCGTGATGGGGAATGGGCAGGCCGCCCACAACAAATAGGTTTCGAGTAAACTTGAGACTTTAGAATTGGAGCAGGTGACCTAACCCAATTATAGCTGGCATCAGGCATGCATTATGTCAATAAATAATGAAGCTGTTATCACAAATCTCTGAATCACCTGCTTAATGTACTATTTATACTACCATTGAGCTTAGAAAGATCAACACGTTCATCCTATTTACAAGTCATAATGCTATGAACAAGTTGAATTTCAGCATGAGTGCTCACTCCCATGGAGACCAGGCTCAGTCAGCGCAGCTATGCAGTCTGGCGTGCATGTTAAGTGGCCCCGTGAGGCATTGCAGCACATGCAGGTGACTTTTGCGGTTTGATTGTTTGCGACAGAACTCTTACTAATAGACTGTCAGTTACTAAAAGCAAGTTCATGTACACAGGAATATTTATTTGCTGACAAATTAGAGTGGGGGGGTAAAATGGCAATGAGCCCCACTGGCTGATCAGAAGGATGCTCCAATCCATGAACAAAAGCCTACACAAGCTAAAATCTGAGGGGGGCGTCGGGGAGGAAAGAGATTTTTTTTTAATAAAAGGAACCAAGTAACAAAATTAATTTGAGTCAACAAATTCTGGGTTTCCTGTTCTTAAGGAAACCTTGTGCCAGTGGTTTTCTTTTTAAATCAGCTTCCTTCTGAGTATTATTCTTACTTCAAAATAAAAAGGAAATGCTTTCTCCCCAAAATGTTTATACCTATAATAATTTACAGCTCTTGGAATCTTTCTATTTGCGTGTGTGGTTTCTTTCATGAGCACCCACAAATGCTGATCTCCACATAGACTAGTGAAAGGTTGTTCCCATTGAAACTGATAGGCTGTAGGTTGCAACCTCTGCTCAGAGATAGAAAAAGTGCTTCTAAAATAGGTGAAAATTTATGTCTTATTAATTTTTGAACAAGACATTCAGCTAGACACCGGTGTTAATAAATGCACTTTCCATCTGGTGAAGATTGATATTTATTGTATGAACTTTACTCTGGAGTATAAAAAAACAAGCACAGAAACTGTGCAAACCTATATACACAAGAACAACTGACAGGAGATGGATTACATTTCCTATAAACTCAAATGAGGAGAGTTTATAATAAAACAATAAAGCCCTTGAGCACACACCACAAAGGCTCATTAACTTGCAGGGGGAGCTGTGGTTTTCTGGCAAAGTCGAGCAAGCAATCCAGCCATTTGTAACAGGGAATTCACTCCTTCCGCAATCCTCATGTGAGTATATCCAATCTCCTGCAGAAAGCCAGACAAAAGGGTTTACTTTCCATATTACACATCAACAGGTGAGCAGTTCGAAGTCCATTAGACAGATGCTGATTCAAACAGGTGTATTAAGAGTGGCCTTTGTCCTTTTGTACTCCAGGTCAAAAGCTCCCAAATGACTGTGTGGGTTAAATCCAAATAAAGAATTCCCAATACTCCACTTCTGTCAATTACCTCTCTGAGAGTGAATCAAGGTGGAATTATGCTTAAACTGAAGGCTTCCAAAACTCATTTAAGATCTTTAAGTCGCCAGAGGACAAGGTTCAGCCCTCGAAGAGATTCAAATCTGGGTCACGAAGATGAAATAATATTGCCCCTATTTAATCTCTCCTCAATCTTGACTTTGAGTTTCCCCACTCAACCCACCACCAGCTGAGTGGTAGGCAATCTTTTCTTGGATCTCGGCAAAGTCACTCTGCAGACAGACGTTGAAGATGATCTGTCCTCCAGTAAAGCATCCTCAGCCGTTTACCCCCAAAGGATGCAAGACAAACACCTCCCAGCAGTACATTAAGCCTTTTCACGAAACCCAAGTGCTAAGAATGAGATCTATTCTCTGCCAGACAGGATTGTCCCAGATGTTCTCTTGCATGGAACACCAATCTACAACAGTCTAGCCAGTCAACTAATCTCGGCAGGTCCTGGTTTTATCCTTGCAGTAACTTGTACGAAACACAGCACAGGAGCCAGCAGATGCAGCAGTTGGTTAGGAATTCACCCCCAAAAACATGTTTATTCTGGAATTCCACAGATAACAGAATCATCTTGGGTTCCAATTACCTAAACTGGCTTCTGTTTATTTTGGTGCCCAAACTCAGAAGGTACGAGACTGATTAACCTGACAGATCCACTAAGCTTTCCTCATCTGCTGCTTTGCAGTACAGATCAACTCAGCTACAGAATAGTCAGAGTCTTCAATCCAACCTATGATTACAGCAAGAATTTGACCATTTAAACATTAATAAGCAAATCAATTCAAAAGGTGTAATTCCACCAGAGCTAATCTTGGCAGTTCTAAACTATCCCAAAACACCAATTAAATCCACCCTACAGAAAGGTAGCTTACACTTTAATATAAAGGCCAAGAGATTAATACGAATCTGACATTTTGCAGTTAATATTTGAGATCATTATCTCCACGTCTAATACATTTCAGAGAATGCTATCAGCTGAAAGGTTATTCAGCCCGCATGTACATTGTCTCATGTAATGGTATTTGCTCTACTGTTTGACAGCATTCGTACATGACAAGGACAGACTTGCAAGGTTCTAAAATACAAGGCATCTGGAGAGTGCCACACCAGGAACACATTGCCATCCAAACACATAATTTGCGGCGTCCTTTACAGTTGGTTTACGGCTGCTATGTTTTACAAATGTATTTAAAATAAGATCAATGCTCGAGTTTTACTGGAAAATTTAACAGAAGCAACAGAAAAATACCACAGTACTGAAGTTACAATACTCATGTACATGTTAACAGCAACAATAAAGACAAGCTCTCATCAACAGCTCCCTCTATAAACAGATGCAAAGAAGGTTAAAGTACTTCACCTTTATAAACTCCAGTTTCAAATATTCCTGCATTTGGAAAGTTTTACAGACTCGGAAAATGTTACCAATGATGTCCTCAGGTGAGTAGCCCAATTTCCAGAGATGAGCAACAACCTGTAGATGGAAAAAAGGAGTAATGCAGAATAAACACCAAGTCCCATAGAGCCCTGCCACACGATTGCAGTGAGAAAAGAAAGCTTGATAGCAAATCTACCTTCTTAACGTACTCTAAACTAATTTGTACCAGGAATGACTGAATTTATTATCTGGTTTATTGGTTACAAATGTCAAGCCATCTCATGTCAGATTAAATACAATCTTCTTAGTTATAAAAAACACACAGACCTGGTTATAAAATGCACCACCCAATGTGACATTAAAAGCCATCAAGTTACTTTCGAGTAGGAGGCACTTGGCAGCAGCTAGCTTCAACCCACAAACAGTGCAATTTCTTCACATCCTTCCCTTTTAACACATTGGAATGGAACAGTAAAACTGTCTTCAGCAGGGAAAGGATTAGCTTTAATTATAGGAAACCATTTTTGATTGGATTCAGATTCACAGCAGCTAGTTAAAGCTGAAACGCACACTGGGTGGAACACAAGAGCAAATATGGTTATAACAAAGTTCACATCATAGTTATGAGTGGTATTCTGCAGCAGGATTACATTCAGGCAAAGAACGTCAACAGTTCGCCAGCCAGCCAGTTTCCAAGTTGACAATAAATTTGACATGTGAATGTATGAATTGTTTTATGACCTGGTTACCCTTGAATTGCTTTTGTTCATCATTACAAAGTTGTTTGACACATCCTCCTCTAACACTAGATTTTGATAATTGCTATCAGTGTAAAAAAACACATCTTAGCATTGAGGTTGCTATTACTGTATTTGCAAAACTTGGGGGAAAGTAATCAAGGACAAACAGGGAAGCTAAACAAGGGATGGTGCTGTGTGATGACCGGGAGCACTTCAAGCAGCCATGTGGCACAGATGAAAGGCTGCATGAATTCCAGAATTGACAAGTCTCGAGTGAGTTTGCAGGAGAAAGAAAATAAGAAAACACATTAATCTGGTGCAATTGCTGGAAAACGGTCCAAGATCATCACGGGCAAAGAGTGTGGAAATCCAAGAGAATGCGTACGTGTTTGAAGAAAAGTAGAAGTAGAAAATTAGAATTGGCTCTTCATCTACATAAAATGTACCTTGTATGCTTCATCTATATTTGCATTGACACAGTGCTGAATCATCTCCTTCACCAGCAGGGGATGGGGCTCATCACAGACCTATTAACATAAGGATAATCAATAAGAGATGGAAAAAGCTGCTTTGAATTAAAACAGTATATTTTGCTGTTTTCACTATAAATTCCTCTCCTAACACTCCCATTTGTTGAATATAACACCAATATGTGACTTCAATCAGAAGCTAATCTGTGTAGCCAAAGTCTAAAATCACTGTAGCCATGGTAAATCTAGAAGTGGTACTCCAATGAGGTTTCCTTACACATGCCCAGGAATAAATGGTTAGAAGTTACAGAAAACTCCCACCACACACTTTTTCAAAAATAATGTACAATGCAATGGGGGGGGGGGGGGGAGTAGGGTATAATGTTCTGTAAAGCAGAAAATACAACAACAACTTGCATGACCACTGAGCCACAGCATTATGTTAAAACACTTCAGGAAAACTAGAGGCAGAATTATACAATCATGGGAATTGACTGACCTTGAAAACATTTTCACTATTGACAAACCCGAACCCTGAATGTGTTGATTGCACATTGTTCAAAGCCTGTGAAGGATTTAAAAAAAGACAAAAAAAACTTTAACATTTAAATGATTATCTAAGAATTGCATTTACCCACCCCTCAAAAATTCATTTATAAAAAGATGAAAATTCGGTGATATAGTTCTGATATTTCCAATAGAAGTTTTTGTGGAGGAGGAAGTGCAATGCACTCTACGAATGCTTGTGGAACCTTGACTTACACTAAACAGTCACTACATGCAGTAGTAATTTCTGTGAAATGCTTTGACATTACAGGCACAATAGAAATTTATTTCATTTGTCTAACGAGGTTAGTCGGGTCCTCAATGATGCAGACATTCAGCAACAGGCCCTAATTACTGCAGCTTTTCCTCCTTGGAAACTGGCTTGTAAAATGTTAGAAATAATGAGACTAAATCTAAAGGCAATTGGAAAAGCTGAGAATAGAAAACATTTATCAAAGCTGGGACAAGCTTGGGGTTTACTGGAGTTACTTGAACATCTGCAGGTCAGGTTGTTCTCATTTTATATTCCCAGTATATTCCCCTCCTACCTGCCTCATGTCTCCTTGGGCTGTAAAAACTATAGCTTCCAAGCCATCATCTGTGTATTGGACGTTTTCCTTCTCAACCACCTGCATCAGTCGTGCAAGGACCTGTGCGTCTGTCAGCTTTGTGTAACGCAGAACAGCACAACGGGATTGGATCGGTTCTGTGAATGCAGCATTAGAATGGATTGAGTGAGAATCATTATGATTCTTTGCATTTGACGTAGCTCTTTATCGAGTCATTGAGACGTCTCAAAGTGCTTCAATGAATAAATTGTGAAGTATTTTGTGGGCGAAACGTGGCAAAATCATATATAATTATCACACAATAATACAATCATTGCACAATCAATTACAATCCAAGCACTTAGGGACAATCTCCTGAACATTATTTACCTTCTTAAAAAATATGCAACATCCTACTTCAATCTGGGTTTTACTCGTTTCACATTTAAAACTTCAAAATGTGCCTCGATTGGAAGTCATAAGGTACAATACAAGCAAAAGAGACAGATTACCCCTTGCAACCAGAATAAAGTACTACTCTTCTACATACAAGACATGGTTAAAGGAGCAATCACTGCTACCCGTGGTGTGATTCTTCAATTAACTTCCACAAACTCAATGAGAAATAAAATGACAGATACACCTGCATAACTATTCAGGAGTAAATACTTTGTCTTGTGTGCTGCTATAACAGAGTTGAAAGCATCAAAACAGTATAAACACACCTATGATTTTGTCGGAGGCGTTGCAGGCCAAGGCAAACCGAGTTGTTTTAGAGTAAATCTCCATTGTTCTCCTCAGGGCTTGTTGGGCCCCATCCGTCATGCTGTAAGTTTACAGAAGGTACAAGTGTAGCAGCCTGATTACATTCAATTTCAAAAGCAATTCTCCTCTCTGTACATTCAGTCCTGGCCTGTCTGCAGAATTTCGAATGAGTCTCTTGCTTACGCAGCAACTTTGGTAGATGAACAAGTCAGAGCACGTTCACAAGGTTACATTTTAGAGGGGGTTTGCTAAGCTAATTTAAAAAATCTGTGACGACATCAGGTAAAGCAGGCCCTGCAATTTGATCTCAACATTCCAGAATAATAGCCCTACTGTTCCAATGCACCATTAAGTGATTTCTTAAATGAATCCTTCAACCACGCTTCCCGATACCCTGTTCCAGCTTCCATTCCATATATAGAAGCATTACCACCATTTGTTGTGTGCCCCTGTTCCATGACAGCCCTTGTATACTCAAATAGGTGTGAACTTTATCTTTCTTACCTGTCTGCTTCATCCAGGATGATGATCTTGTGACGACCCTTTGGTAGGGTGACCTTCTGTTGTGCAAACATTTTGATTTTGTTTCGGACCACATCAATACCTCTAACAAAAAAAAACCCATATCATAATTCACATTTACTTTCAATTTATTCTTGAATTCTTAACTATTTTGTAAAGCATTCATATAAGTTAACCATAAGAGATGTTGTTGAATGCCAAAATATACAAACTTCCAGATGTGAACGTAAAAATTTTCCGAGCATACCCTCGACTTGTATTAAATACCCAATATAAAACAAATCCAATAGTATCTTACCGGTCATTGGAGGCATTGAGTTCAAGAACTGCATCTTTTAATGCAGGGCCCAAGAGTGCTCGTGCCAAGCAAAGAATGCTGGTAGTCTTACCAGTACCTGGAGGACCCTGACAGGACAAAGCAAACAACAATGATTTAAGAATGTACTCCAGATTGAGTTAAACGCAGATTGAAGAGTTCTAAAGGTGCCCCAAGAAGACAATAATAAAGAAAAATTAGGGAAGTAGAGATTACTCACTGCAATAATTATGTTGGGTACATTTCCCTCCCTTGCAAACACCTGTGAGAGAAGGAAACCAAATTAATACATAGGAACTGTCTCTATAACCATTGATTCTACTCTGAACCAATCATTTAGATCATGAAAGCTGTGAATTTTGTTATCAATTTTACTAATAGATTATTCCATCAAACATCTTGGTATAAAAACACACCATTGTTTCTTTGAAAATGTTGACTCTTACCTCTAACCTGCTGACAGTTTCCTCGTTCCCCACAATTTCATTGAGTTTTAGTGGCCTGTATTTCTCAACCCTGTGTTAAAAAGTTACAAAACATTTTTTTTTTAAATCATGGTTGCATGAACCATAAAAAAAACAAATTTGCTATCAGTCAAAAGAAAATTACAAAGAGTTTACTTCTAAGATGAATATGTTAGCTTAATGATTGCAAAACTTTTGATTGGTAATTCGGAGCATAATGTGCCTTACAAAAGGTATTACTGTATTTTTATTAAAATTAATGAGAAACAATATACACACACAAAATCTTGCACGTGGAATATCGTGTGAAACAGAAACTAGATTGATTTTTGTTGCAGTCCATAGTATAATTTTCATGATATTATATTTGACTAAAACCTGACCCATTTTCATTTCAATCAGCTTTAAAAAAAAAAGCTCTGTATTTATCCGATAAGCTTGCCCTTTTCATTCAGATGCTGATCCCCTTAGCATTTCCTTTTTTTAAAATTTTTTTAGATCTCCAACATTTGGAGTTCTTTATATCTCTAATCTAGTCTTTCTTAGACAGATGGTTATTTCAATTATTCTGTTGTACATCTCTGCACTACTCCTCTATAAAATGAATCATTCTCTGATGCATCCAGTATTTATAATACAAAAAAAACTTAATAACCTTTTCATTTGAGGTAGCGTTTTATCACGTCATTGAGACCTGATCAACTGAATATACTGTAAAGTGTATTGACTGTGCATCTTGTAACATGAATAGCGCAGAAGCCTTAAAGTAAAACAAAAATGCAATTTAAATGTACTGTACTCAGTTATTAACAATTAGTTTCGACGTTTTCCGCTACCTTTACCATTTCAGCCTCAGTGACTGACAGACTAACACGGATTCAACTACAATAACATTTGGGAGGATTGAACAAATGTGGTAGATTTTCCACACTAAAAANTTCAAAGAATGTAAAGTAAGAAATGCATGAAAATATTATGACGTGTAAATAAATGATGGTTGGCCGGAAGTTTCAAATGTGAACTTCTAAGCCATACATGGGAGATACGTTTGATCTCGATGTTATTCTGCGTGCAATAGTTTTTTTTTGGGGGGGAAGAAATGATAAAAAAGATTGCAACTGGATGTGAGGAAATTTAGCCACCGCCCGGCCACCGCTTTACAATCAGTGACCTTTTCATGGTGTAAAGAAATAATTATGCAAAGATTTTATGCAAACTACTGTGCGCAATTGGCTGCCACGTTTCACCCACAAATATACAGTCAATTCACTTTACAGTCTATTCTGTGAAGCGCTTTGAGACGTCGGGAAGACGTGAAAAGCGCTATATCAAATGCGAGGATTATTATTATTGTTATCATTAACCCACCGTTCCCCACAGTCAAGCCTGTGAAAGCAGGAGTGGGGGATTCACAGCACAATAGTTTTTTTAAACCGACTATTGTTAGTCATTCCTTCAACTATTAGAAAAAGTAGATTGTATATATATTTCCACATTTGACATACATCTATACATCTATAGTGTGTATATATAAATATATAAACACACAAACACTTTACATGTATATATATAATTACATATATTATGTACATATAATATATATACTATAATATATGGCTTTATGTGTGTATATATATATAAACATATATATATATATAAAGCCGATTATTTTTCTAACACTTGACCGGTGTCCCGCCTGACATTAGCACCGCCCGCCCTCTCCCCTCGCACTCACCAGGGCAGTTCGTAGGCCGCTGCCGGCGCCCGGCCCGCGTTGGCAGTACCCGGTGCGGCCTCCTGCTCTCCCTGTCGCCCCTGGCTGGCTCTCAGCGCCGCTGGCCTGCTCTTAGTCTGCTCCGCCGGGCTGCTCCCGCTCTCGGCCACCTCCATGTCCATGGTTCCCGCGAGTCTGGTTGGGGTCTCCGCCGCCGCTGTCCTGTCACTGACTGAAACTGACAACCTCTCAGCGCAGACAAGGGCGCTCCACCATCATCATCATCATCATCCCTTCCCAACACTTTATAACGGGCTACAACTTTATATCCCTATATATTTATATTAAATTGAAATGTATAATATATATATATATGAAGTTTATATCCTCACGGAAAGGCGTCGAGTCCCCTGACAGGAGTCGGCTTTGCCCCCAAAGGAAAACCGCTCAACCCGACTCTCCCGCCAAAACCGCCACCTCTGAGACGACGATACCTCTCGCGCAGGGCGCCAAGAGGGTCCCTTTCCGCCGCTCTCTTTCCTCCTGCAAACCGCCGCCGCCACCGCCAGCTGCTGCTGCTGCCGTTCCTCCAACGGGCCCGGAGGTCCTCCTGGCTGCCGTGCGCGTGCGCACTCACGGCTCGGGCTCGAGCAAAGCGCTGTGTGGGGGGAAAAAAAGTCGGTTGGAAGCCGAGGAGGAGGAGATTTTAGTTCCTCGTTAGTTTTTAAACTCTTTTATATTCTTCTTTTATTCCACACACCTCCCCCCTCCTCCTCTGGAATCACCTTTTGTTCCTCGGCGTCTCGTTATTAACGATATGAGGTAAAAAAAAAGAAAAGCAACGATCAAAAGGGAGTAAACTTTCTCCCCTCCCCCACCCCTTCCTCTTGGAGGAAACAGGAGGAGGAAAGAGAAGCTGTGAAGGTGAGCGAGCTGGTGAAGGTTTGGGGGGGTTGTAGGTTATACCCCCCCCCCCCCCGCGCGCTGCCCACAGCTCCGGGCCGTTGCCGCCAAGTCATATATATCATGTTTTTAAAGAAAAGTTTGGTGCGCGTGTGTGAGATTTCAATTGACCGTCGAATGTAATCGAGTCAAAGTCTGTGCCCAGTGCCTGGCTGGCCAGGCTCCTCTGTTGTTGTTGTTGTGGCCAGGCTCCTGTTGTTGTTGTTGTGGCCAGGCTCCTCTGTTGTTGTTGTTGTGGCCAGGCTCCTCTGTTGTTGTTGTTGTTGTTGTGGCCAGGCTCCTCTGTTGTTGTTGTTGTTGTGGCCAGGCTCCTCTGTTGTTGTTGTTGTTGTTGTGGCCAGGCTCCTGTTGTTGTTGTTGTGGCCAGGCTCCTGTTGTTGTTGTTGTTGTTGTGGCCAGGCTCCTGTTGTTGTTGTTGTTGTTGTGGCCAGGCTCCTCTTGTTGTTGTTGTTGTGGTCAGGCTCCTCTGTTGTTGTTGTTGTGGCCAGGCTCCTCTTGTTGTTGTTGTTGTTGTGGCCAGGCTCCTCTTGTTGTTGTTGTTGTTGTGGCCAGGCTCCTCTGTTGTTGTTGTTGTTGTGGCCAGGCTCCTCTGTTGTTGTTGTTGTTGTGGCCAGGCTCCTCTGTTGTTGTTGTTGTTGTTGTGGCCAGGCTCCTCTGTTGTTGTTGTTGTGGCCAGGCTCCTGTTGTTGTTGTTGTTGTTGTGGCCAGGCTCCTGTTGTTGTTGTTGTTGTTGTTGTGGCCAGGCTCCTGTTGTTGTTGTTGTTGTGGCCAGGCTCCTGTTGTTGTTGTTGTTGTGGCCAGGCTCCTCTGTTGTTGTTGTTGTGGCCAGGCTCCTCTGTTGTTGTTGTTGTTGTGGCCAGGCTCCTCTGTTGTTGTTGTGGCCAGGCTCCTCTGTTGTTGTTGTTGTTGTGGCCAGGCTCCTCTGTTGTTGTTGTTGTTGTGGCCAGGCTCCTCTGTTGTTGTTGTTGTTGTGGCCAGGCTCCTCTGTTGTTGTTGTTGTTGTTGTGGCCAGGCTCCTCTGTTGTTGTTGTTGTTGTTGTGGCCAGGCTCCTCTGTTGTTGTTGTTGTTGTTGTTGTTGTGGCCAGGCTCCTCTGTTGTTGTTGTTGTTGTGGCCAGGCTCCTGTTGTTGTTGTGGCCAGGCTCCTGTTGTTGTTGTTGTGGCCAGGCTCCTGTTGTTGTTGTTGTTGTTGTGGCCAGGCTCCTCTTGTTGTTGTTGTTGTGGCCAGGCTCCTCTGTTGTTGTTGTTGTGGCCAGGCTCCTCTGTTGTTGTTGTTGTGGCCAGGCTCCTCTGTTGTTGTTGTTGTTGTGGCCAGGCTCCTCTGTTGTTGTTGTTGTTGTGGCCAGGCTCCTCTGTTGTTGTTGTTGTTGTGGCCAGGCTCCTCTGTTGTTGTTGTTGTTGTAGCCAGGCTCCTCTGTTGTTGTTGTTGTGGCCAGGCTCCTCTGTTGTTGTTGTTGTGGCCAGGCTCCTGTTGTTGTTGTTGTTGTTGTGGCCAGGCTCCTGTTGTTGTTGTTGTGGTGGCCAGGCTCCTGTTGTTGTTGTTGTTGTGGTGGCCAGGCTCCTGTTGTTGTTGTTGTTGTGGTCAGGCTCCTCTTGTTGTTGTTGTTGTTGTGGCCAGGCTCCTCTTGTTGTTGTTGTTGTGGCCAGGCTCCTCTTGTTGTTGTTGTTGTTGTGGCCAGGCTCCTCTTGTTGTTGTTGTTGTTGTGGCCAGGCTCCTCTTGTTGTTGTTGTTGTGGCCAGGCTCCTCTTGTTGTTGTTGTTGTGGTGGCCAGGCTCCTCTTGTTGTTGTTGTTGTTGTTGTTGTGGCCAGGCTCCTCTTGTTGTTGTTGTTGTTGTTGTGGCCAGGCTCCTCTTGTTGTTGTTGTGGTGGCCAGGCTCCTCTTGTTGTTGTTGTTGTGGTGGCCAGGCTCCTCTTGTTGTTGTTGTTGTGGTGGCCAGGCTCCTCTTGTTGTTGTTGTTGTGGTGGCCAGGCTCCTCTTGTTGTTGTTGTTGTTGTTGTGGCCAGGCTCCTCTGTTGTTGTTGTTGTGGTGGTGGCCAGGCTCCTCTTGTTGTTGTTGTGGTGGCCAGGCCCCTCTTGTTGTTGTTGTGGTGGTGGCCAGGCTCCTCTTGTTGTTGTTGTTGTGGTGGCCAGGCCCCTCTTGTTGTTGTTGTGGTGGTGGCCAGGCTCCTCTTGTTGTTGTTGTGGTGGTGGCCAGGCTCCTCTGTTGTTGTTGTGGTGGTGGCCAGGCTCCTCTTGTTGTTGTTGTTGTTGTGGCCAGGCTCCTCTTCTTGTTGTTGTGGTGGCCAGGCCCCTCTTGTTGTTGTTGTGGTGGTGGCCAGGCTCCTCTGTTGTTGTTGTGGTGGTGGCCAGGCTCCTCTTGTTGTTGTTGTTGTTGTGGCCAGGCTCCTCTTCTTGTTGTTGTTGTGGCCAGGCTCCTCTTGTTGTTGTTGTTGTTGTGGCCAGGCTCCTCTGTTGTTGTTGTTGTTGTTGTGGCCAGGCTCCTCTTGTTGTTGTTGTTGTTGTGGCCAGGCTCCTCTTCTTGTTGTTGTTGTGGCCAGGCTCCTTTGTTGTTGTTGTGGTGGTGGCCAGGCTCCTCTTCTTGTTGTTGTTGTGGCCAGGCTCCTCCTTCAAGATGTGTTGTCACCAAAATGTCAAGAGCATTGTTCCCTTTCCGTAAGTAGTTTTTTAAGAGAGAACTGGACAGGTATCTGGGGAAGACGGGTTTGCAGGGTTGTGGGGAGAAAGCTGGTGATTGGGGTCAGTGAAAGCGACTTGCTCTGTCAAAGAGCCGGCACAGACTCGATGGGCCGAATGGCCTCCTTCTGTGCCATAACATCCTATGAATCTATTAAAAAAGAGCAGCCAGAAACTCGGCAGACACCGGGCATCGATCGATCGTAACAACCGAGAAACGCCGGAGTGTGCTTTCCCCATTTCCTTCTCTTGAAGTGGGTTTTCGTTTACTGGTGAGGGTTTGTTGCTCTCCCTTTCTCTCTCTTTCTCTCTCTCTCACTGTATCTCACTAACTTATCATAAGCCTTGGTGCAAAGACATGACTACGTCTTGTTGCAAATATCACAACTGTTTTGCTGAGATGCAACCGGAATCTCTTGATGTCAAATACAGCGGTAGACAGTTTTGCAATCTTCCAACAAAAACAATTATAATGGTGGCTACTAAATTTCATGTGTTTGAAGCCTGGCTGCCAGTTTTATCGTGAGCGTTATGATTACAATAAAAAAAATCTTGCCTTTATTTTCACGCAAAATATTGGGAGACAGTGTTGTAACCTGTACATAGTCTCTTAATACTCTCTTATGAATTAAAATCTTGTTAATGCTTGCTGTGCTCCCAAATTTGGTGAATATCTAACTTGATTGACTCAATGAGAAGGTGTAATTTGAGACTATCCTCTTTTGGGGGTGGGAGGTGTGAAAGGAGAGGAAAGCAAGTTGCCTTTGGCTTGAACTGACTGGAAAAGGGGAAACTGACCTCTGTCAACTCTGTAGTGGAATCTGCATCACATTCCTGGTCCAGGGGGCTGTTGATAAATGACCAGACCAGAATGTGTGGTCCCTAATGCCTTGACTTCTGCTATTCTCCACGTGTTCTTTGTGCTTAGGGAAAGTGGGCTGTTGTGTTATCTCCCTTTGCTGGTGGGGATGGGGTGGAAAATGCACACTCCATAATTAACAGAGAAAAAATGTTTTTGTCTGTTCCACACATTCATCACCTCAAGGCTCGACTATAAAAACTCCCTCCTTGTCGGCCTCTCCAACTTTTCCCTCCACAGATCATCCAGAACTCTGCAGCTCTTGCCCTCTCTCACACCAGGCTTCTGTGACCCCATCACCTTCGCCCGGCTCCACTGGCTCCCCATCCCTCAGAGGATAGAATTCATAATCTTCATGCTCACTTCCAAGGCCCTCCATGGCCTTGTCCCCTCCCACATCTCTGACCTGCTTACCCCCTATCAACCTGTCCGCTCCCTCCACTCAGCAGGTTCCGCCCGACCCATCCTACCATAGGCAGTTGGGTTTTCAGCCTCTCTTTCCCTACTCTTTGGAACTCCATCCCACAATCCCTTCACCTTGCTCCCTCTTTTGCCTCTTTCAAGGTATGATTCAAGACTCTCCTTTTTGACTGTGCCTTCAGCCGCCCTCCTACTCCCTCGGCCCTCCCTCATCCCAACCCTGCCCCCCACGCTCATGTTCTGCATCCTTGACTGTTCAGTGCCTTGGGATGTACTCCTGACATGAACGGCACTTTACAAATGTGTGGTGGTGGTGGTGGTGTTGTTGTAGTGGTGGTAGTAACAGGAACTAGAGAGACCATTAGGCACAGATTTCATCCTTTTTTAGTCTCCAGGCTGGTCACTTGTTTGGGCTGGTACATGTGGAGTTGGAATGAGTGCAATACAATTAGAAGGTGGCAAGCATGGCAGAATTCATATAAATCCAATAATTTTCAGTGGTTTTAGTCAAGGAAGTGATAGGTGACAGAAAATCATGTAAAATTGGTTTCAGTGATTCATTGTATTCCCTCCTTCAGCTAAGTTCTCTGCATTTATTGGTTAATCAGTGCAAGTTTTTTTAAAATGAAAGAGATGAATGTAAGCACTTTGTACAACAGATATTGTATCTATATGACATACAGAATATATTTTGAGATTTGGGAAGAATACTTCTGTTACCTCACTTTCCAAGTTACTACTTCAGATTGCATTTAACCTTTGATGTTGGAATATATTTACTTTGCACTATGAAATGTTACAGCATTGCAGGTATTTAAGGTTGAATTGCTGACCTACTGTGTAATGTCTACCTGAAACTAGTTTAATACAATGTGCCAAAGTTCCTGAGAAGTTTCCATTATAGCTAGCAGTTGGAACACATTATTTTGAACTGTCATATAATAATCCTTGCATTTGATATAGCGCTTTTCACGTTGGGAGGATGTCCCAAAGCGCTTCACAACACACTGTAAAGTGAATTGACTGTATATTTGTGGGCGAACGCGGCAGCCAATTGTGCACAGCAATGTCCCACAAACAGTCGTAGATTGAAAATGACCAATTTTATTATTGTTTGGTTTTGGAGGGATTATTATTAGACTCTGTGTGGAGTAAGGAAACTTGCCCAAGGTTTCGCCCTCTGCCTGGAATTGAACTCAGGCCTCTCACTTGCAAAGCGAGTGTTCTACCCACTGAGCTACAGGACTCCACATATAGAGTAACATGACACTCAAATAACACTTGCCACAAAGAATTAAGCAGAAAGCTAAGTTCTTTAAAATAGAAAAGTATGTATGACCTGTTTGTATTCAGTTCACCTTGAATGTGCGTTAGGTCAAATCCTAAATCAAAGTGCCCAGTGAGATGATGATTGATATACCCGTCACCAGCATATTGCTCAATTGACTAATCTTCGACATTAGCCTGAAAACGTAATATTTCCCGTTCCAGTTTTCCCTATTGAAATAAAATTAAAAAATATAATAGGCTATTTTTATCATGTGGTTAAACCAGTTATCTGTGTACTTTTGCTACTACTATTCTAACTATGTTATCAACATTCATTTGTAGTCCTCTTGACTGACAAGTGAAGACGAAACATGTAATGTGGGCATTGTCACTACACATCACTGTACACTGGGGTGTGAGAGAGGAGAGAGTACACTGGGGTGTGAGAGAGGAGAGAGAGACGGCTTTAATTTTGCTTTATTTTGATAGAACCAAATTGCATTACAGAGGTTTTTAAACAGCATATGGTGGAACTTTTTAATTTGCAGGGAGTATATTCCATCCTTGTTGATAAATTACTGATGTATTGAAGTATGGTTTTACATAACTGCAAATGAACTCTTAACCCTAATTGTGACACACGTTGGAAGCTGCATTATAAGAAAGGCTGAAATGCATATTGTGAGTTCTTTAATACTGCCCAACTTGGCCTAAAGATTAATAAAAAAAATGCTTTTTCAAACTTGAAATAAGGGTTAGAGCAAACAATGAATTCTCTACAGTTACAGTCTACATTTATTGTTGTAACATTCGTTTCATTTGTGGTGAGGATAAGGTTGATGATTTTGTAACAGGATAACCAGAGCCATACTTGATATGAGCTCTAAAATAAACCTTCAATAAAATAATGAAAAGATACAAGATTTTGAACTCTAGCTGAATTTTGTTTACTATGGTGGTTTTCCAGTTTCCCATGTGTGCTTTTTAAGATGATTTGTTATTTGGAAGGTAGAGAAAATTCAGAGTGATAGAAATGCATGTTTTACAAACCGAATGAAAGGATATTTGCGTGGGAAATGGAATCTACAATTCCAATGCATTCGTGAGCAGCAATGTGACTGCTGATTTTACTAAAACTGGACTTTCTTCAATTTAAAAGTGATTTATTTGTTAAGATAATGTATGACTGGAACGCAATATGACTCAAGATTATGAACTGGGGGAAGTGGGGCAACTGTAGCAGGTTTCAGTAGGAGAGCATCTGGACAACAGTGATCACAACATCATTAGGTTTAGAGTACTTATAGAAAGGGACAACGAGCAATCAAAGGTGAAGATACTCAACTGGAGGAGGGCTAATTTTAATAAGTTAAAAGGGACCTAGCCTAGAAAAACCAAAAGTTGTTCGGATCTGGAATGCATAGCCTGAAAGGGCGGTGGAAGCCGATTCGATAACATCTTTTAAGAGAAAAGTAGATAATTATTTGGGGAGGACAGGTTTGCAGGGCTATGGGGAGAGCGCGGGGGAGTGGGATTGAATTGGAAGCTCTTTTCAAAGAGCCGGCACAGACACGATGGGCCGAATGGCCTCTTTCTGTGCTGTATAATTCTATGATTCTATCTCTTCTGTTCTGCTTAACATTATTGTGCAACAAATCCACGTTGTTGTCAGTGTGTGAAAAGGGTAAGGATTAGGTTTTGTGTTCCTTTTAGATCGTATGTCTGAAAACTACAAACAGTTCAGTTCATGGCTCCAGTAAATTATATTTGTAAGTTTGTTGAGTTTTTGAAGTAGGTTTTCAGAAAAGGGCTTGAACTAATTGCTATTCTACCTAATCAATAGCTCTAACTGAGGAGTTTCCCATAGAAATGATCATAAGCCAGCAAAAGTTTAAATAAATAAGTTATAGTGAGGCTGGAAAACTACCAACAGAAAAATCATCATCATGATCTCTTGAATCAAGGTTGCCAGTGTTTATTAGTCAGGGGAAAGTTGTAGGGTTTCCCAGACGCATGCATTTACTAGGTTTGTTAAAAAAAATCTTGGGAACCACCATGAAGATGTGGTGTGTCGGTTATTACCACAATTACCAACAGCCTTGTTTTGTGTTTGATACAAGAAGGAGGAATGTAGAATTTGAGGGAAAAACTGAGGGCAATTCCTGAAGCTTTGGTGTGGGTTAATACTGGATCTTCTTGGAGAAGTGAGGGAATGTTGTTCTGGAGTAAGAGAATGCACGTTAAGTGCATTCTTATTAAGTTAACACCTGGGTTCAATTCCAGGCAGGGCGAAACCTGCCCACAAATATATGGTCAATTCATTTTACAGTATATTCTGTGAAGCGCTTTGAGACGTCTAGAAGACATGAACAGTACCATATCAAATGCAAGGATTATTATTATAATAAGTAAAATATTGTAAGTTTTCAGTGACTTATGTATGTATATATAATGGATTCTTTTTGGGTGCACAGATTCCTCAGGTGATGTCTCTGACTGACTTGTGGCCTTAAAATTCAACCAATTATGAGTCAAAATTGTTTGCACTGTTGTTCTGTTGGTGTATCTAATACTAAGTGCTTCAGGGAAATCTGTTAATATAATCAAAGTGGAAGATGCAACACAAGATTTTTCAGCACAAAGCAGAAGCTAAGTTTTTCAGTAAACTGATTTTTTTTAAAAAAAATTAATTTGTGTTGACAAGGGTTCTGGTAAGATGTTAAC